CATAAACTTGAGTAATAGACTTCTTATGAGATGCACCTAATTTATTATATATATTCATTGTCTCATTTTATTATATGTTTATGCCCTCCTTAAGCAGGGTGATATAAATTATCATATAATAATATATTTATGAGCGAACTGAAAGCTTACCTTTCCGACTTTTTATTACAGGCTATAAAGTAGGGTTGAGGATAAAATCGGAGATAAAATACCTGAAACGGTGTTTAGTTCTGATTATTAGTATGGCTTTTACTAAAATAAGAAATGTGTTGCGAACTAACTTTTTGGGTATTTGACACCTATTGTGTTAAACTTCTCTTCTGACATGAAGCTGAAAAATAAACATTCTTAAAAAATTACTACAATACAAAATTGATATAAATGATGATTTGATAATTTGATAATTTATTAATATATTATGATTATTATTATGATTATGTTATTTCCATAATGATTCTATTATTATTATTATTATTATGATTATGATATTATTATCTAATTTTAATTATTAGATATTCGAGGAAGAATGCTAAAATGTAAATTTATCATATGAATGATGATATCTGTATGATCAAACGTTATTTGAAGTATCCATTCCTGGAGCAGCAGGTTCTGATTGACCGCTTTGAGCAGCAGCAGCAGCAGCAGCAGCAGCCTTTTGCTCGGCAATACGCTTAAAAAGAGCAGCGTAACCGAACTTGGACTTGCCTCTTAATTTTGCACCGTATTTTTGGAATACGAATGGTACAGGAACCATGGCCAAAGCGATGAAAGCAAACAAAGAAGTAGCCCAACCAATCTTTAATCTTTCGTACATCTGAACCGTGAATAATGGGAATATTGATGCCAACAAGTAACGAACTAAATTATTTGCAGCTAAAGCAGATGCAAGAGAAGCTGGTGGATATGACATCGAAAAGTAGTAAATCACGGCAAAAAATACCAAAATTAATCCAAATCCGAATGGGACACCCGCAGCAATTGGAGCCATCCAGTGAACTGAGCTTTTTCTACCGGTCCAAGCTAACCAGAACAATGCAATGGGCAAACAAACCGCCCCGACTTTTCCAGCGAGCAATTTATTTTCTGGAAGGCCAAAAATAGGATTACCGTTTTCGTCTCTCTTGCCTCTGGTTCCGTCAGGGTTCTTAGGATTGTAGATAGTCTTGTCTATTATAATGAAAAAAATCACTCCACCAATTAAACCAATACCTACACCAAGGAATGGTAAACCAGAAATCCCTAATGTCATGCCGTAAGTACCCTGGAAAATAATTGGATAGGCTTCGAAAAACCCGAACAAGACAGCAAAAACGAATGAAATATAAATTGTGAAAATGGACACGATGGGTTCGACAGCTAACATTTGCACCGGACGCAATAAATTATTAACCGCTAAGTTTTTGAAAAATTGCTTATTGACTGGAGGCTTATACAAATTAACACCTCTCTTCTTAGCTCTCTTTGCTAAAATGATTGGCTTATATGTTTCTGGTAAGAGCAAGACGAAAGGAAGAATAATTCCTGAAGCCATTAAGTAAATCCACATAGTCCATTTCCATCCCTTCTTTTCAGCAGCAAATCCACCAATGATAGGACCTAAAACAGGACCCAAGAAAGGTGCTAAACAGAACATAGCCATAGCGAATCCCATATCTTGGAAACTCCAAACATCACTAATGGAACCTCCGGCGACTGCCATGGCTGGTGATGCAAAGAAACCACAGAAAAATCTTAAAATTAAAATTGAATAAATATGCTTCGATAAACCGATTCCCATTGCAAATAACATTGAAATTGGTAATGAAAAGAAGTAAATCCAACGGCGGCCAAATACTTCGGACAATGGTGCAGCAATAGCAGGACCGACTGCTAAACCAATCAAGTAGAATGTCAAACCCGAAATGCAAAGTTCTTGAGAAGCTCCGAATTGAACCATTAAACTTGGTACACCTGCAACGTATAATGAACTACCTAATGAAACACATAAACAAATAAGTGCCACGGTAAAAGTAATATACCACTTCTTCCATTTAGGCCAATTCTGAGGATTAGCTTTATCATCTGGTGAATCCCAATCTAATTTTTCAACACGTATAGGTTCATTTGACGATTGAAAATTTGCTTCGTTTAATTTTTCAGATGCGGCTCCTTGTAACGATTCGTCTTCATTCACATCATTTGCCAATTCCTTTGCCTCAGTCTTTTCATTGTGGTTATTGTATTCTGGTTCTGGGTATGAAGTATTTGATGGCTTTTCGTCATCATATTTTTCTCTTGTGTAAGATCCTGTGTCTGTATCGGAGGACTCAGCACCAGTTTCTCTTCCATCGATTGCATGTTCAGCCACACTTGGAATGTCCTCTTCATCAGTTTCGTTCAAGTCTTCATCAGCGGTAGCATATGCGGAGAGGTTGGCTGAAGATGCTTGGTCGTGAATAGTCTCTTGAACGTTCGATGCCTCTCTCAATTGTTGTTCTTCACTTTGCGAAGTGCCAAAGATACCCATTGTGTATAGTCTTTATATTGCACTTTTTTAGTAGTACCAATAATAATATTGAAAGCTTCTTAAATTAATTCTTCAACTCAATTAAGTTTAGCCAGGCACAAGCCTTATATATTGTTTTTTCGGCATTCGGTCAGCTAGTAGCATCACTTCCATGGGCGGACTTAACGAAATATGTATGAATCGGACTTCTAAATTTTTTCTGAGATTGTCGCGATATCGTTCTACAGATTCACATATGGCATTTACAATACGATGTACATAATATAATTACATATATATATATATACATACATACATACATACATACAGAATTAATGTATTCAATGTAAACATATTCAACTACATTAAATAAGTTAAGAAGTCCCAGTAACAAAATACTAAAACTCCATTCCGGTGGGATATAACGAAAAACGGCGATAAGCATTAGTAATTTCCTCGGTCCATTAAACACTAACCTCGGCTAAATCAAGTCCCAACAAAATGTTCTATTTTTTTTTGATAGAAGCGCGGCTGCAATCGATTTCTCTATGTAGATCTGTAACTTTTAATGTTGCGGGGGAACGGACAATATGTATCTAATTCTCAATTAGAAACTGTGCTCTATCTAATTCTCAATTAGAGACTGTGTTCTATCTATTTCTTTGTTCCACCCATAATAACTCTTTGCTCTTATGAATCCAAAGGTAAAATTGCAAGCAAATATTAGCAATACAAAACTAAACATCACAAGAAAGAATTTGAAACTTAACGGTTCGATCAAAGAATTAATAATCATCCCCACTGTTTCCGCACTAATCAGGGACTTATTTCCGCCTCCGTTATATGGGTCTTGATTCATACATTTCAACCAGTAGGCACAAGGTTTCTCTAGAATTGGAACAATCAGTTCCGGAGAACAGTTATTATCATAGTATGACCGTTTGCATGATTCGATCTCCACTAGAACATTTGAAATTTGTTGAGAAAGTTTATGCTTTATATCTTGCCTAACAGTTTGAACGATAGAATAAACTAAATAGGCTGCGTAGCATGTAGCAACAAAATTTATGAGTAGCTGTAAATACGAAGATAGTATGTATGAAGTTTTCTCTAGCGGACTAGAATTTTCTTCCCACGGTAAAGGTAGAGAAATATCTCTATTATGAGCATAGTTATTGTGAGCTTGGTTGGGATCCATGACTTGTATCCTGCCTGAATCTTGATGTTGTAATTGTCCTGCTCGTTGCTGTTGTATTTGGTTCTGTATTTCGAGCTGACTTGGACTAGCTAAATGAGTTCCCGATTGATTAATAGGGGTACTATAGTAATGATGATGGTGGACCTGTACCGGAGTCGCCCACGAGCTGCTGACTGGACTAAATAGGTTATTAGCTGGAAACTTATTCATATTTTTCCTATACATGTAAGATTGGTTCATGGAATTGTTGATACTACTTCTTGAATCATTCGAATCATAGCCTCCATTTGTTGGATTATAGGTATATTCTTCAATATCGTTGTTCCTGTTTGACTTATTGGCAAAAAAAGCATTTGCATCACTTGCGCTAAAAGAGCTTATGTTCCTTTGTCCAGTTCTGTGCTTTAATTCTGGCGTGCTTCTGTAATTGCTGAAGGTGTCAAAGTTGGTGCTATAGCTTTCATTATTGGAATTTGTATCGATTTCATAATCAATTGATTCGTTACCATCCATATTAGAAGGAAGTAGCAACTTCTGTCTTGGCATTATCGCCAATTTGGCACCTAGGTTTGTGGGTGATAATATGGAATGAGAAAATGAAGATACTATGCTGTCATTTCTAGAATATTCCTCATCTATTCCTTGTTCCTTCCCGTTTTCTTCGCCATTGGTATTATTATCCTCACATTCAGAATTCCCTTCCTCGGTCATTTCTCTATCATTATCTACGTTGTTGCTTTCATTTTCTTTCTTCATAAAAAACTCTTTCATACCACCTAATTTTGCACCTTCATCTTTACTTATAGGGGTTGATTGAAATGGTGTTGCAATATATTCCTGTAATCTTGTAGTAGGGGTCAAACGATCAACATTTCCATGTCCAGGAGGTGGTGTATTATAATTTGATAGTGGCGGATCTAAATCAAGCGTATTGTCTATTTCCATGTAATCATCATCATCATTATCGTAAGTTTCCTCATATCTGGTTTGAGACGTAACATAATTAGTATCATCTATTGACAATGATTGCAAGAAGCTTCCATCAAAGTCATGCGATGCCATATTACCATAGTATTTAAATGTTCTGAATTTTTGTTTGGAACAGTCGTAATATTTGTGTTTACTTAATTTTAAGTGCGGCTTGGGCATCATATTTAAATTTTTCAGTTCAAGCCTAAGTTTAGATTAGAAGAGACTTAATAGTATACATAATATATTTAGTAGCATGGGATCTAAGAGAAAGAAGGCCGAAAAACAGAAGGATTTTGTTAAGGCAAAATTGAGAGTCGGTAAAACAGCTGCTAAACCAGATAACCATACAGACACATCATTTATCGCTAAATCCATTTCTATACCGAATCAAACCATTAATAAAAAGACTTCCAATACAGAGAACAAACATGAAGTCGATTTGACGCATCATCTTTCTTTGACAAAGCATCATTCTGATGCTACACGAAAAGAAGTCTTGAATTATATTGAGCAACATTTACCGTCTAATCCATCACTCTATAAAGATATTTTAACAAGTATTGTTCCATTAATAATCGACCAGTCACAGAATGTTCGGAATGCTTTGATTTCATTATTAGCAGCATGTGCTACACATCAAGTTGGTTTGTTGGATTTACACATAAGATCTATTATCCTTTTTATACACCTGGCGATGAGCCATATTAAACCAGATATAAGAAATAGCTCTACAAAATTTTTGTCAGTATTAATTGACCATGCAACAGAATCGTTAGTTCGTTCGTATTTCATCAAAACATTGAAGTCGTACTTTACATTATTATCTTGGACTTTGACGAATGATAAGAAAGCGGTTTCCTTGGCCATTACCACTAGTTCTTCTATTGGAGGTCCAAGCAAGAAAGCACGTATTCATCATTTATCTATATTGAGAGCATTTTTATCTGCTGCATTGTTTCCTATAAACACCAATGAAGCCAAATTGGATTATTCAGAAATAAAGATGATTCACCCTGAATCGTGCAAGTATTTGATACCTTCCAGTACTCAACCATTTGCATCTTTGAAATTATTTGTTCAAGAAGTACCGAAGCAGAAAAATAAGGACATCCAACAGGACTCCAAAAAAGACGACAATGCATTTTCAATAGGAGATTTGGACACCATCTCCACTGAGGACTTAGATACCAGACGGAAAGTGATGCTTGATGTTTTTATGGCACCAACGATCAAGAATTTGAAGAATTTAATAAAGGAAGGTGGAGAAGTTGGCAGGGAAGCACATTCTTGTATGAAAGTGTTAGAACAGTTACAAGAGGAGACTAAATAGATTCATCTTTTAATAGCTTAATATTTTGGTATAAATGTAAACCACGTATATTACCGTATTAGGAAATCTAGAATGTAATGAAGCTGCGATTTTATAAGATCAAGATCGTACGAGAAAACTAAGATGATTGTTTTCAAAGACAAATGCTTAGATTGATAACTAGAACACACTCCTTCAGAGCTGTGGGAATCTGCAAAAGACCAAATATTGTATCGAAATGGATTCCTATTCGTAATTTTCAAATCTCGCCAATATTAGCTAAGAAAAATAAGGTTAAAAGTGGAAACAAAAACAAGAATGAAGCACAAGAAATAGAAGAAGACAGTACCGATAATCAAGTCCCAGAGATAGATTTTGATGATGCAACTAACAAATTCAAGGGTGTCATTGAAAGATTTAGTAAGCAGGCAAATGAAGCAAAATTAGGTAAAACCAGTCCAAATATTTTTGATAAGTTGATGGTAGAAACTGCAGACGGTGAAATTGGATTCACTTCAGTAGCACAAACAACTGTCAAGGGAAGGAATTTCATGATTACAGTATTTGACCCGTCTAACGTTAAATCAATTATTAATGCTGTGTTAGGATCTGATTTAAATATGAATCCTCAAGTTGATCCATCAAATAAGCAAACCTTGAAGGTTCCATTACCACCTTTGACTACCGAAAGTAAAAAGGAAAATGCAAAGCAATTAAAATTAGTTTATGAAAGATTTAAGAATGGATCTGGAAGAGCAAATGGGTCTTTAGCTACTATAAGAGGTGACGTTAAAAATAAATTTCAAAAGCAGCATAAAAAGAAGAAGTTAAGTGATGCAGAAGAAAAAATATTTAAGGACTTTGAAAAATTACATAAACAGTACACTGATAAGTTAACTGATGTGTTTAAATCCGCTGAACAAGCAATACTTAAATAATTCTATATATAAAACATATTTTAAAATACAATTCCATCTCCAACAAATATTCTTCTGTGATATTTCTCACACCACTTGATTATTTTCAAACTATGCTTTATCAACTCCTGTGAAGCAATTTCGCCTCTACATAAACAGTAGAATTCGGACGTAGAATCAGAAAGCATAAACCCAACCACTGTATTTCCGGAAATTTTCCATTTCGAGTAGGTTAGCTTTTTATTATGCTTTTTTGTTGCAGGATCAGTTGAAAAGCCAGTGGCCTTATTGTTATGTAAAGTTGAATAGAAGTAAACCAATTCTAATGTTGTGACAAAACTTGTAGAAGCTTTTTCATTATTGAAGTGTCTTGCGTCGCTCATAAAACACTGATTGTATCTTTTCAGTCTGTAAATAAAATGCTTAATCAAAGGCACTTTTATGTCATTTAATATAGATAGATTATTAAATGTTAAAAGTTCTGAACTTAATGCATTGCGAAAACTTTCACTGCTTGTAATACTATTAATAATATGCTTGGATAATTCTTGTTGCTGAAAAAAGCTGTTCTTATTTCCACTAATTAGTGTAATTATGATTGGCTGTGGTGGTACATGCTTTCCATCCACGATAACATAACCGCTTAAATCAATTTTTTTAACAAATACATAAAGAAAACCATTCGGGTTGAAATCGGGCATGCAAAGTGGAATCCATAAATCTTCTGTTGATTGTGAATCATCAGACCTAGTAGAAATTGAAGATATCATTGTGAATAGAACTTTAAGATCTTCCTTAGATAGGGTGTGATTTTTTGGCTTCATCATACTCAAAATTTTTCCAGGTGATGTAGTCAACAATGAAAATAATAGGTCGTCTCCCAAGAAGGTTTCCTTATCTCCAGAGTCAGTAATGTCAAAAAGTCTAGAAGACACTTGAGGCTTGTTTTCTTTGATCTTTAACTTTTTGCATGATAATAAAATCGAGTTCAACTTAGATCGAGTAGTGTTGGTAATTTTTGCACTTTGTAATGATGAATCGAGCAACTGACTTAAAAAAAAATCAAGGCCTGGAATATTATAGGGTGTAGGCAGTTCAGAGGTTGAAAATCCGTATGTTAACTTCATGCACAAAGAATCTAGATTATGGAAATCCAAAGGAGTCAAAATCTTTCTTAAATCATAGTTCATTCTATTCTGGAAATTCTTTAGTATTGTAGACTTTGAAAGAACTGCTAATAAATAATTGTATAAAGTATTGAGTTGTCCTATCAAAATACTATCATCTTCATTTCGGGCATTATTTATCATGGTTTCATGTTTTAGTTTTGTCATAGCGACAAATATTAATGGATCTTTATTCATGATTACAAGTTTTAGATCATCACCATAGTTAACTGATTTAATCTCTTCCTTCATATTCTCTTGAAAAGTAGAAACAATAGTAGTTATAAATCCCATATATCCCATTATAACATCGTCAGAACCATTCATAGAATATATAGGCTTACCAGCCGTAGATAGTATGAAGAATTGCTTGAATTTGTTGTGAAATGAATTTGAATCAGAAGCTTTTGAAATCGAAATATACCTTTCAATGAACTCACTTTGTGATTCCATTTTGTAATTGTCATTAGTTAAAGTACTTAGATCCATAGATGTCAAATGATCCTTTGAATCAGTCCTTGAACCTGCAAGTCCATCATCTTGTCTAACTAACAGATGTAATATCTCTTGTAACTCTTCTTCATCATTGTCATTGATGATGTTTTCCTCATCTGTATTATACCCTGATGGAAACAAACTATGCTCACTGGGAGAATATTTATTCAGTCTAACTGAGCGTAAGTGGTTATCGTTATCTGAGTCAGTCTCGTCCACCGGAGACACAATATTTGCATTTCCAATATTTTCTAGATTCACTGCTGTTGTTGCATCACTTACTAGACCATTAGTGACATTAACCTTAGCATTTAAGTTTCCTATCAGTTTTCGTGTTAGCAAGACAGCTGAGCTTTTTCTTGTAGGTTGTGGAAGCTGTAATGTTTCTTGGGATTGTGAATTGTTAGTATTACTATTATTACTTAAATTATCTGGGGCTTTACTTCCCAAACTTTGTTCACCACTCATGCATAAATGATAGTCCAATATAAGACAATTGAATATTTGTAATTACAGTTATCGATCAAATATCATGGACCGTAGAGTTGATATTGCTCAAAAATATGCGACCGAACAATTCTTCCTACAAGCACCACATTGTCAGCTATTTATAATTATACATTATAGAATACATAATATCCTATCTAAGAAACATATACCAAACCAAGAAGACAAAGAACAATCCACATCCAACTATTGGTGCGTACTGTCTGAGTAAAGCATCGAAATTAATCTTCTGAGCATGCTTCCTATATTTAATAGAATCATTTCTTAAACTAGACGATAAATCACTCATTTTATCCAATGAATCACCTCTGTACAACAAATCTTCAATATTCTTGGTCATGACTTTCTTGACATCCGCTAAGTCGTTATTCAACTTGTCCAAATTGGATTGCGCTCTTTGATCTTGGTAAATCTTCTTCGTTTTGCTCAAGAAGTTGTCGAACGAACTAAACCCAAATGGTCTAGCACTGTTGCTCAATGCCTCCTGTCCATGTGAGTTCCAGAACTCATGCGAGATCTCTGATAAATACGAAAATGCTAATTTTCTAGGATACGACTTCTCGCAAATACTCAAGTATATTATCGAATTATCTATCAAGTAGTGGATGTTATATTGCCCCGATTCAATTGTAGCCTGTGGTTCGGAATTGGGTGTGATTCTACTTATAAGAATCTTGCATTTCTTCTTCTGATCCATTAATGATGGATCGTTATTATCGTCGACTGATCCGCATAATGGAAGTGCTAATTGTCACTTGTTAGTTTTGATTCATTATCTCAAATTTTTCAATTAATACTCTCCATACATACCATCATATCTGTAGATTAATGTAGATTTGACCATTATTAGTTCTTAATGTACCTCTGGAATATTCTTTCCTTGAATACTACTAGCTTAGGTGTTTTTTGTAAATCCATATAGACATCACGTGTACATTCTAATTCTGATCATCATCAAAAAAGCTAATACAAAAATTCTCTCCTTGTGTTTTAGTAGTGAATCAGCTTAAAGGTTTATAATAAACAAGAAATATTGTACAATAGAAGAAACTCTAAAGACTGAAAGTAACAAAGAAAATATTTTCCACAAAAAAGATTATTGAAATATGGATTTATCCAACTTATCGTCAGATCTTCCTCCTACAAAGCCTATCAACCAAGCATCAATTAATGAGTTGAACAGGGAGTTAACGACAGAATTTAAGAATGCAGCGAAATCCGTGGTTTCATTATATAATTCTTCAACGTCAGGTACAGCATGCAACTCCAAAAATAAAGCAGAGTTTGCCAATGCCGCCAAGTCCGTGGCAGCGTTGTATCGGCTAACAAACAACGGGAATGGAATACATCGTCATATGGGGTATTTGGAATGCCTAGATGACTTATTAGGAGTGATAACAAATGGTGAAGATATTGAGAACTGGGCATTAACGAAGCGGGCAGAAATTACAAATATTAATCATGGACAGGGAGATAATAACACAAATGTAAATGGACCAAATCAAGAACAGAAAGAGAATAAAGATACCAAAGAAGTGCCTCAAGGTGCGGATGGAGAATTGCATATTCCTTTAGATTATGAGTTTTCATTTTCGCTGGATTTGGCTCCTGGATATCATTTTAGGCCCAGCTTTCCACCATTGTCAGTAACTCATTCTTACAAACAAAGGGCAAATTTCAAGCAATTGAAATCTTCGGATCATTTAGCAAGAATGAGGATGCACCTGAAACAGAAACAAACGCAACACCTGCAATATCAATCTCTGGAAGACCTTTGCAGCACATCAGACGAGGTTGATAGCGATTCAACTGATAGAGATCATGAAGAAGTCGACGCTGTGTCTTTGAAAAAGAAAAAATCTTTCGAAAAAGATAGCGATATAAAAAGAAGAAGACTTAATGGGCAAAATGAGGCTTCAATTAATTCGCCTAAGAAATGAGGTTATCCTCTCACTTGCATACATGTATACTAATATTATTACATAGTTTTCATTTATCTAGTTAGGATTATGGGGTTACATATATAGATAAGACTTGGTAAATATACAATCGATAAGTATTAAAGAAAGTAACCAAACAATGCTCATACATTACTTTAATGTGCGAATAATCCATCTGAATTATCATCGTATTCATCATCATAATCGTCATAGCTGTAGTCACTTCCCGATTCACCATCAGAATCAGATTCATCGGAGTCAACTGCAAACTCTTCTTCATCATCTTCAACAATACCTTCCAAAGAGAGGCATAACAAAGTATCACCCTTTGAATGTGTACCTTTTGCAACTTCAAGACTCGATTCAACGTTACAGTTAGTCAATCTCAGCTTGCTACGTATGACAACACCATTTCCTAATATACAATTTTCAAGCTGAACGTCATCTTCGATTGTAGTATTATTCAAAATGAGACAGCCTGTTAATTTAACCCTCTTTCCAATATGACAAGAAGAACCAACAATAGTTCTCTTGACATTTGTCTTTTCATCAACAGAAGTATTTTCGCCAATCAAACAATCTATACCAATATTAGCAGAAGCCTTATCCTTGGGATGAGATGCTTGTTGTTGGTGTTGACCCTTCGCAATAGCCTGCAATTTCATAAAATGTCTGTTAGCTTCCATCAACACTGGGGTATTATTAACTCTGAGAAATGTAGCCTGATCAGGCAAAATGCAAAATCCCACAGTATCTTTAGGTTCTGAGTGCTTCCAAGATCTCCTAGATAAATCACGAATGACCTTGGTAATCGATCTATTGTGGAAATATGATTCTGTACATTTTTCTTCTTGATCAAATACGGAAAATATCTGGTCTACTGATCCAAAGAAAATTGAACTGTTCAATAACTTGGTACTAATTGTCGAATTAGGATACTTCCAACACATTTGTGTTCTTATTTGTAACGTCTTGTGAAAATCAATATCCTCCTTTGAATAAATATCCAAGAGCTGACATTGACCGCTTGCCAAATCAGAATAGACGGTGTAGTTTTTAGGAAAAATTTTGGACTTCTTATCTTCTATATCAAGCTGATTCCTATAATAAACCAACATCCCAAGGTCCGATTCCTGCCTATTCCTGTACTCTTCGATCAACACTTGTGGAGGTAAATTGGTGATGATATCACACGGCAAGATCACAAAGTGTGGACTACTTTTCAATGCCGCCGTCTTATACAAATGGTACAATACTTCACCACTAGAACTGCTGTCGAGTGCTAAGATTTCCACTGATCGCGAGAAAGACCCACCGTCATCATCACCGTCCGCATCCTCCTTCGCTTTTTCTCTCTTACTCTTTTCACTCTTGTATTCATCCAACACCCTTTGAACTTGCTCACTAGTATCAGGGTCACATACCACTGTCACTTTCGGAAAGAATGCCTTTTCACACCATTCCAATACATAATCAATCATAGGTCTGTTCGCAATCGGTAATAATGCCTTGGGCATCCCCGTAGATCTCACTTGAGAAAATGGAGACAAGGCTTTTCCCGACCCACACAAGATAACTGCATGAAATTCCATCGTTTTTAATCCTAGACTACGATATACAGCTCCCAATGGTCCTTTCTTCTTGAATACTATAGCAGTGCTTCATAAATTTTTCTCTCTTCAAACTTTTCACGTGATGGATGAATCGGTAGTGCGACGAAATACAAAAACCTCCCACTATGTTTGCCACTAGAGTGTAGAAGAAATATAAACTGGTTATTAGGGTATAATAAAGGTTAAAACAGACCAATTAATATCACATCATATATCATTGAATAGAAACTCAATAATATCGTCTAAAAATATCGATAATAATGAGTGCCGAAGAGAACGATCCACTTTTGACCGCATTGAATGCTGATGGACAACAAAATGATACAGCAGCGGAATCGGCAGATCCTGAAAGAGAAAGGGCATTGTCCAAGTTCAAGGATAAGTTGATTGAGCATAGAAAATGGGATGCAAGATTAAAGGAGTTAAGATTGAGCATACGAGACTTAGACGCAGATTATGATAAGACAGAAAATGATATAAAAGCGTTGCAATCGGTCGGGCAAATCATTGGGGAAGTATTAAAGCAATTGGACGACGAGAGATTCATTGTGAAGGCGTCGAGCGGACCTCGTTATATTGTTGGTTGCCGTAACACTATTAAAAAGGATGCGTTGAAAAACGGGGTGAGAGTGTCGTTGGATATGACTACATTGACGATTATGAGAATCTTACCTAGAGAAGTTGATCCTTTGGTCTATAATATGACTACATTTGAGCCTGGTGAAATTTCATTCAACGGAATTGGTGGTTTGACCGATCAGATCAGAGAATTGCGTGAGGTTATTGAATTGCCATTGAAGAATCCAGAATTGTTCACAAGAGTGGGTATTAAATCGCCAAAGGGTGTATTATTATATGGGCCACCAGGTACAGGTAAAACATTGTTGGCTAAAGCAGTCGCTGCCACAATCGGTGCTAACTTTATATTTTCACCTGCATCGGCAATTGTCGATAAGTATATCGGTGAATCTGCGAGATTGATTAGAGAAATGTTTGCATACGCTAAGGAGCACGAACCTTGTATTATTTTTATGGATGAAGTTGATGCCATTGGTGGTCGTAGATTCAGCGAGGGTACGTCTGCTGATCGTGAAATTCAAAGAACTTTGATGGAATTATTGAATCAAATGGATGGGTTTGACACGCTTGGACAAACAAAGGTTATTATGGCCACTAATAGACCAGATACATTAGATCCTGCATTGTTGAGAGCTGGAAGACTTGACAGAAAAATTGAAATTGGTTTGCCTAATGAAGCCGGTAGATTGGAAATTTTCAAGATTCACACCTCGAAAGTCGCTAAACAGGGTGAATTCGATTTTGAAGCTGTGGTCAAAATGAGTGATGGATTTAATGGTGCAGATATTAGAAATGTCATTACTGAAGCTGGATTCTTCGCTATCAGAGAAGAGAGAGATTATATTCTTCAAAACGATTTAATGAAGGCGACTAGAAAGGTCGCAGACGTGAAGAAATTAGAAGGTAAAATAGATTACGAAAAGTTATAGGTTAATATGTCATGTATCTATTTAAGCAGTTTCTGACAATCATAATACATAATGATCAATCAATGGTCACTTTACGAAAATTCAAATTTATAGTAGTTTCTTTAGATGAGTATATACATGAAAAACCTATGTTATATAATAGTTACATACAATCAATTTGTATTGAGTTGGAAATTAGTGGATAAAACTTTTAAGGTGCTTGATTGTAAAGTTTCTTCTGCTCCTCAAGTTCGGCCTCTTCAATATTCTTCATAGTTTTGGCAAAGTCTGGAATCTTGGATTCAGATAAGGCATCCAAATGAGCAAGCAAGGCAGGGTTATCAATCTTGTTTACGTGTTCAGCCATTCTAGAACCAATGAAATCTTGTATTTCTTCAGATAATTTCTTATACACCTTCTTAGGTTCAGTTGCCTTCTTAGCCAAGTAGATCTTTTGTTCATCTGATAATGGCATATCTGGGGCATTAACCTTTCTAGCTTGAGCCTCACTAAGCACACGCTTCTTGTGTTTGGAGTATGGGTTTCTTAATTGTGATAATGCGTCAATTGGTACTGGTGGTTTGGCAATAGATTGTAACTCAAAAGTTCTTTCTAAAGCAGTTTGTTGGCTCGTAGATAAGTGATCATCCTTAGGGTCTTGTGGAGGGTTTGGCCATGGTATTTCTATAGATTCATGGTGTTTTACAAATCTCTTCGGTAACCATTTCTTGTATCTTTCGTCATAGTATTTTTCTTTGTAAACAACGTCATCAGCAACAACGTAATACACTTTTCCATTCTCGTCTTTGTCTTTGGCAGCAAGTTTTATGTGTTCACGCTTGACATATTCTGGGTAGTCAATAAGATGACTGGATTGGTGTTCAACCCAATTTTGTTTTGGAAGAAGCTTTTTGGAAGTGACATCTGCCAATAAGAATGAGTTCATTTCTGGAGAATATTGGAAAATAGTAGAAACTGTTCCCTTCTTCTCTCCTTCAGTGATATAAGCAAGGTCACCATTAGCGAATCCAATTTGTTCAATCTTATTTTTCCTTTCCCACTTCGCAAGAGGCCATTCCTTGGTCTCAAAGGTTGGTAAGGTATATTTGTTGGTCTTCGCTAAATAAACATCACGAAGAGCCTTAGGGTACTTTTCGACGTCCCTTTGAAATCTCTTTTTAGCTGTATTCCAAGACATATCTAATCGTTATTAAACGTTGAACAACTATTGATCTTTCTTAATACACCGGTGAAAAAGTGAAAATTTAACGAAATTTTGAAAAATTCCGTTCGCAACTATATACAGGAATATGAATACCTACCTACGACGACTAACCCAGTATCTATATTATGATCTACAGTTTCTCCTTACGTTAAAGAGCATATGAGTAAACAAATTAATATATTAATATACAAAATTGAAGGCTTTTCCATTCGAACCTTAAGATTTGACGCAAATCTCTTTTAATATACTATTTATACTATTCGGTACAAATATTGATAAATTCCTGTTCATTGACTATAGTAATCTGTTAGTATTTCACTCATGCCCTCATATTTGTGTCCTTTAATAATTGTATAATACATACTCTCTCCATCTTCATCTAGATCAAATTCGTCTATCATAGCTCTCAATTCATCGTCGGTCAAGTTTTCTCCCAATTCTTTGGCAACTCTTCTTAAGTTTCTTAGACTAATTTTCCCTGTGTTATCATCATCGAACAACTTGAAGGCTCTGCGTATTTCATCCAATGGGTCCCTATTCACAATTTTTTCGCCAACTATAGAATTATGTTAGTAACGTTCCAAACGTAAACCAAAACCTATCAAGCGGTTTCTTGATTATCAATGTCAGGATTTTCTTCCTTAAATATACGTACCAGCTTGGAAAAAGTTTTCGTAAGTAATTAGATTCCTGTCGTCGGTGTCGTATTCGTGGATTATATCCAACACTTCTCTTTTAGACAATTCAAAGCCTAATGCTCTGAACGCCACTTTTAACTCATGATAATCTAAACAACCGTCGTTGTTCATATCAAAGAGAGAAAAGGCTTCCCTTATTTCTTGTTTTTGTTCATTCAATAACTCAAGTTTAAGATTACCCAATGCTCGCTTCTGATTGTTGGAAGCGTTTCCGGGAGTTGATATTGATGTATTGCTCTGATGTGACATTCCTGAATTGTTCGGATATTGATCGTTTCCTGACTTCCTATTAATAAAGGACATATGGTATCACTTTGACGATAAGTATAAGGTATAAACTTATTGTTTATCCATCATTTGATTCTCGCGTAGATCGTAGATCGCGTAGAAAAACCACAAATAATTTGTTAGGTACGTATAATAAACAGTGCTGGATAATTCTTGTATCTCATGGAAGAATTGTCAATAAACCAAAGAGTCTTTGTTAAGGATGAGCCAGGGATTATAAGGTTTATTGGAGAGACTCAATTTGCTTCAGGGACATGGATTGGAGTTGAGCTTCAAAATGCTCATGGGAAGAATAATGGGTCTGTAAATGATATACGATATTTCGAATGTGAAAAAAAGGATGCAAACTACGGGGTTTTTGTTAGGCATTCATTGATAAGTACGAATTCGATTCAAAAATCCAAATCTATAGACACTCTGAATCTTGAAAATATTATCAATAAGTTGCAAGATAAGCTTAGAAATGCTAATGGAGAGGTCGAAAAGCTCAAGAAGAAAATTGAACTGCTCAAAGAAGACGTAACTAGACACCGGGGTGCTACTATGTCTTTAGAATCCAAGTTGGAAATGGTAACAACTGACAAAGAGTTCCTAGAGGATTCAAATCGTAAGGTGAACCAAGCATTGGAAGAGTTGCAGCTGAAGTATGAGGACTTGAAAACAGATTTTCAAATTATGCTGGAAGAAATGGAACTAAATAAACAAATAGAACAGGAAATAATATCTCAGATGAAAGAATCAGATGCCAATGATATAGACTTTCAAGTTCTTCTTCTGCGAAATAGGCTGTTGGAGATTGCCCTTACGAGTCTTCAAAAATTATCGGCTGAAAATGAATTAAATCTTAAGAACGAAATACAGGATCTAAATCTAAGACTAATTGAAAAAGAAAAAGGAATTGGATCGCACGATGAGCTTCTTCGAAACCTATCAGCTGCCCAAGAGACAATTGATTCGTTACAGAGTCAGTTAGATTCAGCGTTGCAGCTGGAAAAGATGATTGAGCATTTAAATTTGGAGAACGATAATCTCCACTCGAAAGTTTCAAGTCTCACCAAAACCATTGATGAGTTGACTGAATTGCATGAATTGGACAAGAGTCTTGAGGAAAACCAAGCGTTAGTTGAGAAAGAATTGCGAAAGGATATCTATGATTTATCCTCTAAAATAAAGGCAAATGTAGCAGTTATTGAGGAGCTTAATAGAAAAAATAAGTATATGGAATCAAAGATTTCCGAATTCAAAAAAAAATCGAATAGTAACGTTGAAGATGGTGAGAATTTAGAAGAATTACAGATGCAATTAGAAGCATTACGGCTTGAGTTCAGGAAGACTCAATCTTCAAATGAATATTATAAAATAACGCATGATTTGATTAATGCAAAACTAGAGATATTGCAAGAAAACATGCATTTTCCAAATGCTAAATATAAGGAAGTTCTTAGAATTCTTTTATCAATAAAGTTAAATATATCTGCAATAACTATTATAAATAATATTATTAATATGGCTATTCAAAAAGGACCATCATCAAGCAAAGGTACATTATTAAGTGTTACTAATCGTTTTCATTCTTTGAAAAGCTTTTTGCAAAATATTTCTGCTTTATGGGAGTATAATTATAACCTTGACGCATACCGACTTGTTGAAGATAAATTTTATAAGATGATCTCTGATTTACAATTGAGGATAGATAACTCTACGACATATGTAAAGGAAGGAAATTATGATAGCATTAATACTGATTACATTGACGAGTTTTTATTGGAAGCTACCGAACTAATGGATTTGAAATTCATCGAGAGTGACGAGACGAGTGTATATTTCCAAAACACTTCTTGTGCCAACTTTTTGTTAGAATCATATCGAAATGAGGCTAGCCTATGCATTAAAATCGTTAACATACTCAAAGGGTTTCTTGACACTTCTCGTGAAATGGAAGAATTTATATCTTCAACAAACCAGTTGGATAACATTATATCTGAAAGTCAGAGTCAAGAAATAGAATTCGACCGCCTCATACTTAAATTAAAGGATAGTTTCAATAATGGTAATAGTATAAATGTTTCAATGTCTTCGATGCCGCATTTTGGCAGCTCATTAAGAGAGCTTAATTCTCCTATAGAATTATTACTGAAAATTTTGCTAGAAGTCGAAGTAGAAAGTCGTTTAAATAAAAACCCTGTTTCCATTGATATACTGGTATTGAAAAATATCTTTGATATTAAAGTTGCTGGTACTAGCCCGAAATTCTCCTCGGTATTAGATATTTTGAAACAAAGAGATTGCTTTATGAAATTACAGGTCATAAATAACCATCGTACCCTTCCAAAAGTATATTCTTTGCTTGGTAATGACCATGCATTAGACGCTAACTCAACAAATGATGCAGAAGAGGAACTTAAATCTTTAAAACAGAAATATGCTGGCCTATCTACAAAGTTCTTTGAAAAGGAGAAATTCATTCAAGAATTACAGCTAAATATAAAATTTCTACAAAGCAGTATGGAAAAAACTTCTGACAGGAATAAAGATTATATCCAGAATATAAAAGCTGAGCTTGACCAAATAAAGGATAAATATGAAGAATCAAATCAGAAATGCCAGGAATTATTGGAGGCTAATGAAAAAATAGAGTCTGAAATAGAGGACCTAAGAGGATCCTCTCGGATAGAAGGTGATAAGTATTACGATAAGTTTGCTAGTTTAGAAAGTGAAAACCAGCATAATGTTAACATGGCTTTGCTTGATGAAATTGTAGTACTAAGAAAATTATTGAAGCATAGCAATAATGAACATGATAAGCAAAGGGAGCACGGCCTCGATTGGTTAAATAAATCATTAATATCTAAGTATAAGATGGAAAGGTCACTGAATATTGCATTAAAATTCGAACGCAATTCTTCAAATTTAAGAGACATATCAAAGAATGCAAGGCTTGCAAATATTTCTAATAAATCCGCAACGTGGAGGCCGAAGTCTAGCATACCAAAGTATATGGCTTTGATATTAGAAGAAAATGCTACAAATTACCTTGAACAAAGGAACCTTACACTCTCTCTGTTATCGTCGTCATCATTATATTAATATATATATATGTATTATTCACAAGAATCAACAGTGGTGGTAATATTGGTTTGTTCTTTATTGTGCGAGGAATGCCTCAAGCCTTTTTTAGGCCACTTAGTTGCCTTATCAATATGATCAGCAGGATACAAGTACTCTAATATTAAATAAAATATAATATCCAAGACAACACACAAGACAAATAACTTACCAGCAATCAAACCACAACAATGATATTTCTGTAACCTATGCACCAATGGCTGATTTAATTTTTTTAAATCCAAAGAATTGTAAACATTTTCAGTACGACATGCAATGTTCTTCCAACTATACATTCTCGATACCTCATCAAAAAACTTCGATGTGTCAATATCTCCAGATTCTATCAAGTTTACTGCCTTTAATGTTGCTGCTACCAAGGAGTTTTCCTCAGGATCAGCAAAACTTGTCATATGACTGGGCAAAACTTCAGGTATTCCCCCAACTTTTGTAGTAACTACGAACAAACCACAGGACGCAGCCTCCACTATTACCGTACCAAACGCTTCTGTAAGAGAAGGATGTAAATAAATATCTCCCTGCACCATTACATCTCTAACTTCTTCATGCTTTACGGCTCCAATTAACGTAACTCTTTCTTGTAAGTAATACTTTTCACGCATTTGTTCTAAGTCAAGGAATTTTGGACCGTCTCCTGCAATCAAAAAGTTTACATCCGGCTTTTTTGCACAAATAGTTGGAATGATTGCAGTTAAGAGATCAGCACCCTTATTAGGGAATAATCTAGATATTACAACAATTGTTATGTTCTTTCTTGATATTTTCTTTTCTGGCTCTAAGGGTGAAAAGTCTCTTGCGATGACAGCATTTGGTATTACTGAAACATTTAATGGATCTATGGATGCTCGTAATACTGTGTTTTCTTTACATGTATGTGACACACAGATGACATGGCCTATATCACTTAACGAAAATTTCAATAATTTATTCCCCACAATTGATGTAACATTTGCAAATCCGTACAACGAATGGTCAGTAAACACGGTTCTTAACCCCATTGTACGTGCATGTAGAATTGATTCACCGCAAATGGTTGATAATGATCCATGCCCATGAACAATATCAATCTGTTCTCGAATAAAAATATTTCGTATTATTGGAAATGCCAGAAATACTGTTGGAAGAGCTGAACTTCTGTAAACAACATAAAAAGGAACATAATATACTTTTAATCCATTAGTTAAAGTTCGGATTCCATTTCTTGACCCATAGTCATGAGTAATGATTATGACTGAATGCCCCATTTCTATTAATTTTTGTGACAAATGATACACATGAAACTCCACCCCACCAGGCTGAGGATAGAAGAAATCCGTCACCATTGCAATATTATACCCCATTATGTACTCTCTATTATCTGATGTCCCATTGATAACCCTTAACTCAAAAAAGAATTCTGTTACTTTAAACATTTCATTTCTCTAACGGTTCTGCGCGATGAACGGCTACAGAGCCAGGTGTAACCAAATCATTTTAATATGATGACATAGAACCATGCATAGAGTTGAAACGATATAAATGTATTACAAACAGGAGATGTGAAATGGTATACTATAATATATTGATATACATTCTATTTAAGCTACGTATGCCTCTCGTGGCAAAGATGCAACGGAGTTTTTAAAATTTATAGTACACTGTTGGTAATCCCAATTGCTTTGCTCACAAAGCATAATACCATATTGAAGATTTAATTTGGTTTCTAACAATATCTTTACCAAGATGTCTTGCTGTACTGGGTTCAAATTTGCTTTTACCTCAGCAGGCAAATCTGCTGCTGTTGGTGTTGGGGTAGGTACCTGGTTTGGAGGAGCTACTGGTGGAATACTAGCTGGGGAAGGCGTGATGTGTGGTTGAGGAGTTCCTTCTGCTGATCTTGTTATATCATTCCACGCCTGTGATCCACCGAATGATCTAATCGAGAGAAGATCGCTGGCAACAATAAAGCTACCATTAGGTCCTGGGATGACGACAAATGTCCTATCGAAACTCTTTGTACTTAATGCAATTTTTTTGTGTTTTTGGGAACCATAACGGTTTCTTGGTTGGCCCTGATTTCCCAGAACCGCTTCATTATTATCTGGGATTGCTGTCTCCTCAAAAGAACCATGTAAAGTAATTATTATACCATTCAATTGTGGGAATCTATGACTTTCCATACTAAAAAGCTGTGGTTGAGAAATTAAGTCATGGCGGGTTTTGGGTAATTGTGAAAACAACTTGAATATTTGCTCCTGGCCTTGAGCAACGCGACTAGCCCTTGATTTCACAGAAGAAACTCTTGTCAAGTTACGAGATTGAGGTAAGTAGTAGCCAAAATCTGTAGAACTACCGTACCCACCTGTTGTATTTGTATCCATGACATAAGGATGGGATGAATCAACCTGCATTGAAAATTGAGAGTTTTCTTGATATAGAACCAATAAATCTTGCCTGTTGCTATCCCATAATTTATAAAAATTCGTAATGAAGTTTGTTGACATATTTTGTACTTCTTCATCTTGGAAAAACATGGATTGAGAAGTCTCAAAAGGGAATGTAAGATTACTAAGTAACAATTGTTCATTCCTGATCACTTCACCGTTCAACACAATAAGCCTTGGGAATGATTTCATCAATTCAATCTTTATATTTAAAATATCATTTGGATTCGCTTGGTTGTTGAAGAGCGGATTACCTATAATAATCAATTCTCTTAAAAAATTTAGTTTGTGCCTCCATGTCTCAAACAGCTTCAAGCGATTGAAGTTGTTGTTCAGTAAAGACAAGTTTTGTAATAATGGGAAAGTTTGTGCTAAAGTGGAGATGGTGCTGATGTCAGTTAAATTATTGCCAGATAAGTCAACACTATTTACGTCTAGCTTTAATTCATTTGCAATCTTCATCAAGGCCGGGAAGAACTTGGATGTGGTTGATATAGAGGCGAAGAAACCTCTTGAAACCAAATTAGCATCTTGTTGCACGCTACTTAAATTCAACATTTTAATTTCCGGTTGATACCTGGTTTTTAAAAACTGTGTAATCGTTTCTATAGTAGATCCACCACTAGCATTTACTGATCCTCCCATCTGTGACGACATGGAATTGGCGGCTGTAGCTTTTGTAATTTTCAATGACTGTCCAGCGAATTTCACACCCGACCAAGTACACAATTCGTCTGCTTCTTTGGGGCTCTTCACATAACCCTTCAATATTCCTGTAGCTGGATCAACGCTAGAGTTACTCACAACTATTCTGCACTTCCTGGAAATAAACTTAATGCACTCATCTGGAGTTGCACCATTCCAGCCTAAAATTTCAACTGGGATTGAATTTGCTGACACAAATTGATCAACATTTTGCTGACTGAAGTTACTTCTGCTATTATTGTTGTTATTGTTATTATTGTGGAAGCCACCTCTACCTCTTCCCCGGTAACTCATTCTGTAGATATATAAGAGAGATGAGGTTGTTTAACTTCAAATACATCTCTTTAATCAATCGACATTTTCACATTGAAATATTTGAGTTTATACACGACCTACGTTATGACATATATATTCACTATAAACTACTTACCGTGTGTATTCTGCTAGAAAGTACGGGACATAGCTCATAGTGCAAATCTCTGTACCCATTAAAGTGTATACTGCGTCCAAAAGAATTCCAAAATTAAATCACACTGTGTCGTTTTCATGGAGTGAACCCACCACAGGATATTTATTCTCAAAATGCTCTTCCCAACTATCCAAGGATTCTATTTCCTCGGGGGTCAAGTCATCCAAGGGATCAATTGGCTGGTCTACGGGTGTCAAGCAATCCAACTCAAACGAATTTTTGGATAATCCACGAGAGGCATCCCTTCCTGCAAAGTTCTCGTATGGTCCTCCAGGGCCGTAAAACGCTGCTCCCATCGTCACATTAAACACTCTCTTTCTCACGGCAATGAATATTTTAGCATCGTCACTTCCGTTATATTTTGCCAAACTTTTAGGTGTAAATTTGCCTTCAACAATAGTTTCTGCTGTCTCACCTTTATCTGGATTAGAAATCTCAATGCCCGAGAAAACATTTCTCAACAAATATGCAACAAATAAGATCACTATAATGGTAGTTATCATTGTTCTTTTGATTGGTAATACCTCTGTATTTATATACTGCCTTTCTTATCGTTTAAGTTGACTTTTTGGTTAGCTATACTTAGTACCAGATCCACAAATACTTGTCACGTGTTTTGGGGCCGTAATATGATCCCCCTCCCAGCTTGGATTGACATATGAAGAAACACCACTATTCCAGACAGTTATGAACATCTGGGTTCCTTGAAATATAAACCATGTACTTGTAATGGGTGGCACTTGTAGTGAAACAAATAGTCCCTCATTACGAAATTCGTCATTTCGTGAGGTTAAATAAATCAAATATTCATTCATTGTAATATCCGTAAAAGAATTGACAATATTTTGTAGTATCGAACATGCCAGAATAGTCTCTCGTGTAGCATTCTACTTGTCAAAATGGGTTGCAATTGATAGGGCTATATGGCCATTCATAGATTGACAATTTGCAATCAACAGTCATGTGACCATTATATATGGTGAAAAATACTGAAATGATGAAGAAACTGTTAACATACTAATACACCGTACACAGTCAAGATACTACAATGCCTAGAGATATCATATCGTTGGACGACTTGACGTCAAATAATATGGGGGTGTTCAAAAAGATAAACGAAGTTAGTTTGCCAACGAGTTATCCGGAGCAATGGTATAAAGATTCGTTGAACAGCGATCAAATCGTAAAGTTGGCCTTTTATTCGGAATTACCAGTCGGAGCAGTAAAAGGTAAAGCAATTATTACCTCGCACAAGAGTGATAGCTACGAATCGAGCCAACAACTGCAATTACCTTCGGAATCTATACCTAATGCAGTCTATTTAGAAAGTTTCGCTGTGTTAGAGGCCTACAGGAACTTGGGTATCGGTGCCAAACTCTTAGAATATGTGATTGCAGAAACCAAAAAGAGATTCATGCACGAAGTCATGTTGCATGTTCACATCGAGAATTCGCAAGCAATTGAATGGTACTTGAAACATGGTTTTGTTAAAAACGGTGACGTAAAGGATTACTATAAAGAACAAGGATTATCGAATCCTGATGCGGTCATATTGTCCATTAAAGTTTAAAAAGTATTAGACTTTCATTTATATATTTAAAATTTATAAAAACTTATATATTAATATAGTACAAGCTTAATTATCACCTTCATCTTCAGTATCAGTGTCGATATCAGTGAAAATACTTTCAGCATCGCTTTCATCAGATACATCACCCGATACAGCTTCTTTTTCTTCAGATTTCTTGACATTACCACCTCTTAATGCTGCTAATGCTCCAGCAATGGTGTCTTCTTCTGGGTCCGAAATGTCACTTTCATCATCTGATTCAACATCTTCGTTGGTTTTTCTGGTCAATACCATAGGAGCAGCCTTGACTACCATTCAACAGGAATATCTACATCACATCCGAAGTAAGCGTTGTTCTTCATTATCAATCGGTAATGTGTTTTACCTTCATCTGCTGGTGCAGGGCCATTCATTGGAATCTTAAACGAACTAACCACCACATCGTCCTTACCATCAACCCATTTTTCTTGCGTAAGTTCAAGATTACTTAAATCAATATGAGATAAAGTTGAAGCTTCTGTACCCTCAACTAATTTGTTGTCCTTTTGAGCAACTAAAAATCCTGTCCATGAATTAGCTATACTCTTTGGGAAATAAGGGGCATAAGAATATGGCAATGAAGGTTGTTCTTCATTTGACTTCAAAGGATTCTTAAGATACTCTAAGGTCTCCTCATCTTTCAATCTTTCTTCGGAAATTTCAGGACATGATTTAAGTCTAGGTGATTTCACTAAAAATTTCACATATAAATGGGCATTTGACATAGGTGGTACAACATCTTCACCAGGCACTTTAAACCCTGCATCAATTACTCGAATGAATGGAATATGTGCAGCAACATTCATAGCAGTCTTTAATTTTGCATCATCTTCAATACCTAAAGTTTTTGATAATTCTTCTTTTGACAATGTAAATAATTTTCCTAACTTCTTGACTGGTTGCTTTTCAACCACCTCATCATCAACATATGGTAATTGCAATAATTCCTGGTATTTACCGACAGGTTTAACTGCTTGAATAACAGATTTACGCAAATCACAGGCAGTTGTTAAAATATCTACTTGTCTGAATACAGTTGCAATATCAATTAAGCCATTGATTAAAGTAGGCAAAATTGCAACAATCTTCAATTTATCCATTTCCAAACTTGGATTCTTTGATGTAAATTCAAAATTGCGGAATAAATGCCATGCAATTAGATCTCTAACTTGATTAATGTGTAAATGTTCGAAACTAGTTCTGATCTCATGGGATAAACATAACCAGTCTAAAATGTCATATGGTGTAACGATCTTCGCTGGATTTCTGTCGGTTAATTTTCTCGTGAATAACGCAGCCGTGTCTACATGTAAACCTTTCTTGGTGTGTGTCTTCACATTATTCCACCAGCTACCCACAATAAAAGGTAATAAAACTCCGACCAATACAAAATATATAACGACCATAAATGGCGAATATTTTCCTTCAACCAAAAACTTTGGAAGCGCAATACCATGTGAAACATCTTGAGGACCATCTGGGTGACCGTATTTCAAAAAGTTATTTCTGGTGACCTCATCAGTTAATGCCTTATAAGCCAAATTAATTCTAATGAATGCAGTTTCCATCTCTTCCTTCACGGCTTCTGTTATATCCTTAGGTAATTTATCTGGATGGAACTTCAACGATAATTTTCTATAGCGACTCTTAATCTCTCTTTCGGAAGCGGACGACGAAATGTCCAAGATAGTATATGGGTCAAATGCCCCAGTTAAATCAGCTTCCTTGGTATAATATAATGCAATATATATCACAGTTGCCCATCCTAAAATTAATACGAGTAATGTTCTGTTAATGAATCTGGACGACTTTTGTTTGAGTTTGTACTCTTTGATCTTTCTCAAATTCTCCACAGACACTGTACTGGAGTCTTCAAGTATAGAACCCTTAATCTTAGAGTTATAAGTTATAGGATCATCAGCATTCAAGATTCTATACACCCACTTAATCGTGAGTGGTACCAAGATGAATGTGAGAATGGCGATTACAAAGAATGGCCATGTCTCTCCTTCTTCATCATAAGTATATTCTGATGCCATCTTTGACTTTTATACCTTAATCTGATAGATAGTTAGGTCAATTACAGATACAACGATTGATTTTCTAGAAAGTAGACAACTTGAGTTTGGAGTTTACGTGTTTATTTGAAATTTCCAACTGCCAATTGAAAAGTATTTCGCACGACCTTACTGCTATGAATGAACTGTTACAATCAATCCAAGTACAATAAGAACTTAAAAGACAGTTAATAATGTGATATGATATTGCTATATAATCTAAGTAATATGGAATGAATTAAACTACAAAAAAGTAAAAAATAATTATACGAGCTACTTACTTAATGGTGGAATAAACGAATTGGATTTTCGACATAGACAACGTCGAAAGAATCAGCAGCAGCAAAGACTGCCTTATCCATAACGGAACCAGATGGAGCAGCGATAAACTTAACACCAGATCTGACGGCTCTGTAAACATTATCAGGGAATGGGAAGAAAGCATCAGAAGACAAAGCAACATCGGTTAACTTGCCTAACCATTCTTCTCTTTCCTTTTCAGTCAAAGGTTCAGGTAATTCAGCAAACTTGCTTTCGTATTCAGTCTTTTCTGGTTCGGAGGTTGGGATTTGACCAGTGACGAATAAGTCGATGGCGTTGGACTTTTCAGGTCTCTTAACACCCTTAGCCCATTTCATACCTAAAACCTTTGGATGTTGTCTGAACCACCAGTTGTCTGCCTTGTCACCAGCTAATCTGGTACAGTGGATACGAGATTGTTGACCAGCACCTAAACCAATAACCATACCATTCTTGGCATAACAAACCGAATTAGATTGAGTGTACTTCAAGACAATGGTTGCCACGGTTAAATCAATGGTACCTTGTTCAGTTAATTCCTTGTTCTTAGAAACAATTTCTTTGAAGGAGTTACCCTTAATGATGGCGTCGTTTCTCTTTTGTTGTAAAGTAATACCGTAAACTTGTCTAGATTCTAAGTTTTCTGGGTTGTAGTTAGGATCAATTTGTAAAATACAGTACTTACCACCCTTCTTTTTCTTCAAGATTTCCAAAGCTTCGTCAGAATAACCTGGCGCAATAACACCATCTGAAACTTCCTTAGAAATAATTTGGGCGGTTGGTAAATCAACAATGTTGGATAAAGCGATCCAGTCACCGAAAGAGGACATTCTATCAGCACCTCTAGCTCTAGCATAAGCATTAGCTAATGGAGACAAGTTTTCAATGTCTTCAACAAAGTAAATTTTCTTTTCAACGTCCGATAATGGTAAACCAACAGCACAACCAGCTGGGGAAACGTGTTTGAAAGAAGCAGCAGCAGGTAAATTTAAAGAGGCTGATAACTCCTTAACTAATGGCCATGAATTTAAAGCATCTAATAAATTGATGTAACCTGGGGAACCAGACAAGACCTTGAATGGAAGTTCACCTTGGGTAACGAAAGCTTGAGCAGGCTTTTGGTGAGGGTTGGCACCATATCTTAAAGGCAATTGAGACACGTTTTCAGCGTATTCCTTTCTGAAGAAATCGGAAATAGCAACATCGTAGTCGGCAGTATGTTCGAAAGCCTTCAATGCGTATCTGTTTCTAGCATCAGTCGAAATTTCACCGGTCTTTAATTGTTCCAAAAAGCCAGCATAATCCTTTGGATCAGACAAAATGGTGACTCTTGAATGGTTCTTAGCAGCAGCTCTTAATAAAGTAACACCACCAATATCAACTTCTTCAACAGCTTCTTCAATGGTAACAGCAGCCTTGGAAACAGTTTCCTTGAATGGGTACAAGTTACAGACAACAATGTCAACCTTTTCAATACCTTGAGCTTCTAAGTCAGCTTCATCACTCTTCAAGTCTCTGGCTAAAATACCACCGTGAACAGCTGGGTGTAAGGTCTTAACTCTACCGCCTAACATTTCCGGGGCATGGGTGATCGAAGAAACGTCCTCAACTGGGAAACCAGCTTCACGAATCAACTTAGCAGTACCTCCAGATGCTAAAATACGAACATCTTGGGCAACTAATCCCTTGGCTAAGTCTAATAATCCGGTTTTATCGTATACCGATAAAATGGCAGTTTTAGTATGGTTTGGCATTTTCTCCTAAATAATCAAATAATTGAATTAAAATAATCAGCAGAACTCAAAACTAGTTAAATTTGAACAATTATTTATTCGAATTAAGGGTTTCTTTATTGAATTGTTTGAATTGACCTTCAAATATTTGTTAAGAAATTTAAATTGTGATGGGAGTAATTAATTGATTTATGAAAAATGAGATTAGGGCAAGAGTCAATCTCGTCAATTAATTTTTGTGTTCAAAAAAAATTTATACTGTTGACTCCGAGATCACAATGAATGAGCCAAAGTTACAGACACCTAACAAATGGATGAGCGGAACAATGGTCAAACGCGAGGTTAAAGATGATGTAACATCTGTAGTATATGTCAAGAAATGATGCTAAAAGTTAGAACATTACAAAGTATTGCTACATGATAATTAATACAGGCAAAAAATACATTAAAAACTATACAATATGCATATAATGATTAACCAAATCTTGCATGTTAAATATGAAATATCCAATTGAACGTAGCATAGGCCAAAAGCCGAGCACATATCGAAGGGTAATCACACTTAAGATCTGTATCTCCATAAGGATAAGGTGTTGTTTCTCTTCCAAGTGTGACGACGACCAGCCTTGGTGTTGTTGAACAAGTGACCCTTGTTGATACCTCTGGACTTCTTACCGGTGGAAGTAAGACCTCTGGCTTCTCTGTGCTTGTGAACTGGGTTAGCGATCCAGTTGTATCTAGCATCTCTTCTGATAGCCTTGTGGGATGGGTCAAGTAAGATAACTTCGAAGTACTTGTAGGTAGAATCTTGGTTAACCCAGTAAGAGTTTAAGACTCTCAAGTTAGAAGCACGACGACCGACACGTTCTTCGGCAGTGGCTCTTAAAGCTCTTTGGTACTTCAAGTGGTTGACACCGTGGTTGGTTGGCTTACCGTAAGTAGCACCCTTTGGAACAGGTCTCTTTCTACCACCTCTTCTAACTCTAACACGGTAGATAACGAAACCTTGCTTGGCCTTGTATCCTAATCTTCTAGCCTTGTCTGGTCTAGATGGTCTAGAAGCTCTGTGGATAACAGTCTTTTGTCTGTATTCCCAACATCTGACACGATGTAAGAATCTCATGACATCAGATTGCTTCTTTCTTTGCAATTCTTCTAAATACTTGTAGGCACCCATTTTAATTTATTATTCCTTGGTAAAGAGTTATATTCTAAAATGAAAAATATATTGAAATTTTTTTTTTCACTGGACTGTTGATGGTGAGAGTGAAAATTTTCCAGGATTGAGACCTAATGCGGGTAACCTTCAGAAAATTTGGTTCGAATATGTTTGAAATTTCGGTCCATAATGTACGCATCGTGTCCATATATACGCATGATACATGCTCATTTAATCCGACCCTCGAAGTTGTTCCGTATAGGATAGTAAAGGTGGGGTCTTACTCAATTGGTACATGCGGCTAAATGGGCAATTACGACCAGACACTGACACAGCAGCAAAAAATGAAAATATCAACAGACACCACATCGGTTGTGACTTCCAAAACCTGCTTCAGTGTTTTATATATCCGAGAGATGGCGTCATATCTAATTGCGGTTAAGTTTGCTGTTTCTGGTAAAAACGAAGTGGGTGGCTGGAATCAAAATGATACGAGCAAATTAATAGCGTAAAATAGGTATCTCGTTGTGGTATAATAGCGCCAAATTCCATACACTGATAAATTCGACATATAATTCGGCTTATGTTAAATAATTGTCAATTCATATGACTTGAAATGTTATATGAGAAATCTAAATGTTTTTAATCGGAGATATCATATTTCTTGACAGACTTTTATGGTTCCATGTGTTTAAAGTACAGCCAAAATAACCCAAAGCAAAGTTTTGGGCTGATATTCGTGAAGGTATGAAGTATTGAAATACTTTGTTGAAGTAGTTGAGTCTGTTTGAGAGTAAGAAACTACTATCTACCTTTGCTGCAAGATATGCAATAATGCATGTCAGCTTGTCTCTTATTTTACTGATCCATAAGAACTCTACAGATGTAACAAGGAGGAATGAATCATTTGCCACACAATTTCTTATTGGATATTGAAGTTAGCAATATGATACCCTATTGTTAACTGTAATTTACATAGACTTAAAGATATTCGATTAATGATAATCTAGTTACTATATTGGATATGAACTAAATGTATCACTTCAATGAGGCTAATCTAGACTAATCTAACCAATCAATTATATGTTTAAATTAGAATAAAGAATGTAATAAGAAAATATTATATTCAACACAAAGAACATAGGGGAAGTTTTCCAAATTATGGTGCGATTTTTCTCTGAAACTATCCCTGTATTTAGGTCGTACAATACACACGGGCGAATATGTGCATGGGAGCCTCAGAATAAGAATCAAGGAACGCAATGTCAATTAATATTGTGGTGAATAATGCCAGTAGTCGGTCAAATGACTGCGAAAAGCCTTCTCGCCGAACTTGGCAGAACGAAGCTTTCCAAATTCATGAACCCAAAAGGAAGTAATTTCCGATGATATTACCATTCTCGGTGCTATTAAGCTCATACTACAGTTCTCTGTCATTCAATTGTGTCCAGTTCGACTTTACTAACCCTAGAATTTGAGGAAGAATTCTTATTCTACATCATAATAATTTGAAATAGCTGCAGGAATACTTCGTTTCTAATTCGTGTTATCATTCGTTTCAGTTAATTCTAACACTGTAATCACATCCGATCCTATTATCTTATTCGTATTCTTCCCTATAGTTATCGATTTCACCAATTTCAACATATTCATCACCTCTTATTACCTAAGAAGTAGCCTTTTTTCCACCATCTTGTTGCAACCGAAACTGCTAGAGAAGAATTTCTCGGTCACGTGAAACTAAGCGAGACCGGAATTCCTCTTTCCCACGTAATGATTGATGCGCATTCTATGCATATACCTACACGAGAGCAAATTACCGAAAGGAGCCTATTTATTTCACCAGGCTATCTCTTAAATCTACAGAAGGCAAAAAAAATATCCTATAGTGCAGAATTTATTGGCTATATAAAATCATATGATCATAGTATAGTGTGATAGCGCACCACAGGTGACGAGGTAGATTTGATTACGGAATAAATATATATATACATATATATATATAAGGTTGTTAAGTGGCATGCAAATTTTTGAAGGACTAAAGTTCATACATTCTAATAGTTATAACTGAGGCAAAGTAGTTAATATTGAGTAATTGAATAGATATACAGTGATTTGCCATCATCAGCAGATATAAGCATTAGGGGTTATTATTTTACACCGGAGTCATAGGCAACAGCAATAACAATTCGCCTGGAGTAATTATTTATATTCATGGATTTTTTCATCGGTAGAAACAAGTCTCAAAGCTTCCATTGGTATATTAGAGAGGATATGAAGAGGAATATTGGCGATTATAAGTTCCAACAAGCCCCTAATGAGCCGAATCCAGGGAGTGAGTTGAAGATGGACGATAGTGATAATTTCATTACGAATTATAACTTCGCCGGTGCTCCTGTGGGTAATTTTTTTCCTACACATCCACTTCCAAATATGTCTCAGGTACCACCAAGCAATTATATCCAACAAGAAGCATACTTATCTTCGCAAACCCCCAACGATATTAGGCTGCAGTCCCCAATGTTGAACTATATGACGATAATTCGACCCAATTCTACAGCAAATGAGCAAAATCAATTACCTCCACAACGGGACTACCCATTTTCAGATACGATTCCCCTGTATCCTCAAGAGGAAGCCCAAAAAATAATCACAGAACCTTCAACAGCAGACCACCAAAGATATCCAGACATGACAACATTAATCAACTCAAACGCTAGCATCAAAGTGCCCTTAGTCGAAAGTGCGTTCGTCGATCATAAAACATGCAGTGTTTGTGGAAAGAAGATAAGCCGTGATATGTTACGTCATATGAGAACTCGTCAAACAGTTGCGAGGTTCATATGCAACTTTCCAAAGAATCAATGCAATCACAAGTCCAGACGATTCAACAGACCCTATGATCATAAGAAACACTTGTTGAATCGTCATTTTATATTTGATGTTCCAGGGGTAAAAAGATTACACAACCTAAACGATAAACTAGGACATTCAGGTAAATGTCCATGTGGTCAACGGTATGTGGCAAAAGAATGGTTAGAGAAGCATATATTAACTAGGGACACAGACCATAAATGTCCCCTTATTGAATAGAATAATGTCATGTAATAATATTTGTATATAACATCTTAGTAGATGGTTAATTTTCATTGTAATTAATACACATTCGAGTGTTTAATTTAACATTATTTTTATCAGGCTTGAGCTTTACTCAAGGCTTTTGACTAAGTCATCAAGCTCATTTTTACTAACAATTTTAACTACTTCACCATTATCTTGAGGGAATGGTTCAGATGCTAAATGAACTGCAACCTTTCCTACTTCCTCTCCTGTGATAGGATAAGCGATAAACTTCAATGGCGTTCCTTTCACCATAGCTCCGAATTTTTGGAATAAATCGTTGGCAAAACTCTGCGATTTCTCACGCTTTCCTAATAAAGCACCAGGTCTGATGATTATAGTTCTAGGGAATTTCAAGGCTATAATATCATTTTCCAACTTACCCTTCGACTTCAAGTAGAAAAGCATCGAAGATTCATTGGCTCCAACCGATGATACCAACACAAACGTTTCAACCCCTGCCTCTTTCGCAGCTTTGGCGCATTCATAATTAATACCATAATCGATCTTCTTGAAGTTTTCGACTCCCCCAGCATCAGCCCTAGTGGTTCCAAAAGCAGAGAAGAATGTCCTCACACCTTTGCTGTTTTCCCTGATAATATCGGGCCATTTATCTGAGTCTGTTTCAACAATACCTTTGACCTTATCTCCACCTCCAGCTGAACGGCGACTGACAGTGTAAACTGTTTCGAAATTGTTCGAATTAGCTGCAACCTTCAATAATTGCGCTCCAACCAATCCAGTAGATCCAATAATAAAAGCGCTCATGTCGGTATACTTTAGATTTGTACCACAGTTACTATACAAATTGTCTTATTCTTCCCATATATATCTTATCTCCAAGTCATAGTCAGCCAATTATTAACCCTATGTACTATATGCAGGATATCGGATTATTCTGTTTCCTTCGGTAATCGTTGGAAGTGATCAAGGAAGAAGCGTATTTCCATTAGGTCCAGTTTGGAAGTTCCTGGATTTCCTAGGACTCTGTAGAGCCCTCGAGTGCTGTTGTATAAACAGATATGTTGCTCACTAATAATTCGCAGTAATCGAGGTGTCCTTGCAGCCAGAAAAGTCCCTGGTGTAGAAAGATCCCAGGGTAGAAGGAATAGAATTAATCAAGAGGCCTATTGGGATACTTATATAGAGAATACCTAAAATTTACAGCTTTAATAAATGAATCAGTGTCGTAGCAATTACTAGCAAACTAGGCTAAGCTGGTTTTGATGGTTTTGTGTCATCTAAATTCTAACCAAGCATTAATATTCACGAACTAAGATGAATTCAGTTGCTTCACATAAAGAAGTACATTCCAATCAATACAGGGTTGGAGCATATAGAAGGCAAATATAAAAGAGGTTACATCGACAATACGGATTTAAATATCATAGAAAATACGGTATATTCTAAGTTTCGATTGAAGAAAGTTAAAAATTTACATTTGGAGCACTTCGACAGTGGAGCCAGTGAACTTACGGATTATGGCCAATATACATCCAAACCATTATACACAACAACAGAATCTAACTAATATAAGTACTAGTTGTAATTATTGCGGAAAAACTAATAGTAAGTGCTACTGTAATCAAATGGACCCAAGCAGGAATTCGGCAGATACCAGAAATGCCGATATGAAGCTTAATTATGGGAGCTTGACAGCATCGTCGTCGGGTTCGACAGATACCTCGAGTTCTAATAATAATAATCACAGTAATATGAATGTACCAGTGCAGAGTTTGTTTGATCACCGTTGGTCGAACCCATCTGTTAACTATCCGATGTACGTCAATAGCATGTCAGGCAGCGATTCGGTGAATGCGACAATCGGTGGCGGATCAATTGATAATGGTAACAAACAGTATTACTCGTCAGATAATCAGGTGAATTATGTCAAAAAACAAAGTACCGGCAATCAGGAACTTTATTCTACATTCAAAGAATCACCTCCGACATTAAAGGCAGAAATTCAAAGCTTACCTCCTTCGAGCATAAACTTGCCCAAGCGGAAACCTAGTGTTCAGGCATCTGACAAAACCAAATCTACAAAATATAATAGGATTCCGATACGACAAGAGTTTTCTCATCTAAACAAAGCTTCCAACGATTCATCACATGCTTTGGCTTATAACGATATGGCAACAGATATGAATAGTTTCTTCAATTTTTCAAACAATGACTTTTCAAATAATGATCTTTCTACTAATGACTTTGCAAGTGAATTTAATGTTCGTGATTTCTCCACGGGTGACTTCAATAACGACTTCGCTAATATAAGCGATAACAATGATAACATATCGGGTGCCGAAAACCCAATAGCATACAATCTGGTGCCGTTACCAACAAACGACAACACTACAGGTAATAGCACCATCAAATTACAAAAGAAAAACAAAAAGCCTGAATTTCACCTTCCTTTAGACAATTTAAATAATCGGAATGTCATGTTTCTGAAACTAACGGATTTAATTGCATCATCTCCGTCTGACTCAAGTGTGGATAAATATGATCATCTAAGGATCATGGAGCCGGATTTAGGTCTTGGCTACGAGCATGATTTAAGAAATAATTTTCAAGATAATATAACTCCTTCAATGAAACCACCAGGAACAAATACCCAAGAATACTTTGAGGCTTATAGCCTAAGCGACACTGGTGGTGAGGATAATTATAAAAACATTAAGATTGAGAATGATTATTCTGGTATTAATAGTGGCAGCAACACCGATACATCTCAAGCCGATACACATAAATTGGCTAATCAAAGCGCAAGTTTTAACGGCCGGAGTGGTTTAATACGTCCACATTTAAATTATACCCAAAGTTTCAATAGTGCACTTGATTCGAAGCCCAATATGACGCCGGCGTTGAATGGATTCAATTTCGATACTAGCATAACGAAAAACATACCTGATGCGTACCGCAGCACGAGTGGTGAACCTATAGAAGCAAACCACGACGAACCAGCTCCTTTGAATACAAAAAATTTACTATTGAAAACACAGCAAAACTTCTCGCATCTTGATGTTCAAAGACCTAGATTTGAACGAGCAGATTCAAATCAAAGTCTCAATAGTGTGGGCTCCATTGGCTCCGCAACCAAGAAAAAGAGGATACCAAAGGGCGCTGTATGTTCAATATGCGACAAGTACATCAGTCGTGACCTCACAAGACATATGAGGATTCATGATGATGTTGGCCGCTTCCAATGTGTTTATCCGAAATCGATGTGCAACCATAAAACAGGCTATTTCAACCGTCCATACGACTACAAAAAGCATTTGCTACATATGCATTTCAAGTTTGATGATCCAAAAGGTAAAACAGCTCATACATTAACCGATAAATTGCCCTTAATGGGATCTTGTCAAGCATGTGGTGCCAGGTTTTCGGCAAATGATTGGCTCGATTCTCACATTTTAACGAATAACAAGAACCAAAAGTGTCTGTACCTTAGATACGAAACTAATTGACTCATTTCTTGTATGTATCTACAATTAGACGATTCTTAATCTAATATTTTGCAACTAATCATGGTTTGAGTGGTAAGCGAATTCTATTGTAGAAATATAATTTGCGCATGAAAATTAAAAAACCTATACGAACAAGAAAATTGCTCATTAAAATATTGTTCGGAAAAGCATTTGTGTATAAATAAAACGGCTTATATCGTGTCTTAAATTGTAGAATTATGTATGCTAACGGTATTGAATTGTCTTTTCATTTATTTTATACAATAGATAACTGAAAATGAGTTTTATTAAACGTCACGGAATGGCAGGAATGGACATGGGGTCCATGTCAATGGCATCAGCAACTAGCAGTATGGGGTCAATGTCAATGGCATCAGCTACCAGTAGTATGGATATGGGATCAATGTCTTCATCGGGAATGGATATGAGCGGTATGGATCACATGGAAAGTATGCACATGTACTTTGTAGGAGACTATTTGAATTATCCAGTCTTGTTCAAGAACCTTAAAGCTTCAAATGGGGGTCAAGCATTCGGAATATTTCTTCTTTTATTAGTCGTGGGTATATTTGTTAGAGGGCTTGATTTTGCAAACAAATATTTGGAACAGGTCGTCTGGCAAAATCCAAATTATGTCGATGCTTGTCATACACCTTCACCTGTGAGTGCTCCAGCTGCTACTGGAGGAAATTGTTGTGGGGATAACACTAGAAATGATACGACAGTCGATTCTATCAGAAAAACCAACTCTTCATCCCTGGCTGTAGGGCAACAGGAACGCGAAGTACCTTATCTGACATCCCAGTCATCTAGCTTACCAATGGCTTCGATGTTGTTCAGAAATATAATTAGACTCGCATTATGTATACTTCCCGAGCTCTTTGGTTTCGCTTTGATGTTGGCCGCAATGACCTTCTCATTGTTATACTTTTTTGCAGTCGTCTTGGGTTTGGGTATTGGTAGATTTATCTTTGATAGATTGTCTGACCGCATGCATATAAGACCGAATACAGCTATCGGTTTACACTGCTAGGTTAGAAGATAGTTTTACGACGCTACGATGAATTATACAATTATAAGTTTAATAAATACATACTTGTACAAATAAATTTTAATACATTACTTTTAATTTAAAATTTCAGTAATCTTTCTCTCAAGCTCGGTAAACTTCGACTTATGGAATGAACTTCCACGTCCATCAGCTAGTTTCTCACTATAGAGCAATCTGACTAGATTTTGTATTTCTTTCGAAGTAAAATTCAAATGATTTCTTTTAACAATTTCTAAAAATTCTTGTTCGTGTCTCGTAAACAACTCATAGTACAGTGATGGTTTAGTAAAATCAACACTTTCGGCATCATTCATTACATTTCGCAACATTTGTTGTAGTGTGAAAATGTTCAATAATATTTTCTTAATGCCATTAGTGTTAATCTTTGGAATGATATAGGACCCTTTTATCATTAATTCGCTCAAAAATTTTGGTAAACCAACAAAAACTCCATTTTTATCATTATCATTTAAGATATTATTCAATTTATTCTCTACCGCAAACGCTTCTTTATTATACAATCCAATGTATTGATCAGCATCACCTGGCTCAGAACTTGGAAGCCATTCACCTTCTTTGAAAGACCTTCCGATATAATAAATAGCCTTACACCTCAAATCATATCTAAGTGCAACTAAGGTACCGTCTCTTATTACCTCGAATGTCTTAATTATTTCATTAAATTGGTGAACCTTATCAGAATTCAACGCCAAATATACGTTCCTTTGCTTATTATCCAAGTTTGTAGGACTAGTGAGACCATTCTCGAGGAAGCACCAATCATGTTTCAACTTATCCACTGTAGATAATTTTACAGTATCAACATCGTCATTATAAACTGTATAGTTTGATTCTTTTTTCATTAATGGCAACCATGTCAAAATCCAAGATGTTGTTAACAAAAGATAACATACTTGGTTAATGAAGTCATTATCTAGAAAGTCGTCTTTTGTAATATCAAAAATGTGTTTAGACTTGTCATTATTATACGTCATAATTTCGATCTCCTTATCAAGGAGTGCATCAAAATCCTTCGGAGTTGAATCTTGTTGTAATATAATGTTCGATATCTCAATCAAAGCTGGTATACGCATCCATGAATTGAGCTGCAGGCTAGGTTTAGAAGTATTACTCCCGTTCATTGAAATTTCACCATTGTTTTGTGCTCCACTTGGAAGTAATAATTCGTTATAAAACTGTGCATAAGTATTTGAAAATTTTCTCAAAAAATGCAAACATAAATCACTAAAGTCTTTACGGTATGTCAAAGATGTGTTTAAAACTGAACAAGCATTGGTGAATAAACGTCTAAAATCTAATGCATTTTGAAATATCATGGCAGAAGAATTACTTGTAGTGTTAATTACGAGCGAACTCGAATCATTTTCAATCTGATCCAATGGCGTAACTTCTGCTTTAAATCCCGATAACACTGAGTTATTAATATCTGGGTTTTCATGCTCGGCAATAGAATTTTGTTCAAAATTAGATCTGCCGCTAACGTACTCTTTGAATGCATTATCGAGATTTTCCCTTAACCTTGGAAGGAAAGAACCTTTCATATATTCATTAAAGAATTTGAGCGCCGTATTATTTTGTACGTTTGAAAGATTCTCTTCTTTAGAAAAGTTAGCAAATAATCTTTGAGATCCAGCAATAAAGACTAATAAAAATTCTAGAATTATTCTCATGTTGAATATATTTTTAGGGACAAGAACTTCCACCAACGCATTGAACGTTTCATTTTTGATATATGGAGATTCGATCTCGAACGAGTTCGACTTGATAGTACTCCCAAACTTTGACTCGGAATCAGATAAAACAAATCCAGGAAACATGTCTTGCAATATGGTTTTCATATCTTCCGTAGTTTTCGCCGATTTGTCGTAGGAAACATCCTCAAATTTGAATAAATCATTTCTCTGCAAAACTTCATGTAAACCACTTTGCTTGTTTATTTCATTACCTCCATTGATTGGATTTAATCCAAATACTGGAACATCATATGTATAGTTGATCATTAAAGCTCGCAATTCCTTTCTAATGGAACCCCAAATATTATCAAAGTTATGTGTTATATTGTAAGAATCCCTTACTTTGATCATCTCGACAATCTCTGTTACTACTTTATGTTTTTGTAAAACAGCTAAAGCCTTTATGAATATAGATCCGAATAAATCTTGTAGAATAACGACTGAGTAGTCATTAAATGTACTTCCGCTGATCATATCTGTAGCATAGGAATGATCTAAGTTTTTCAATTTTGCTAGCTTATTCAAATGCTGCATATTTCTCAGCTTAGCTTCTTCTGTTGTTCTATTTATTAATCCATGTAATTCTTGCTGGTTTGAATTGGTAAGTATTTCCAATACTTGAGGTAAACGGTTTAACTTCGATGCAGTATTTAGTAACTTGTATATATAATGATAAGACTTTGAATTATCATTCAGAGCTGCATCAATCATTATTGAATAATCTATCTCGGAGTCACTATTAGAATAATGTGTGTGAAGTTTGGGCAATTGGTTGACAATAAATTCCTCAACCGGTTCAGAAAAGCAATCAGCAATTTCTGATATATCCAAATTCGCTGAATTATAAATATATTGCTCTAGATTATTCAGTTCTGTAACTAAAGCCTTGATAGAGGACAACTGAGGCTTCCCGGAAGTACCCAATGCCAGCCACGATAGGACACTGCTTCCGGAAGATCCATCATTCAGTAACGTAGAGCTCTTCAAGTATATTTCGTTCTGTAATTCATCGACAATCATATCAAACAAATTATTGGACTGCAGTTCCAAATAACTTTTGGTAGTACTCATTGCAGATAATGACCATAAATTATATTGTTCTGCAACCTTATAACCATGCGATATCACATCATACACCTGATGGATCTTTTTATCAATAATAAGCTGGTCTATCTTATCAGGTATGGAAACCAATTCGTCCATTGCATCCAAAATTTCAATCATTTCAGAATACCTTGCGGATGTTTGGTTCAACTCTGTCAACACGTCTGAACGATTATGGATTTCTGTAGTTGCAGATTCAAGCATTTCTTTTATCTGTATAGAATCATGCTGTGATTCCTGAAGGGTCGAAAGTAACACATGGTATGAACCAATACTATTATTGAAAATATCATGGTGCTCGTTCACAACATGTCGTAAGGCAGTTTTTGTCTGTTTCGATAAGTCCTGGAACTCCGGTAACTTATATGCCATCCCCACAGATGTATCATCAAGAAGGGATACTGCCATTTCAATAGGATTAGCGTTTTCTTGTAAACACTGAGGCCATTCGTATCTAAGAGTAGTCTGTACTTCTTTCAATTCAAATATGGACTCTTTCATTTTTCGTTGTTCTTGTTCAGACTTATGTCCATTGAAATTCATACTTAATGAACGGTTACGATTCACCATCTTTTCATCGATTTTCTTGATGGATTTATACTTATACTCTTGTATTCATTCTATGGAATAATAGAACCTCAGTCTAAACTAGATCGAGGAATTTGTTGATGCGAGTTTTGTGTAAGTTATCAGATAAACAGAAGAAGGTAAACAGTACTACAATAGATCAAGTATACAATAGATGATATGGATAGTATAGAAATAATAGATGTGCTAGAGAGCCCCACCCTAGCAAAATCTAAAGGTGAAATAATTGAAATGTAAGTTGTTTGTATGATATTTTTAACATAGAGCCTCGCTAACCTACTAGTCTTTCCAGTTCAGATGATGCAAATATCCATTCACATACTGAATACACGAGAAATAAACAGGTAGATAACGGCCAAATTTGTTCTGATACGAAGTATGATGATTCGATTCAGAATCCTGGCGCTGCTGAAAAGAGCGTTAAGAGAAGAAAGAGAAATATAATAATTCTGGAGCAGCCTTCATCGCCAGATCGTTTGGCTAGCGCTTCGATTCTTAATTCGTCGTTCAGCTTTATTGCACCCGAAGACGATCACAAAGCAGCTAGCTGTAATACTGCGATCCTTGATGTCGTTAACTGGCTTTCTGATAGTGGTGATGAGTCAAGTCTGATTTTGAAGTCTGCAGCAGACACAACGGGAGTTACTCTGAAATCAAACATCAAATCAAGCCATGAATCTACACCTAAACTGAATATAAACAAGAATCGTAGCAGCATTAGAACCTTCGGTGTTTCTTCAAAGCATTTAATGCCAATAGATCGGCGAGTCGCTGATTTATCAGATCCTATAGAATCCTCCTCGCCATTGGAATCTTCATCAAATAGATTTATCCAAACTAATAGAAAAGTGGTTCAAACGGCTAAGAAACGTAGCAAAGTTCCTGTTTCTACAGAGCCTTATTCCAAAAAAGAATTAAATGAAGCAAATAAAGTGACAAGAAAAAAGGAAGAACTCTTATCTGAGATGGTGATACAAATACCTTCGTTTTTATACGAAACAAATTTTGAAGACGAATATATGAAACAAATCTTTGTTGAAGCCAAAGTTGAAAAGACTAACTCCAGCTTACCTATAATATCTTGGAAAAGAAAAGTGAAAGCTAGGTATGATGCAGAGCGAGACATTTTCATACCTTGCAAGCCTACTGAGATCAACGAGAAGAATGTTGTTATACATATTAAAGCAAAAGATTTCGTGAATTCCTTAATTGAAGGAGCGATATCGCTGTTGGTTGATGCGTGCAGAGAAGAAGCTAAGCGCCATAATCAGACCGCGGTTTCTCATATAATAATCATTGTGGAAGGATATGTTCAATTCTTGTCGAAAATAAGAAATATGGAAGATAAAAGATATAAGAAGGCTGTTCTAGATAAATTGAATCCTAATGATGATAAAACTGGAAGCAAGAAGCTGAAGAAACAGGAAGATAGCGTGTCATTGTCGGCAAAAGAAATTGATCAATTAGTTAATGAAACCCAAGTAAGTTTAAACGTCAATATATTTCCTGTCAAGAATAACAAAGATGCCATAAACTGGCTACAATCATTCACCTATACAATAGCATATGCATTATATGATAAATTCGAAAGAAACATATCATTGGCCAACCTTGGCACAGTAAAATCAGGTACTGATACTAAATCAACTTATTTCCAGACTGTTAAACAATTTAGATTGATGACAGAGCCGAAAGTTGAAAAACTATACGGATTTTATAATTCCGTATTTGCATTGTATTCAAGGTTTCAGACTAATGAATCCCTTGGTACGGATAATTTTGGTAAAAATATTGTCCCCCCATCTACACAAAGTGCCATGAAGAAGCTCTTCACATCAGACGACCCAAATGATGTGGTGCACGAGTAACATAATACAAATTAGATAAAATTAATAAATAGTAATATTACATATTATATATTATTTACGTCACAGTTTATTCATCAAGTTGTTGGATATACTCCTTAGTTATGAAAGTACTAAACGTCTGTTAGTAATGTACAAGAAACTAAAATGCTATAAGATAAGATACGAATTATCTCAAATTATATATGCAATGCGATCAATTGATACTTGCTTTACCGAATTATAATCATCCTCTGAAATTCTATCCTTCAATGCTTCAATCTCTCCCAATCCTTGTGCTATATCAGCAATTTCATTAGATGTGAATTCAAAATTTGAGGACGCCAACTGAGAAATTATGTTCAATGCTTTATCAATACATCCGACGTGTCCATCCTTTCTCAAGAGAGTAATTATGTTTGCAACCAATTTTTCTTTGTGAACATGTTCTTCCTTCTTTTTATCAAAAGGCGTTGACAAAATCGCAGACACCAATGACAAGATTCTTAATTTGACTTTGTGATCCTGGTTTCCGTTAAGCTTAACGACACTCCATCCGTCAAGATCATCGAACTTGGCATATCCCTCTTCAAAGTTCCTGATCAATGACGAAATCGCAAACAAGGCCTTCAAGCGAAGCTCAGTTGTCGCCTCTTCCTCATTGCAAATCTTGATCAACTGGGCCAACCCGTCGTACTTTAAGAAAGCTTCCTGCGACTTAGGGTTATTTTGAACCGCTATACCAGCACATGATGCCGCATATACCCTCAAAGAGGTTGGGGTCTCTGCTGACATCTTATTGATCACAGAAGGCCACAACTTTATATTCTCAATATTATTCGCATTATCCATGTTCTCGATCAACATCTCAAAATTATCGAACGCAATCTCCTTGTTCTCCAATGTTGCTTCCTCGTTGTCTATAACCATTATGGCTTGTTTCATCAAAGTCGGTTCATCAGGGCCTCCGAACAATTGTTCTAACATTTTAGGATCTGGCTTGCCAATTTTCTCTATAGCTTCCTGATCTCCCGATTGCTGGGCAATAGACCATTGCAAAATTTTATCCATCTTGTCTATATCTTAATTTACTCTTGAATGTCCTTTCAAACCACTATACTAGCATCTACTCATCGCCTTTTATCTTTCTTATAAGGTCCCATCTCTAGAGGATTTCTCGAATCTTCCGCGACATTGTCCCGTTTCCACGACATTCTCCTGGAAAATCTGAAAAATCTTCCACGACATTTATTGTCGCAATCGTCCCTCCTGTAATGTTCCATATTGCCGGACGAGTGTCAGTACAGTTACCAACGTGTCAAGTACTATATATGGTAGAAACTTACAATTTTCAAAGTCATAATGATTATAGTACTATATATCTAGTGGCGTGCCTTATGTATTGTAGTTATATTTAAGAATTGATGGCATTGTAAGACTTATTGAAATGGACGTTAGCAATTACTAGACGGGTGGAAGAAATCCGCCGGGGTCAAAAAAAAGTCCGAGGTAGTGGAACCATACCATAATCGTAGTATAAAAGAATTCATATATCCTAGCAGTTACACCAATTGAGAAGCAATATTCGTGATTAATTATTTATATCAATTAATTAAGAAACAATTTGTAATACGAAATAGAATGTCATTATCTAACAAGTTATCTGTCAAGGACTTAGATGTCTCCGGTAAGAGAGTTTTCATCAGAGTTGATTTCAACGTCCCATTAGATGGTAAAACCATCACCAACAACCAAAGAATTGTTGCTGCTTTACCAACTATCAAGTATGTGTTAGAGAACAAGCCTAAGGCTGTGATCTTGGCTTCTCATTTAGGAAGACCAAATGGTGAAAAGGTTGACAAGTTCTCTTTAGCCCCAGTTGCCAGTGAATTGGAAAAATTGTTAGGCAAGAAGGTTAACTTCTTAGATGACTGTGTCGGTGATAAGGTCGAAAGTGCTGTCAACGCAGGTAGTGACGGTGAAGTTTTCTTATTAGAAAACTTGAGATTCCACATCGAAGAAGAAGGTTCGCAAAAGAAGGATGGTGAAAAGATCAAGGCTTCCAGCGAAGATGTCAAGAAATTCAGACAACAATTGACCAACTTGGCTGATGTCTACGTCAACGATGCCTTCGGTACTGCCCACAGAGCTCACTCTTCTATGGTTGGTTTAGAATTACCACAAAGAGCTGCTGGTTTCTTAATGGCTAAGGAATTAGAATACTTCGCCAAGGCCTTAGAAAACCCAGTAAGACCTTTCTTAGCTATCTTAGGTGGTGCTAAGGTTTCCGATAAGATTCAATTGATTGACAACTTGTTAGACAAGGTTGATTTATTAATCGTTGGTGGTGGTATGTCTTTCACCTTCAAGAAGGTTTTAGACAACATGGCCATAGGTGACTCTTTATTCGATGAAGCTGGTGCTAAGAACGTCGAAAACTTAGTTGCTAAGGCTAAGAAGAACAATGTCAAGATTGTCTTACCAGTTGATTTCGTTACCGCTGATAAGTTTGACAAAGATGCTAAGACATCTACTGCCACTGATGAAGAAGGTATCCCAGACAACTGGATGGGTTTGGATGCTGGTCCAAAGTCCAACGAATTATTTGCTAAGACCGTTGCTGAAGCTAAGACTATTGTCTGGAATGGTCCACCAGGTGTTTTCGAATTCGAAAACTTCGCCAAGGGTACTAAGTCTTTATTAGATGCTGCTGTGAAGTCTGCCGAATCCGGTAACACTGTCATCATCGGTGGTGGTGACACTGCAACTGTTGCTAAGAAGTTCGGTGTTGTTGAAAAGTTATCCCACGTCTCTACTGGTGGTGGTGCTTCTTTAGAATTATTGGAAGGTAAGGAATTGCCAGGTGTTGTTGCTATTTCCGATAAGAAATAAATCAATGCATACGTACTGATTTCTTAAAAATGTATTTATGATTCAATATTATTTAATTACTTTATAGTGTGCAACTACATTAATACGACGCTATTTTGATCTATTATAATTTGTATTTTACATCCGAAAATTCACAATAAATAAAGATAAAATAAAGGTAATTCGCTATATACCTAGTGCTATATTATCAAAAATCCTACAATTTAGCTGCACCTTTCATGATCTTTGCCCAAGCCTCTTCAGTTAATTCTTCGTATTTATTCTTATTCAACCAGTAAATAACATCGTTACCAGATTCTCCCTTTGGTAACTTTTGGTTCTTAAATTGATTCTTGGAAACCTTGTGGTTGTGACTTGCTTGAATTTCCCCACTAATCTTGATAAATTGTGGAATGGCATATCCTGGTAATGTCTTCGATACATGATCATATATTCTATTCAATACGTCTAGATTCTTAGACTCATCGCTAAATTCATCCAAAGGATCAACGACAGCGAATCCTGCTCTACCTTCATGATTAGGTACTTTGACACCGACAACAACTGATTGCTTAATGGCTTTAGAGCCCATTAATTCATTTTCGACTTCAGAGGCTGAAACGTTTTCTGATTTCCAACGGAATGTATCACCTAATCTATCAACGAAATATAAAAGCCCATCTTGGTCCATTTTTAACAAATCACCACTTCTAAACCAAGCATCTCCCTTCTTAAAGACATCTCTAATAACCTTAGATGAAGTAGCATTCTTATTACCATAATAACCTTGGAAAGTACCTTCTGGATTTTTTGCATTCAAAATCTTCATTAACAATTCACCTGGTTGGTTGTGGTCAGCACGAACAGCAAGCCCAGTCTTAGGATCTTTCCAAATTTCATTTTCATCCTCTGGATCCATTTTGACCAAGACTTGTTGAGTAGACAAAAGCAAGTTGATAAGACCACCATATTTACGGCAGGCACCTACACCAAAATCACCATATTGTAAATTAGTAGTAGCAATTGGTGACTCTGTCGATGCATAGAACTCACCGATGGCTTTGATATGGAATCTCTTTTTGAAATCGAGCCAAATATCACGACGTAAACCATTACCATAGGCAATTGAAACATTATGTCTCTGTTGATCAGGATGTGGCTTTGAGTTCAATAAATAACGACAAACTTCTCCAACATACTGAATGTGGGTGGTTTGACACAACTTAGCTTGAGTCCAGAAAGAAGTAGCAGAAAACTTTTGAGAAATCGAGATACATCCACCTGCTAATAAAGTTGGACAAACGCCTAACATAGCTGCTGTAGAATGGTATAACGGCATGGCAGTCAAAACATTGGATTTAGAATCAATTTTCATTATATAACCAAAAAATGAAGCAGCCATGAAAGCCTTTCTCCATGACATAATGGCAGGCTTTGGTAATCCTGAAGTTCCCGAAGTGTATATCAATGCACAGCAAGAAACATCAGTATCTTCTGGTCTTCTGGTGTGATCCGGAGCTCTATACTTTGGTCTTGACTTGTCTGTTAACACTCTTAATAACTCTGGTTCATTGATATAATGCAACTTAACGTTTGGCGATTCCTGATTGATTCTAGCTTCTGTATCTTTGATTGGGCCAGCACAATCAGGGTCAATGAAAACTTGAGTCACATGTGAAGACTTCAAGCAATGGATCAATGGCTGATCTTTAGTGTTGAAGTTCAAAAATGCTGGTGTTGCACCAATATTCCATAATGATAACCAAAGTATTATAAATAATGGCTTGTTCATACAATCAACTGCGATAGTTTGATCGGCAGTCACACCATAGTCATTCTTTAAGATATAACTAAACCTCAAAATAATATCGTATAATTCTTCGTAGGTGTATGTTTCCAAAGTGAAAAGATTGTCGTAATTCATGTATCCATCTTCGCCTTTCGTTGGCTCGACATCCTTCTTAGGTCTTGGGAAAACAATTGCCTTATTTTTAGGGTATTTAAATACCGATTTTTCAAAGTGATACCAGAAACTGGCTCTTCCTCTATAACAATTATATGCATAAGGGATTGCTTCTCTTAATACTTTTTGAGTAAGAAGAAAGTCATCCTTAATATGGTATTTTGCATCGAGTAACTGCGATCCTAATACTGCTGCTGCTGCTAATTCAATACTAGTCATAATTAATTCCTATTTTAGTCCTAATTTAGTACCTAATGTTAAATATTGCGTATTAAATGTGGAGATAAGGGAACGCCAGAATATATATATACTCGAGGAATGAAATCTAAGATGCTCGGTCACAGTACTTAATTTTTCAACTCCGCAACAGTTGCACAAATTCTACGATCATATGTCAATTGCATTCAGACCGTTTTTCATTGAAAATTAATCGTTCAAACGCCATTTCTTGGTGTAGACTCTTGTCTAATGAAGAATACTGTGTTGATGAGTTATTATCTACGTTTGTGAAGTCTAATATCTAGGACAGAGTTCTAGAGTAATTATTACCGCCTCGGATGAGAAAAATATGCAACTTGATTTTAAGCTTTTATTTCACATGCTTCGCACACATGAAGAGTTTTGGGCAGCCAGTATACGAATACACGTGAAGACAAAGAAGTGCTGTGTATTTAGCTATTGAACATGATATATGCAACATATGCCTTAGCATCAATACCACGATATTCCGTGGATGCATGTTCAACGGTCGTAGCAACGAAAATTTCCAAGTGCAAGACAAGGTTAAGAAGCGAATATATTTTTTGGAGCTTGATCTTTAGAATTTGCAATCTGGAATGCACGGCTGATATAGCCGTTCCTTGACGTGTCATAAATATGTGTGAAAAAGGAATTTATTCTTCCTAGTACCTGGGTAGAAGGTGTAGAATTCAGAAGATATGCATGGAACGGCTTTGGGTCCACGGAGATGTAAAGGTATTATTGAGCTGAATGGTAAAAAACTTTATAGAAATAGTTACAGGCATACAATAACGCCAATATCCCATGAAAGGGACAAAATATTGCTTTGTCCCAAAACTTACTGTATCTGAATCCCTGCGCATTTCGCAGCTCCCTTATTACGATAAAGTCTAAAATGTAAGCTGTAAACAGAACGAAACAATATATAGCTCTAAGATTTAAGCTGCTATTTTGACAGAAGATAACAAAACAACATATAGCAAATTTTTTTATTCGTCTTATAATCAGTTATCATATTCAAGTGAGATTTCGATATATGTAGCAAAAATTATCTTTTTATCGCAATCTAATATTTTAAGAAATAACTTTGGAACATATTTACAAATATCCGTAGAAAGTATAGAAATTAAAAAAAATATAAATAATTACATTATAATCTTAAACACCCTAGAAACCAATTGAAATACATATTCAATCTCCATTCTTTATATATTCTTGAATTTGTACGGTATTGGTGTAAATCAAGTTCTTCAATTCTTAAAAACGACCAATGAGACTCCCAAGCATTTTGCTTACTGCGCGAGAAAAATCATGCCATGCAAAATTATTAGATACGAATCTTTAGAAACTGACTAACTGGTAGCATATTAAGTAAAATATCAAAGATGATGCTTTCTAAGACTAGATTCTTTTTCACAAAGAATTCGTCAGTATTGCAAACTTTGTCTCAGACAAAGGTTAGCAGATTATCGATTGCTAATAAACCTCCAACGAAATTTTCACAAATTTTCAACACGTTGAAATTTCGAAGACAGTATAGTACTGTACAACTGAAATTAAATGTGGATAACGCTTCTTCCAATATATCTGCACAATTGAAGAATGCTCAGGGGTTCAAGCGTAGTTCTGAAACAATAATTTCTAGCAAATCAATCGGGTATTGGTTGATTGGAACTTCGGGGTTGATCTTCGGTATTGTTGTAGTAGGAGGATTGACAAGATTGACAGAATCAGGTTTATCGATCACCGAATGGAAGCCTGTTACTGGGACACTTCCACCTTTGAGTCAGCAGGATTGGGAAGAGGAGTTTGCAAAATATCAGAATTCACCGGAATTTAAACAGCTTAATTCTCATATCACTTTAGAAGAATTCAAGTTTATCTTCAGCATGGAATGGGGACACAGATTGATCGGAAGAGCTATTGGGATGTTATTCATATTGCCAGCGGTATACTTCTGGAGCTCCAAAAAGTTTGCCAACCATGTAAAGTGGAAGGTTGTTGGTTTAACTGGTTTATTAGGCTTACAAGGTGCTATCGGTTGGTGGATGGTGCAGTCCGGGTTAGATGAAAAGCAATTGTTAGAAAGAAGGTCAAAACCAACTGTCTCGCAATACAGATTAACGACGCATCTTGGTGCTGCGTTTTTGATGTATTTGGGTGTCTTGTGGACAGGTTTTGAGATTTTGAACGAGAATAAATGGCTTCAACAGGCTAAGAAGGTACCTGAATCAGTTGATTCTCTTTTCAAAAAATTAAATAATCCAGCATTAAAGAGGATTAGAAATATTGGAACTGGATTACTTTGCTTAACTTTTTTGACTGCTATGTCTGGTGGTATGGTCGCAGGTTTAGACGCTGGTCTTATTTATAACACGTTCCCACACATGGGAGATAACTACTTACCATCGTCCAATGAGTTGATGTCGCCGGTTTTTTCCCGTAAAGAGGACCAATCTGATTTATGGTGGAGAAATTTGTTAGAAAATCCAACTACAGTTCAACTTGTCCATCGTACCCTTGCAACGACCACTTTCTTCTCGATATTAGGGGCTCATTTATATGCTTCAAGGAATAAGAAGATAATCCCAAAAACCGCACAAAGAATGTTGCACACAGTTATGGGATTTGCGACTCTTCAGGTTGCTTTAGGTATTTCCACCCTTATTTATTTGGTTCCGATTCCATTAGCAGCTGCTCACCAAGCTGGTGCATTGGCATTATTGACCACATGCTTAGCTTTCTCGGCCCAATTAAAAAGACCTAGACCACAAACTGCTTCTTATATTAATAAAATAATGAAGGAGCATTTATTAAAAAAATGAGACAATGAAAATAAGTAATTAATGTCTAAGTGTTATTACATAGCTTGTAAATAGAACATATGTACATAGAGGAATATAATATGCAAAATATGACTACCAGATGCGTTTGCTAGACATTTCGTACCTCATTACCTTACCTAACCCTTCATCATCGTTAAAATCAAGATCATTCTGTTTTGATTCTTGATTCATTAATTGTTGGTTTCTTCTTTCTTCTATAGTTGGTGGAACCTTTTCACCAAAATCGTACAAATAAGAGCGTGTACTTGGATTAATGGACGAAGCTTCCGTATTAGGGACTCCTGGAATATAAGATAATTCTATAGGCGACTTGGGAGATGGTAAATTTTTTGATATGTCTTCTGATGCTTTCGGTGATGGGGTTTCAAGATCAAATAGTGGCAATGTTGGAGTCAGCGAATTAGGACTTGAATCTTGATTATTCAAACTGGGAGATAATATATCACTCTCAATATTTGTAGGAGCAATATCTGTATCAACTATTGAAGAAACCAATTGAGGTGATAATGAAAAATCCTCAATCTTAGCTGTTTTCAGATTATTCGTTGTATTAATTCTTGAGGATTCTTCACGTAACCAAGCCTGGTGTTCCTTATGTTCTTTTCTAATTCTATTAGCCCATTTCAAAATCACCAACCCAAGCATTAATCTAATGAACATTAGCGTAAAGAAGGTTATCAAAATTAACATTAAGCTTATAATGAGCGAATAAACAAATGTGTTTGTAGCTTGAAAAAAAAACAATTGCTTGAGATCCGGAAATGTCATACGAAGAAAGCAAACAATTGATGCCAATAATGGTAGCCCAATACGTTTAGTCAAAACAATGTAATCTGTTAGTTCGGACAGGTCATTAATATTGGAATTTGATGTGGATTTGAATACTTGGATATAGTCCAAACTTAGCACGTATAGAAAATTGCCATAAATTCTCGGTCTAACTCTGTTAAATTTAGTAATATAACAATGTTTGAGCCAATCGACAAATATTTCACTTCCAATAACCACTATGCTTGGGCCGAAAAGAGCACCAAACCAATTGTTCCAACTTTTCCAACTGTTTGGTATAATTCCCATATGAATACTATTCAATTGTAATAAATTGCGCAATGCAATAATACCTAACATGAGTGATAGTTGGAACCTCTCTGTTAAGTCTGACATAGTTATCTGAAATAAGCCTTCTCTCTCGAACTTTTTGAAGACTGATCCTTTTAATTCTGCAAATTGATTCGACAATAAAAGTGTTAATAATGCGTTGGAATATGAATTGGCTGCAACATTTAACGAGACAGTCTGATAAATAAGAATATACGAATGCAACGATAAGTATAGTATAGAAAAAGTAAAAAATATGGCAAACTTTATCCAGGCCTTGTTTCTAGTTGGCGTGATTGGTATTTTGTACAAAATGTTTAGTATATCTTGGCCTATGGACGAACAGAGCTTATCGGCCACTTCCAATACCCCAAACATAACATATAATTTAATGTCGGCTTGTCCTCTCACATCATGATACATTCTAGATATATCTAAGTTCGGCAAGGAAAGCATGGAAAAAGATAGAATCAAAATTGCAAGAGTTATAACATCTCTCTTGATCCAACGAAATTTATTGTAGACTATTTCCAAGCTCAATCTGCGGTGAACCTTAAAATAAATTATAGATTCAGACGCTGCCTTATAGCTTAGAATCAAAATCTTAAGTGGTACCAATGTAAATAATGTTAAGAATGAGTTTAAGCACACCAAAAGACCAAAAATCATGAAACGTTCCAACGCCAACGGTACTTTTACTAAATTTGATATTTCCTCGTATGAACTATCAACCTCATCCTTTGGAGGTATGTTCGATCGTGTTGATGTAGAATTACCCTCGTCTGGCAAATTTAATTCTAGCTTTAGTAGTCTATAAAGTGAGAATATTTTATCTCTATTTCTCCCATTCGATGGCAGCTGATGCGACGTATGGCTTCCATTTGAAATAAAGTTCAAGAACGACGTGGTTGTAGAAGACCTAGACCTGGAGCTAATGGAAAATGTCGATCTTGAAGTAGACCTGGACCTTGACTTTGATTCCAGCGATGTATTTAAGTGACTTGTGCCTGTAGCACCACGACCATCCAAAGATCTGTTTCGATTTATTCTATTCCTACCCATAAAAGAAGTAGATCTAGTACATTTATTACAGAACCAACGTAGTAATTGTAAGTATGAATAGCTTTCAATATGGTACCTGATAAACACAATTTGAACTCTTCTTTTGTTTACAAATCACGTGCTTATCAATGAATACAAGAAAGCCGACTAGGCAAAATCATTCTACTCTATATGATAACTAATTGATGGGTCTTATATAAATTAGTATGGAGGTCCTTGGTGTACAGTCATTTACTGAATATTTAAAGCCTTTTTCGAATAAGGACTTGATTAGTCCAGCTGAAGCGTCACGTATTCTGCTCATAATTACTGAGCTCCTCATTGATCATACGGTCGACTTGGACTTATTAAAATTTCTAAGTAGGTTCTTAACTCAACAGACATACGATGAAATAATAGAAGAAAAGAACATAGAACATCAATGTGGATATATATTATGCAATAATTCCCCAAAGCAGCAAGTTCGTCGTCTATCATCTAACAGTAATGGTACGACATCAACAGGCATGGGCGAAATTTCAACATCCACTAAATTTCAGATTTATAATCGAAAACCTTCAATGATATTACCAAATACATATCTTTCGCAATATTGCTGCAAGGAGCACTATCAAGCTTCATTATTTTATCGTAACCAGTTATCACAAGAAGCAGTGTTTGCAAGAAAGGACATTCTCAAAGTTGGCCCATTTCCTGCTGATTATCCTTCGACGTGGTACGAAAATGGAATTACGTGCCTAGAAGAGGTATTGGCCAAGCATAAAGAATTGAAAGAGCAAGGAAAGTCGTTAAGTGAAGTTATATCCATGATGAATGGTTTATCTGTTGTGGATGAATCAAGAAGTAATGAAACGAATGAATTAATTAAATTGATTGAAGACTTTGAAATTGTTGAAAAAGAAGGTGGTTTGGAAGGTGATGGCCCTCCAGATGAGAGCCAGTACCTAGATAAGGAAGGAATGTCTACCGGTGTTGATGGTTACTACACCACTGACACAAGTTTTGGAGGTTACGTCGTATAATAGCTTTTAGTCATTTTACGAAAACATTCAACATTATTGCATTCAAAATCTCAACATATCTTGGACATTTTCTCAACTTCATACATGCAAATATATATATATATACTGTATAATACTTCATTTACGACGCTAATGAAAAGAAGGAATTTACTATATTACATTATGTACAAATAAGATTCTAAAATTTTAGTTTTTTATCGAAATTCACACCAAGCTTAAAATTGTGATAACCCACATCATCTAAATAATCTCCTAAATGCTTTCCCATGCCAATTCTTTCTAGGCTTGGCATTCCCCTCTGATTTTTCTTTGTCCTCTTTGAATCATTTTCTATCAAATATTCGTCGTAAGACTTCGTTACTGTATCCGAATTAACAATTTCTGAGTGTTTAAACACTTTATTATCTTCTATTAGTCTTATTATATGCATATACCTTTTCAATTGTTCATTATAATGAACGTTCATTTGATGCTGTAGTATCTTTTGTTCTTGTAATAACGGAGATTTAGATGATTTCAATTTGTTATATTTTTGATAATACGAAGTTAGCTCCTCATTGATACAATTAGTGGCATCTTCTAAGGCTTTGGACCATTCATTAACATATGATGCTACGTCTTTTGTATCATCATTTTTAAAGATGCATCTATTAAGTATTCCCATAAACCTTCTCCTTGTGCCAACAGGTCGTAGTATATTTTTGGATGTAATCTCTCATTCTCTCCAAACCCCTTACTACCCCGTACACTATAACTACCATCTGAAAATTGAGGTTCAGTGATATTGGCATCATTTCCTGAAGCGTTCCAGACTGTTTTGAGTCTCACTAACCGCATCATTTTCTTTATATCTAATGCTACTTCTTTTAGATGATTGAGTCTTGGGTATGGCATTCTGATATATGGAACTGGGATAGGGCCTGCTTCGGTTATTTGTATTTGAACTTTGAAAGGACCTTTTTCATTCACTATTGATTGTAAATTTTCAAGGTAATGGCATTTATTAATATCGAATTCCATTTCAGGTTTTATTATTGCATCGATATATTCCTGATCATATGCATATGCGATAGAAGACTTACGAGTGGACCCAGGAATTGATATCGACGTAGAAACAGACTCTTCTATGGGTAATAATGCACTTTCAGGTGTATATGGTAGCAAATGAGGAATAGGTATTTCATGATTAGTCTGCAACTTTTTTAAATAACGACGAAGCAATTTTTGAGTATTTTCCTCGCAGCGTATCAATTCCATTTTAATTCGATTCTCTTTGTCTTTCTGTGTAAGGCCCTTAAATCTACGTAAAGGCAATTGAGGTTTCTTCGATCTTGATTCAATTTGCTTCAACAAGAGCGTGGGCTTGTCCTTGTTCCTACTCTTATCTATTTCTCCAGGATCTTTCAAATATTCAGCTTTCCAATTCTGCTCACGTTGCTTCTGTTGTCGATATTCCACCAATTTCTCTATTAATTTAACTCCGGAAACTTCACCATCCTTTATATTTTCTAAGTCGTTTTGAAGCTCTAATCCTGCAACTATTCTTTCCCTCAATTTGTTAGGATTATTTATCTTTTCTTTATGATTGACTCTAAATTCGTCTTGTATGATATAAAATAACTCTGATTTTAAAAGTCTTACGTACAACTTCCTATCTATGTTAGCTTTGAACAATTCTGTTTGAACATCTTTGGAACATTCCTCATCGGATTGTGTTATTTCAAGGGTAGACAATCTATTCGTATGTCGTATAAGTGATCTGTACAATGTAATTATTGAATGCTTATGAGCAAATGACTGTATGAATGAAGCACTTTGCATATCTTTAGACAGACCTTTGGGACGTAAACATAGGGAATAGGTTGAAGCCATTTTGCAAGTTTTTTTGAGCTAAAGATCCATGTCGCACGTGAGGGAACAGATATCAAAAGATGGATTACCTTGTATCAACATCTAGCTATAAACAAAAATAGAAATTGAAGATATGGTACGTATATACGAATGGGTATCGATTATTATAATAGTTTATATACTAATTTGGATATAGGCACCTAAACTTTCGAAAAGTTCGAAGACCAACCAAATTACCATTATAAAATTCAAACGGAATAAGAGTACTTATGTTTTACCTTTAGACCTTAGTACCAAAGCTTCTTTATCATTGAAGAATTTTAAAGCTTCTTTGGCTACATCAATAGAACAGTCGGGTGGACTTTCTCTTGTTGAAGAGGATGAGGAAACTAATAAGTTGGATGAAGATGACATTGAGGTTCCTAAGTCAGAATTCATAGATAACCTGGAGAATGATGGAATGATGGAAGATAATGCAGAAGATACAAAGAATATAATTCACGATTTAAAAGCGGATGATTTAGTTTTGGCACTTCCAAAGGATAAAACTTCCCCATACGATAACAACTGGATTGAAATTACGGACGACTCCAGCATATCAAGCCTCCAGTTTAATGATTATGATATAATAGCCTTTAAACATGTTGACGATGATACGTTCTTCGTTTCTGAGGCTGCATACGATGAATAATATTAATCTGCTATCATTTTGAATATATAATGTATATAATACTTACTTCATGAAGAGTACAACAATTCGACTTTCTCTTGCGATATGCTTATCTAATGTACAATAAAAATTAACACTTTCTTCCATTGGTGCCACTCACTTTTCTAATACCAGCAGAATGGACCCTATTATTGATGTTCTTAGATGGGATCATACCTGAGTTAACTCTTGAATGAGACCTGGACTTTGGGATTTTAATATTTTGAGTTGGTGAAGAGTGCGGCGAAGAAGATAACGTAGTACTTACAGTCCTTGTAGTGGTGGTTGTAGTTGTCTTTGTCAACAGTACCGGCAGGTTACCTGCATTTACAGAGATAGAACGCAATACTTTCCAATCATTGCCACTTTGATCTCTTTTATTGTTTGCTATGGTACCCTCAACATCTTGTATTTCAGCATCTTGAATTTGGCCTTGGGGCTCATATGTTGATTTTCTTACAGGGCTTTGGATATCTTGCATTGACACAGTTCCATTGTTAATATCGTTTTCTTCATCGGAATTGTTAATTATTTCTACAACCCCCGAGCTATCATCTTCCTTGTACTTTCTAGGTTGACCAGGTGATTCCATTGGTACCGCTGTCTGAATTTTTGCAGCTAAGGCGCCACTTATTTTTCTTCTTCTAATCGGGGTGTGGAACGACGAATCCATATGACTTACTGAAGAGTTTATTTGTTGCTGTTGTTGTAACCTTCTCTGTTTAGCTTCTAATTTCATTCTCGCTTTAAAGTCTTCATATGGAACCAATGAATATAATCCACCAATCATTTCATCAGGTCTATTGTCTAGGCACATTGTATGTCTCCAATCCCTAAAATCATTTTGATGTAAGTATAGCCAATGTTGCTGGGGTCCAACTACCATACCTGGACGGATTAATCTCATATAACTGATACATTCACTGGCAGTAAACCCATGGGTATAGATTAAATGCGCACCAATTAGACACCCAGTTCTACCTAAACCAGCCTTACAGTGAACTGCAATCTTACCACCTTTATTTATAACACACTCCGCAGCGCCAATAAATTTCTGAACATACTCTAAGGTTGGGCATGTACCGTCGTCAAAGATCATATCGATATGTTGAATACCTCGTTTCGTAAATTCGCTAGCATCATATAAGTGTGAGTTCAATCTAACCACTAGCTGTACATTATTAAGCATGAAATAATTTAGAACCTTTTTGAATGGCTCATTAAGCGACCCCGGCTTTCCGCCTCTCATACTTTGCTGTGGAGATGCGAATGCAATAAAGTCTTTGGACACAACATTAAAGTCACCTTGGTCGACTCTTTCATATTGCTCGTACTCTTCTAAATTGAAGCTTGTCAAATCTATCATTCCTCTTTCTTTAGCCCTCCACATACCGTATATAATATCTTGCACGGTTATTTCAAAATCTGCTTTCGAGTACCCAGCATCACGGAACCCCTGCAATGGAGGCTCGATCTGTGATATTGGTTGCAACACCTGATGGGGTGACCATGATTGAACCAAAACCATATAGCAACAAAGCAAACAAGCTGCATTAGCTCTTTCTTTAGGGGATGTAGCACTGTAGAAAACAATGGCCTTTCCCTGATTAGATTCTTCGTTCAAGATGTTGTGCAACACGACCGCAAACCTATACAAGCTCCCAATATGCAAAGGACCAAAATCTAAGTGGAACGCATTATATGGCAATGCATCCTCGACTGTAAAGTATACCAAATCATTCGTATCTGGTGGAGTATAATCATACGCTCCAAGATAAATTCGGTCTAAATATTGTTAGTTTATCTCCCTCCAACACTTTCAACAAAATAAAATAAAATACTTACTTCTTAAAAACTCAATAAGGGGAATATTTAGTTTACTCTTTGGCATATGAATAATATTATCTGTTTACTAGATCAAATTTTATCAATAATTAATACAAATGAAATAAAATAAAAATAATGCTAGTTACGTCCGAATGCAAATAGAAGGTTGGCAATAAGAAACTAAGAACTCAGATCAAAACGCAAGAACAGTTTTCAAATGAAAGTAGCTTTTTTTTTGTTAACTTTTCAACAATATTCAATAGAAGAAGTACTGATCAACAAAGATATAATTACTAGAATATCTAGCTTAATTATGTACTACTGTTGTTGTTTTCATTTCGTCTTGTTCTGTGTTATTGTTTTGTGCTGGGACACACCGCACTTCCCTGATTAAGTCGCAATATCAAAATCGATAATGTCCCATACTTAAGACTATTCAATAGGTGAGATAGAATATTAACTCGAATATATTACATTATGGTATGTTGGTGATTATTTAGGATAATAGATAATGATCATAAGATATATATATTAACAAAATTATGTTAAAAGGCTCCCTCATTATATACTTTTTCATCGGAAACTTTGACTTCGCTACGCAAATTTAGATTTGGTAGCTCGAGGGTCGACAAGATGCAAGCTATTATATGTATGTATATTGTTGTGTGTGGGACAAGTAACTAGAACTATTATTTGAGAGAATAGTACTAATGTTTTAGATACAATCGATAAAGGATCGTATGAAATCAAGAGGGAGGACGAGGAGCAAGTCATAGACAATATCGAAGAATTGACGGAAGAATTGCCAGACAACAGTCCTAGATTTGTGGTTTTATCGTATCCATTTAAATTGTCAGATGGGAGGTTGAAGACTCCATTGGTATTGTTGTATTGGAGGCCTCCAACATGTGGCCAAGAGAGCAAGATGTTGTACGCAGGGTCAGTAGAATTGATGAGAGAAAAGGCCGGAGTAGCAAAGTACGTATAATAGAGAGAGCTTACTGGGAGATGTACTAACGACGCAGGGTTATCGAAATAAGTGACGAAGAAGACTTCGAGGATCTCGAGGACCAGTTGAAATAGGGAGACATTTTCTAAATTATGTTGAGTAAATATATTTTTTATAGTCAATATATATGTCTAAACACAAAAAGGTCTGTAATAGATGCCAGGTCTGACATTCATCGGAAACTCCGACTCTTGTTCGCCTTCTGCTATTGTTTTATGTTGGGTTCAGCAGTTCATTATATACCTCTGTATATAAAAGCACGATGATCTATTATCTACTAAGCCCTGATCTTGCAAATTCGACTACGGTCCTAGAAAGCATTTATCTCATGGTTCTATGGTAAAATCAGTCAACTCAAATTTATCATACACGGAGAGCCTCTCATATCATTATGCAAGTCTGTAGTCCCTGACTTCAAATATGCATCATTCACATAATTACAGAAATAATTTCGTTGACTATAGTTCTACTGTAAAGTCGGTCAACTCAATCTTATCGTGCTTAAGAAAAACTTGCTCTCTTTCACGAGGGTCGTTGGCTTCAGCCACTAATCTTAAATTATTAATTGTCCGCTCAACTATTTCTCTAATATAAGGCTGGAGTTTCAAATAATCTGGATCTTGTGTCATTTCGTCAAATTCTATTAAAGCATTCTTTATACCCCAGACCAACCCGTGAGACATTGTACATACAACTATTCCATCCTCCGCATACCAGTATCCGTCCTCAGAACTCCGATAATCTTCTAATAACCTGTCTAGTATATCATTTGTAATTAAATTGTGGTCGCATATAACTATGCCAGTTAAATGAAAATATGTCGTATATTTAACTTCTCTTCTCTCCCTGAAACAGGTTTCTTCGAATAAATACACTATACTAGCAGAACAACTGGAACATGAAGAGCGATGCTTAAGCCTGTCGACTACTTCATTTATATAATGCCAATTATAAGTATAATGGTCTGATCGTATGATTAATTCTGGTTCATTAGCTAGGAGTGACTCAACTTCATTTTCGTCTATACTTTTCTTGCATTTCATTGACTCTTACCAGAATCGAGTTCATACAGTATCTGCAGATACAAGAATGTATAGACTGACTGATCTTGATCGATAACAATTGAGGTTCACACGCAGTTCCTGAGCTTAAGTGGGACAAATTATGAAATATATGGAGAAGTTCACATAATGGTGGGAATATAGAGAATTTTGACCTAAAAGAGTTCGAAAAACTCAACCATGATGGAAGAAAGATATATATATATAGAACGGAAAGAATAACATCCGTTAATCTTGCTAATGACAACTATATTCTGATGGAGATATATTATTAGTTCCCATATATACTCACCCTAAGTAATGTTCAGCACTCACATTTTATTAGTGGAAAATTGGTCGTGTGAGATCAATCTTCGTGAAGAAGTTTTCGTTCTTACCATCTGGTGAAAAAAAATTTTTCAGTTTAACTTATTATACTCTTTCTTCTTTTCCTTACTAAAAAAACAAGAAATAATCCGTCAAAATGGGTCGTATGCATTCATCTGTATGTGATTAAACCAACAATCAACACTACTATTCCAATACTTGATAACTAGTGTGACTTTCAGGATCGATTCGGTTGCATGGGCAGTAAAAAATAGTCAAGGTCTTACCAAGAGTAGATAATTATCTAGCAAATAATTATCATTAGAAGCTTTTGGTACTTGATACTTGACTATCGCCTATTGCGGATACTGGTCGATACCACTTTTTATTGAAGTGTAAGGTTATTAGGGCAGCCTCTGGCGAAATTCTCGTGGGCTTGATTTTCTGTGATTGGAATGAAAGCATAGGTAGGATTTTTGCTGAGTATTGTTCTGATAGTTCGATAGTTTTGTGCTTTTGCTTTGAAAGTGCTGTTTACTAACATATTATAGGGTAAAGGTATCTCCTCCTCCGCTACTCCATACTCTAGAAACGCTCCAGCTTGGTTCAAGTTAACCGAACAAGATGTCGTTGAACAAGTCATCAAGTACGCTAGAAAGGGTTTAACTCCATCTCAAATTGGTGTTATCTTAAGAGATGCTCACGGTGTTTCTCAAGCTAAGGTCTGTACCGGTAACAAGATTTTAAGAATCTTAAAGTCTAACGGTTTAGCCCCAGAAATCCCAGAAGATTTATACTACTTGATTAAGAAGGCTGTCGCTGTCAGAAAGCACTTAGAAAGAAACAGAAAGGACAAGGACTCTAAGTTCAGATTAATTTTAATCGAATCTAGAATCCACAGATTAGCTAGATACTACAGAACTGTTGCTGTCTTACCACCAAACTGGAAGTACGAATCTGCTACTGCTTCTACTTTAGTTAACTAAGTTCTTTTACAAGTTATTAATTTATTGTTATATATATTTTTAAGTAATTTTGTAATTAAATTTAGTGATTAAATCTAATATTGTAATATAGTGTGTGTTAATTTTGCTGTGTAAAGTAAATTTCACCATGCTTTATAAACCTAGTGCGTCTGGAGTAAAAGATGTTCCATGTGAAATACTAGGCTCGCCTTTAGAGATCTGGTAATCAAGGCATGAACTCTTAAATCTGTAAGGGTTAATAATTGCGAAAGCAAAATTCATAAGATCTACAATATTCTTTCACAGCCAAATTCACCTGATTGTTTAAATAGATGCTTAATTAGAAAGGAATCTAAAATTTGCCCAAAATAATAAAAAGGCTTACAATTCTGGCTCGATGAAGCATTGCTAAGTATCTAAACTAGAAATTAAAGTATGGCCGTTGAAAAATTGGCACAGTTAAATATTGGTTCGTTGAATTAGTCTTTTCTAAATAATCGTAAAACCTTAGTTTTGGCAAATTTCAAAGGGCTTTGAGAGAATACCTTATCTAACTCTTCTAAAGTTAATTGTTTGGTTTCTGGAACAAAAAAATAGGCGAAGAAGAATGCAAATAGGTTAAAGGATGCATAAAAGAAAAGACCACCGCTTGCACTCATAGTTTGAGCCATCTTTGGCCAGGTCATACTTAAGACAAAATCTAAGATCCAATTGATAGCCATGCCGATAGCTACCCCCAAGACTCTAACATTCAACGGATAAACCTCCGCATTATAGGTCCAACTGATTGGACCAATTCCAAGCCCAAAGAAAATGACGAACATGTACATGGCAGTCAATCCTGAACCCAAACGGGAAGTATCATCAGATATGTACAAAGAACCACCAAGCCAAAAAAGACATCCTGAAAGAAGAGGGAAAGTTGAAAGTAGCATTCTTCGCCTTCCAAAACGATCAATGCATTGAGAAGAGAAGAAAGTAGCTAAGAAACATCCTCCGCCAATTCCAATACTTCCAGCTATGGCAGTTTTTGAGTCCACTCCAGCGCCTACTAAAATTGTTGTAGTATAACCAACAAGGATGTTCACACCACAATATTGCTGCATAATCATGTTAAAAGCTGATACTAATAATGCATATTTCACTCTACCATTGGTAAAGAAAAGGTTAATTTGAGAAGTTATTGGGATTTTCTCTATTTCTTCTGATCGTTTCAACGAATTATATAAAATAAAAAAATCTCTTGACCCAGAAAGTTCACTATTACGCAATTTGATGAGGGATACCAATGCCTGTTCATCCTTATGGATAGAAAGCAAATAACGGGGAGATTCGGGTATAAAAAGAACAAGGGCAGCAGTTAAAATAGGAGCAACAAAGGAAGCTCCAATCATTAACCTCCAACCAATATTTTCTACATCAACAAAGGCTCGATTAAATACACTTCCAAGCATAACGCCAAATGCAACGAAAGTCTGCCATAACATTAAAAATGCTCCCCGAGACTTTGCTGGGGCAGCTTCCGCAATTAACAAAGGAACAGCTGAAGAATTTAAACCCATCCCAATCCCAAGAAACAAGCGTGCAGCTAATAGAGAACCCATAGATTGACTGAATGCTTGCCACAAGGATCCTCCGACTCCAAAAATACAAGAAATGAAAATAATCCATTTGCGACCAATGTATTTATCTAGAAATATGGCAGATCCGATACCAATAGTCCCTGCAGCCAAATAAGGCGCTGCATTAACTGTGCCTTGAACATTTGCATTGGTGATATCGAACAATTGAATATAATCCAATTGTGCCCCACTTACTGCCGATTCATCATGACCAAAGTTGACAGCTGAAAGACACGCTGAAAGTGCCACTAAAAACATGGTCCAAGATTGTGCCCTTATTGAATGTTTTGATTCAAATGCTAGCTGATCTATTTCGGCATCGTTGTAATGGTGTCGGTGTTCATCGAGAACGTTACCTTCATCATTGGCAAGTACCGCACCTCGATAGATCAATTCTTTGTGTGGAACTAAACGTTGATTCTGCTCAATAATTCTATCAACACTTTCAGCTAATTCTTTATCTGTTAACCCTGCTTGGAAGATAGTAGAATTACTGGAAGTATCAGAGATATTATCTATCTCACCACGAACTAAGTCTTTCTCACTCTCGTCATACATTTTGCCTTACTTAGCTGATTATCATTTCAGAGCACATCTTTGATTTTATACTATTTTGCATCAGCAAAGCCGTACGCAATACCAGCTAATAATCGGGTTAGTTGATAAGCAGCTCATCTTGGCCACACTTTTCGCAATTTTACCCTTTAAGTCTCTTGCCTAACGATTACCATGTATATACTCTTAATAAGGTTTATCCTCGTTTTATCCGTCCATTCCGAGAAGTAAAGCATTTATAAGCAAGACAGACTTGCTAGAAACTAAAGTTAGAATTAGAAAACTGTGGTTTTATCACCATAATATGAAAACCTTTTTGGTTGCAAATAACATCCATGCATCACATCAGAACACCGGAATATACCTAGAACTATTATAGTTATGAAATCCGTAACTGCAAATACCCAAAGAATAGGATATCTCTTAATTTTAAAGGTATAATTTGATCATAGGTTCGCTTTGCTTACAAGGTAAAACTATCAAAGGTCTTGAAAATTATGACTCAAATTCTGTAGATTGATACTATATTACAGGACTCTTTTACAGGACTCTTTCAATCCACAATTAGAATTGCTTCTGGTGCTGTATCTACACTAATAACTGTATTATAATAAATTATTATATATAATTTATAATTATATATGTATATGTATGTGTACTTCAAACTATTTGGTAGTACAGTCTAGTTGTTGTACTGCGTATTAATGTTCTGTGTATAATAATAGCTATCGCGATTGTCACTTCTACTGATATAGTTGTATAATCTCTTTATTCTAACATTACATTAATTAAAGCGTACAATGGGCGCTAGGTTGTCATTATTGGCACCCTCGGCACCGACAATAGCTATTTCTTCGTATGTGGATATTCTAAATAATATCCAATATGTCGAATTATTAAACAATTCACGATTTCTTAAGACCATTAAAGCAGTTGATAATGCATCTGGAAACTTGATTGTTATTAAAATACTAATAAAGCCTTCCAACAATACCTCGAATTACAACATAGATTTACAGCAATTGATCGAATTATTGGCAAAAGAATCGTCGTTACTCAATCGGTTCAATAATATTCTTCCATGGCACAAAATTATAGAAACAGACAGGGCGGGCTATTTAATTAGACAGCTGATAAAAACAAACTTATATGATAGGATATCTTTGCGGCCCTTTTTGGAACCAATTGAAAAGGCATTTCTTGCGTTCCAAATCTTGAAAATAATAGATGATTTGCATAATAAATTGGGCATACATCATGGTGATTTGAAACTAGAGAATTGTTTGATCACGTCGTGGGATTGGGTAATGTTGACAGACTTTGCGAGCTACACTAAGCCTACGTATCTTCCAGAAGATAATCCGAATCAATTTTCTTTCTATTTTGATACGTCAGATAGAAGACTCTGCTATATTGCCCCAGAGAGGTTTTATAACTCAAAGAGCAATATAAAACCAGTTCAAAATATTAACGATTTTGGAAAGTTCAATGGAAAAGATCAGCTAACAAATGAAATGGATTTATTTAGTTTGGGATGTGTTATAGCTGAGTTATATTTGGACGGAGAGCCTACTTTTACATTATCTCAGATATTCAAATACATGAAAAACGAGTATATTCCTGACTTATCTACTATAAATGATTCATACATTAGAGAAATAATAACGAACTTGATTCTGCGTAATCCTAAGGATAGAAAATCAGCTGATACTATACTCAACAGCTATAGAGACAAATGTTTTCCTAGTTTCTTTTATGATTTTCTTTATGATTTCATGTCAGAATTGAATAATAATGATTTATTTGTTGTCCCAAATGATAATGATAATTTGACTCCAAGCGATTTAAAACTTGAGCACATTTATAAAAGTTATGACAAGATTACCGATGCTTTGCAGTTTAATTATTCTAATGAAGGCAATTTATCGGCTTCACAAGATTCGAAATTCGTGCCATTAATTCTTAACTTAAAAGGAATGCCAAGAAACTATATAATTAAGTCAACTGCAACATTTATGGAAAATAATCACCTGCAGCAAGGCTCTTTGATTATCCTTAATTTGATTTTCTCGTTGATGAAATCATTCAAGCAGCCTTTTTCAAAAATCAAAGCGTGTGAACTAATAATTGCACTTTCGGAGAGAGTTAATGATGATTGCAAATTGGACCGTTGTTTGCCATATTTATGTAATTTATTGGACGAATACATTGACAGTTCCGGTAATTACCAACCAAATAATTTTCAATCCAATTTGTCTGAAAACTTTACATCATCTTCGGAAGTGGCATGTATTGCATTAACATCTATTACTACTTTACTTATGTCGTGTTCATATATTAACCCGATTAATGTATTGATGTTTTCAGAGTATTTGTTACCAAAGTTACACACATTGATAGGTATATTTCCAAAGAATGAGGACAAAAATTTAATCAAAATAACGCTAGCTGCATGTTTGCCGCATCTTGCAATAGTTTCAAAGAAGTTCTGGATGATGTCAAAGACTTTTAAGAACAGTGTTCTAAAAGACTTGAAAAATCGTCTCCCTCCGACGCAACTTTTAAACGATAATGAAAATGTAAATGACTCTTATAATTCATTCAGTATTCGAAAAGAACAGTTAGACTCTGATGTTGAGGATCTTTCCTCCAAACTATTAACAGACCTTAACCCCATGGTTAAAATAAGTTTAGTTAACAATATAATGCCATTATGCCAATTTTTTGGTGTTGATAAAACTAATGATATAATATTACCGCACTTGATCACATACTTGAATGATTCAAATTATGAATTGAGGCTTGCATTTTTGTCGTCCATCTTGGAAATTGGCCCATTCGTTGGGGTTTTATCCTTTGAGCAATACATTTTACCCTTATTAATCCAAACATTGGGTGATCTGGAACAATTTGTTATTTTGAAGGTCTTGGAAATATTTCATTATTTTGTGCAACATAGGTTGATTAATCCAAAATCTGAATTCAATGCATTGTCAATCTATAAGGAGTTGTTGACTAGTTCGATTAAGTTACTTCTTCTTCCGAATGAATGGATTAGGCAGTCTGTAATCAGCTTGATTCTATCAATTAGCGATAACTTACTGGATGCTGATAAATATTGCTTTCTTTATCCTCTTGTAAAGGGTTTTTTGGTGTATGATGTGAACACAATAACCTGGAATACGTTATATCCATCTATTACAAAGCCATTATCGAAACAGATATATAATTTGGCGATTACTTGGTCATCGAATGCAACTAGCAAGTCATTGTTTTGGCAAGAGAAGAGCTTCTCGGTATTTAATGATATAAAAGCACCTGCAAAGATTTTACCCTATTCGACTAATATGGGGAAATCTGTTTACATTCCTAAATCTAAGAGCGGCTTTCCTTTAGACAGTACGAACTCAAACATTCCATTATCCCCAGAAGATAAACAGTGGGTATTAAAATTAAAATCCGTGGGACTTAATGATAGGGACTTATGGAAGATATTCATTTTAAGAGAATATATTTTTCATGCTAGCAAATCTAATACTTCATCTACGTCTAAAGATGATTTTGAACTTCCAAAGGACATTAATATTACCCCACGCAATGTTTTCTTCGAAGTTTGTTATAAATCCGAACCTTTTACATCTGACTCCAAGACCGCAGAAACGAATTTTGAATCTGTGCATACCATTCCCAGTTCCAAAAAGGATGTAGAAGCCTCACGAGGTTTAAATTCGCTTATCTTGCCAAATTTTGGTAAGGTAAAAGTTTCATTGCAGACTGTCCAAGCAAATGTTTTTGGAGAATTAGAGACTAGCCATGATTCTTCTTTTAATGTTAGTACTAGCCATCATCATCATCATATTCATTCCACTAATAATTCGAATTCTACTCATAAAGTTTTTAGTGTTAATAACCAAAAAATCATCACTGCAAATATGAAGCATAGTTATACTGGTTATAACCCATATATGTTAAACTATTTGCATAATGTCGAGTTTGAACCTACCTTGGATAGTTTTTCAGAATTCGGGAATATTATAAAATTTTCGAAACCATCCACGTCAGACAATAATATTTGGAAACCACAGGGAATATGCGTAGCACATATTAATACAAATAATACTGATGGGGATATTAATGGAGTAAATTGTATATCTGTTGGTCCAACTTCAGAGTTTTTCATAACTGGCTCTGAAGATGGCACAATGAAAGTTTGGGATACTCTGAAGCTAGAAAAGAGTATTACAGTTAAACGTGAAAGTCTCTCTTTGAAGCTAGAATCTTCAATTGTTGATATTAAATTTATTCCGAATAGGTTTGTGTTTCTGGTTATAACCACTGATGGAAAGCTAAGGTTGTTTAGAATTGATGTTTCAAGAGGGAAGAATAAAAGGATTACCAAATATACAAGACTTTCATTGATCAGAAATTATAGCTTGAATATTATCGAGGATGGGTATTTAACAAGTGTCGAATATTGTATTTCTCTGCTGCATGCATGGATTATTGGTACTACGTCTAATTCTAAAATTATAGGATTTGAAATTATCAAGATGGAAGTTGAATTTAATTTGCAAAATCCTGTAATACTTGGCGTAATTACATCATTCATAATAGACCATAAGAAAGCATGGTTACTAGTGAGTACAGATAAAGGTAACATATGTTTATGGGACCTAAGGTTTAGAACATTAGTAAAGTCTTGGAAATTAAATACAAATAATGAATATGATAAATTGTCTCCGATAAAAAAATTAATTTTGATGCCAAACGACTTTAATTTAGATGCAAGACTGGAGAACACATCTTACTTTGCAATGATAGGTGGTACCAACGAATCAGATATATCTCTATGGGATGTTCCCAGTTTCGAATGCCGTGAAACATTTAGCTCAAATGCCATTAACCCAAAAGTCAAGTTATTTTCATTAGATGAGATCCAAGCTACTAAAGAGCCAGAAATTGATGCCATTTTATCGGACTTAGATATAGATTTCGACACTGATAATAATAAAGATAAGAGTATGACTGCATTGCTGACGTTCAAAAACAAAGCAAACAACTACTTTGCATGTGCAACTTGGGATAAGCGGATTATTCTTTGGAATATTTTTGATACAGCAGAGTCTGTTTCTCTCAATAGCAAGTATGCCACATCTTTCAATAAATCTAGAGTTAATCTGGCACTTCAGTTGAATTACGAAAGAATAAGCACAGATAAAGGTCCTGCTCAACCGAGTGATGCAATTACATTGAGTAGTATTGCTAGCCAGCAGTTTGACTCTGTTAGGATACATCAGGATATTATAAATGATATAGGGGTAATCACTAGACCATTTGAAATGATAATATCTGCAGATAGGAATGGATTTGTTAACTTATATAAGTGACTTTTGTCTGCAAAACGAGTGCCTTGAAACTGCGCAGCCTAAATTTTCACGATGCGAGCCTGTTAAATAAATTTACTTAGTTAGATATAATAGTAATTTAATTAAATACTGAATAAATTCCAAAATGGTATTCAATGACAAAGAAGGAATGAGGATCGCTTTCGAGGAAGCTAAGAAGGGTATGTATAGTATTTATCTTTTTTACCTGACTTCTATGTTGCATGTACTAACAACCTAAGGTTACGAAGAAGGTGGGGTTCCAATTGGTGGAGCTTTAATTCATGAAGATGGAACTGTATTAGGTCGTGGTCACAACATGAGATTCCAAAGTTCTTCAGCTACTTTACACGGTGAGATTTCTACATTAGAAAATGCTGGTAGATTAAAAGGAAGTATTTACAAAAAATGTACGATGTACACCACGTTGTCGCCTTGTGATATGTGCTCAGGTGCTTGCATCATGTATGGTGTTAAAAGAGTGGTTCTTGGAGAAAATGATAACTTCTTTGGTGCAGAGGAGTTATTAAGGCAAAAGGGTATTGAGGTTGTGAATTTAAAGGACAAAGATTGCAAAGAATTAATGAGTAAATTTATCAAAGAAAGACCAGAAGACTGGTATGAAGATATTGGGGAATAGATTATTTATGTTCTATAATTTATAAATGCAATAGATTTCTGTAGTAAATCTTGTAGATCTTCACGTACCATGATTATTCGAGTATTCCGTATTAATGTGCGATCTAAAATAAAAATTCAAAAATCTGATTCAGTATAGAAATACTTTTTAGAGAACTAACATAACTGCTTAATGGATGCGATAGCTGACTCAGTGTTCACAGACATAGGTTCTTCTGATACTCCTAGTGATGATCCATCTCTTTTGACAGTAGTACTTGATGTTACACCCCAAAGTTGGTACAAGATACGGGACCAGATTAGTATACAAGAAGTGGCAAAGTCATTGCTTGTATTTCTTAATGCACACCTTTCATTAAACAATTCCAATCAAGTTGCTTTCATAGCTAGTACCCCCCAAGGTTCGAAGTTTTTGTATCCTAATCCCGAGAAAAATTATGATGAAGTTCGTTCAAAGAAGAATGGGGGAAGTTCAAATATGGAAACGGCAGATTCTACCTCGAGCTTGGTAGGTGTTGGTATGTATAGACAGTTTAGAATTGTCGACGAGGCAGTATTGGAGAAATTGAATGAAGTATTTGCAGATATATCTCAAAACATTGATGACAATCGCTGTAATTCGACATTATCTGGAGCCTTAAGTTTGGCTCTCACGTATACCAATAGGATGCTAAATTTGGATCTGTCTATTTCTACAACAACAGCCTCAGCTATAAATACAACAACAAATGCAAGCTCTAATAAAACTAATTCGTCGGGAACAAATTCAAATTCAATGTCCACGGGTGGAACGAATACTACAAGTCTCACATCCATGAGATCAAGGATTTTAATAGTTTCATCTAACGATGACGATGACATTAAATATATTCCAATCATGAACACAACATTTGCCGCACAGAAAATGAAAGTGCCTATAGACGTAGCTAAATTAGGAGAAAAAGACTCTTCATACTTGCAACAAGCATCAGATGCTACTAATGGAGTATATTTACATATTGCAAATCCAGAAGGATTAATTCAGACTTTATCCACAGCATTTTTTATCGAACCATCAATAAGACTGTTAATAATACTTCCGACTAATTCCAATGTCAATTATAGAGCAAGTTGTTTCATTACGGGGAAATCAGTAAACCTAGGATTTGTTTGCTCTGTTTGCTTATGTATAATGAGTGTAATTCCTAAAGAAGGCAAGTGTCCAACTTGTGACTCTAAGTTTGATGAAAAAATATTAGCACAACTAAGAAGAGGAGTTGTTATCCCTGTAAAGAAGAAAAGAAAGCTTGATTCGAATGCTAACGGGCAGTCTGATAACGTAACACCAGAAGTATAAATAACGATTATATATAATTCATTTTAATAGAGAAGGTTTTCTTGGATCTATTCCGCTATCAACAATTCCAAAGTTGAAGTTCCGTGGATAAGCATGTTTATCGATCATATGTAATCTTCTTTTTCGTCTATCAATACATACTTTTTTACACCCATCACTTATCGAATAATGAAAGCATTTATACACTTTTTCTCCTTTTTCTTTGCTTATTTCAAAAAATGGATTATGATTTTCATCAATATGTATGTTTAGAAATGCTTCTGATGGAAACCGTTTCTGGCATTCTAAACAAAGATAATTATGAGTACCAAGAATGTGTGCTTCGTACGCTAAATAATCATTAAAACTAGCTGGATTTAAATGACATGGAGGTATAGAGCAATGTATGACAACTCCTTTTGATTTTGACTCCTGATTTGCAGTATATTCAACATCACTGTCCCTTCTAGGTCGTTTACTCATTGAATAATTGCCAATTGATAAATGAACCCAGAAAGCTGATGCTCATTTATATTTCACAGACTCATTTTTTTTCAATTTACACAAGGCTCTTTGCCATAAAAGGCATTAGTTATACAATTATGAGTAAACGATCTGATTGCCAGAATGATGAATATACCTACAGAAACAAGTATGCTAGGATAAGTGATACCAATGAAGAACATAGCACTCAGGATGTTCGATCATTTACTCAAGGTCCACTAGATGCAACATTTGGCCAACATGCAGCATTTCCTCTTACACAATCCCATGAAATCACAGATCCCATAACGGATTCTGTTCAGTCATACTTGGAAACTGTCAGAAGGGAAGCGGAAAAAGACCAGTGCATTTACTTTGCCAACAGGGATTCACAAGAAAGTACGAAAAACGAAAATGTTGACGAAAACGAAACTAAGAACGAAACCAAAAGCTTGGAAAGCAATAGAAAAGACCCAGAAGTTGCAATTACCATTATCGAAAACCAAATATGGAAGAAGGAGCTTATAGAGGAATTTTTACACTTGAAAGAAGCTGTCGAACTGTATGCTCAGTCGTTAAAGCTGCAGCCAAGTCATATCTCAGAGAACGTGTCAGAAGTTGAAACATATAATGAAATACCTTTTGATATCCCACAAACTGCAACTGCCTGGCGACAGTATATTATGAACAATCATCCCCCACCAATCAAATTCTTTTTCATTCATTTAAACCGACCTACGATAATAAAGCTTCTCATATATGTAACTAAATGGTTAAGCGCAAATAGCAATGAAAATCTATCTAAGTGGATATTTCTGCTCTTTTTACGGCTTGATAACCTTTTAGATCATATAGATTGTTCAATTGTAAGGGACTTGGCTAAGAAGGCCATAAAAATAAAAGTCAACACAGACCCTCAGGATATAAATGATGTTTCAAACTATACAATTGACATGGTCATAGTCATTGTGGGAGAGTATTATAGACAAAGAGACCTACTTGTATATTAGAATAGGATTATTTACTTCATTAAAGATAAGCTGATAGTGTAGTATGTAGTTTTCGATTTGGCACTACCAAAGAAAAAAGTGTTGATATCTCAACAATGTATTATTAACATCAATTTAATTAGATTTATATTAGTATCAATTATCAATTAATATATATAAAATATCAGATATAATGGCACCAAAAGTTATCAGAGAAGATTTAGTCGTACCGTATGTATTAATTTTGTTTCTAACGAATTAATTGTATTTTTACACAGAGGAACCAATCCAAGAATATAACACTAACAAAATCAATAGATACAGGCATGTACCAGCCAAGGCACGTTCAGAAGCTACTGGAATGGTAGCACAATCCTTGCCAATGGCAGCTATGTTTATGAAAAATAAATTGTTATCTTGGACTTCATTATTTTTGGCTATACAGTCATACTTAAACGATCCTATCAATAAACAGGACGATCCAGAAAGCACACAACAACCACCACTTTTAAAGATTGTTTTTGCTTTAATTGCTGTTTGTACCTGCTACATTGATTTGATTTTCCCAAAGACTAATCCAGCTGCAAAGGCAGGCAATTTAGCCCAAACTGTCAGTGCAACTGTATCGTCCGTAATCTCTTCTGCTACTGGTAGTAACTAAGATTTGAATACATTATCTACTTGATGGAGCGTAAAAATGGGTTTAATATTACAAAATATAAATATATCTATACATAACAATAATACACGTTTGAGAATAAATTTGTGAAGTAACCATTAGCTCTATTTCCAATTGAAAATAGCACTCTCTAAGCCTTTATATGATACAGAAAGTTTCAGTGATGAATTATCCCATGACAAATCACAGATGCCAATATCGACCTTATTGTCCAACGTATCTTTAAGAATTTGAAGATCATGACACCCCATGCACCTTAGAACGTCTTTTCTTCTACCTGAATAACGAGATGGGGCAATATCCCATACTGATATCCTTCCGGCGTCATCTCCAATAGCTAACCAGTTGTTATCAGGAGAGACTGATGCATTGAAAATTAATGAATCTTTCTTATTTGCAAATGATGTTGCAGTGTTTTCACTTGGAAAATTAAAATTATCTTCGTTTTTAAATACATTAGCACTTATTATTGCATCACCATTGGCCATACTCCACATATTTACAATGCCTTCCATGGACACACTTAACAAAACACTCTCATTTTCTGAAGTGTTCAACCAGAATAATCCAATAATAGGCGATGAATGAAGTTTTAGGCCCACATTTTTTGTTTGAGTATTTAATTCAAGCGACTCTTGAGTAGAGCTGCTTTTCCATATCTTAATCACGTAGTCATAATCAGAACTTGATGCTAAAAGTTTAGAATTTGTACTAAATTTGAGAATAGATATATTATTATTGTGTCCAGGAAGAAATCCAATAGGCTTGACTAATGAATCCAGATTTCCTGATTGGGATATATTGAACTGACCACCATTTATTTGTGGTGTGGTAATTGAATACACCTTAATTGAGTTTTTTGGGGTTGAAAGAGCGAATTTAAATTCATCTATCCAACAGGCGTCTATAGTTGATGTTTCGGATGTGGAAGTATTAGGTGATTTGATTATTTGAATTAGGTTCAAGTTATTACCATCCCACAAGCACACTTGGTTATTTACCGCGATGGAGAGTAAATATTGTCCACTTTCGCTCCAAATTAAGCTTGATATTAACGCTGGCGTATGTTCGGTTTCTGTAGTATCTGGATATCCGGCTAAAGCATCTGCTTCAATACCAAAAGATGCTGCAGTATTAGCGATATTCTTTAATTTACCATCTGGAGACCATGCCCTAAGTTCACCATTTATGCCAGCAGTAACTATAATATTGCCCATAGGAGCCCACGAAACCGTTGTTATTTCGTTTTCAATTGGAGTAGAACTAGATCCTTTTAAAACATTCGGATGATTTAATGTCACCGATTCCGCTATTACATTGCCTTTTATTGCATTTATTACTGCAGTAGAATTATCTTTCCCATAAGCAAAAACATCTGTACTTGGGTGCCAATGGGTCGTCAAACATTCAGGGTACTTAATATCCGGTATTAAGCTCTTAGTAGTAAACTCAATAGGAATTTCTGGAGCCTCTACCTCTTCATCATTTTTCTTTTCCACCTCATCATCGCCGTCCTTCATTTCAATATCTTCGTTGTCTCCCTGGGCTTTTACTTCCGATTTTAATGAAAAGCGTTCCTTGTTATTTGCATCCAACTGCTGTTCATATTTCACTTCTTCATCTTCTTGTTTCTGTTTATCCAACTCTTCTTGTAAAAGAGCTCCCAACAAGGAGTAAGTGCTTTGGTCTGATCCATCTTTCCGGGTATCCCCTTCAGCTAAGGTAAACAATATCCCCTTTTGAACTAAGTTTACAAGGCATCCTGGCTCAATTCGTGATATTATAGGCAAATTCTTGTTATGTTCATACGACAGACACTGCGAGTGCTTTTCTAATGCAAATGCCGCCAAATCAAATCCCGATTCTTGGAGGTACCTCCATACCAAATAATTTAGCTCTGTGCTAGTCAAAGACATAAGTTTCTTAACTAATTATTTGGGCTGTGTATGCTTGTAGATATCATGTAGCTGGCTAATTCGAGTTTTCAAAATTTTTTGGTTTAAGTCGTAAGTTACACAAAACCACCAATCACCAGAATCTCAACAGACGTATAAACATACTGTTGTAGATCAGAAAAGAATCTAAACAGTATCAGATATTAAAGCTATAATTGATCTACAATGAACTTTGACGTCAAAGCATCTAATCGTAAGAGTAGAGCGCCGTGGCAAAGCTCTGCGAATAATACTAAAATAAGTAATCCATATGCTGATGCTAATACATCGGTAGTAACGAATAATGAGAATAATGATAGTTTACAGGTCCCCAATCCGTATGGAGTCAATAATAAGAGTAATAGGAAGAATACAAGAAGATTGAGTATACATGCATCGGCAGCTGCGGCAGGTCATGGAAGAGGACCATTTGATTCAACAAATTTACCACCTGTTCCCCAACTATACAAGACAAACACGCAATCGTCCGATGCAGTGCTGGCTATCAGCAAAGGACAGGAAGAGGAAGAAGTGGATATAGAGACTAAGATATTTGGAGAATTGTCTAATGGTACTGCTACGGAAATCGATGATTATTACAAAGTATTGGTAAAGCAGAAAGCATTGATCACCAGAGATATGAAGAGTAATATAAACCAGAACCAGAAGAATATTTTAGAATTAACTAATGATTTGAAAGAAACCCAAGAAGAACTTTTACAATTGCGTATCACTACCAAGGAATTGTATGGTGTGTTAGACGAGTTTAAGGAAGCTGCTGAAAGAAGAATAGAATTGGAGCATGAGACTCAGCAGACGGATCAGAACCATAACAATCTGTATGCGGCATTGAACTCAAAGAAGCGTAAGGATCGTTCTTCGGTAATGGTTCTCGGGAAGATGTGGGCTAGTGAATTGCAATCGTTGTGTAAACACGTCGATGGGGCCTCGAAATACGTTCAGCCATTACCGGGGAGACATGTGCTTGCCGAGAGTGGAAGATGGTATGAAGTTAATGTGGGGACATGGAAGCCCACCAAAGCGACACATTTATTTATGTTGAATGATTTGGTATTAATAGCAACGAAGAAAAATTCTATGAGTCAGGATACTGGTGATAAAAAAACTTCCAGACTACAAGCTATCCATTGTTGGCCATTACACGAGGTAAAACTATCTGAAGTTCGTGTTCCAAGCAATTCGACTAAGACAGACAAAGATGGTAATAAACTCTATGTGATAAATATAAAATCGAAATCGTTAAGTTATGTCTATCAGACTGATAGATATGACCATTTTTTGAAGATAACAGAAGCTTATAATAAAGGAAGGAATGAAATATTAGCCAAAGAACGAATGCTCAATTCAAAGTCTATTGGTCAAACTCCTGACCTTATTGAAACAGATGATGAAAAGAGACAGTTGCGACAATCATTAAGAAATTCGGGAATAAGTGATGGTGCATCAGATGAAACTAGTAAACGTAAAAGTGGAACCCAGCGTAATAGTGCTGATATTTTGTTACAGGATATATCTGCACGGGTACATTCAAGGAATAGATCACACGATTTCGACCATGGCCCTCATGCCAAAATAAATGCTGCTGATAGAGGACAGTTTTTTAATGATTTGAAAAAGATTGAAGATAGGCTTGACGAAGTTGACATTGAGATATCCCGTAATAAATACACCGAATCGGTTGGACTTATTAAATATATTGAAAACAAGTTATCCAGTATAGAACTGGCAATTTCTAACAATTCATCAAATGCTTTAATTTCCGTTGACGAAATTAAATTACTTATTGATGTCATAAAGTTAAAAATAAATAACAGAAAGTCAAAAATACAGCAATGCTTAGGTTTTGATTTGCAACATAACATAGGAAAGTTAACTACTTCTCAAATATCTATAATTATTGAATTTTTTCATAATTTTGATCAATTGGATAAGGGTATATCGTTGTATTTACAGGCAGTTACTAATAACTTATCTATCACAGTGTCCAGACTAGTTGTTGGAGTCCAAGGCTCGACAAAAATAGATGTTGTCAATTATTTGTCAAATTTGGTTATTATTAATGTTTCTATTATTAAAAGAGCTATAACAGTATATAAAGAATGTATTGTTCCAGTATTAAAGAAGGATTTAAATGGAAATGTTGATTCTAGTGGATTGATTAATTGGTCTATTGATGAGGTTGCTAAATTGGTAAAAACCATAAAGAAGCATCTTTACGGCAGCTTGGTTGTGTTAACCGGTAATAATGAGGAGACAGAGGAGCCAACATATAAAGTCAAAGATACCGCATTATTCCAAGAATTCATTGGAGTAGTTAAACCCCAATTAAACACTTTGAAAAATGTTGGTGTCAATGTAGAATTCTTATTTGACGATATTTTATCGCTTAAATAATTAAATTATATATTACTTATTAAATATTAATATTATTAAAGGGTCTATCAAAGCATTTCATAAAGTTTGCTCAAATCAGAATGCTCTCTGTAGAATGCACCATTTCTTTTTAAGACTACTAAAGTCAAAGCAGCAAGTGTTATTATCCCCATTAAAATGGAAAATAAAATGCCAGGACCAATTGCCCTTAAAAGAGGTTCAACAACAAATGTAGCAATGGCAGCAAGGGTTTGTCTAATTAAATTGTTCAATGCAACACCCGTTGCACCTTTTCCTGGTAAAGTGTCTACCAAATAAGTTACAGTTGATCCAATCACCAACATTGATGCAAATCCAAATAAAGCTGTACCAATTAATGGAGTTACCCAATGTGTCCCAAAATCTAAACACCATCCAAATATAAGACAGGCAGGAGGGAATAATATAATGGCAGTTAAGACATTCCAAGAAATACGTGATTCCGGTACCATTTCTCCATTATGCTTTTTAGAATACTTCTTCAACAAATAATCATTCCATTTACCGCCAAGAATCGAAGCTATAACATACGTAACTGAGTTAGGTATATATAACAAACCCACAATAATTGTCAGAAATTCATATGGTTCTTGCTTGAACTCGTACGCTATTGTCATATTGAAAAAATACAATACTCCAAAAACAATCGCCGAATATGAAATAACCCATGCTACTGGCGGATGCTTTAATAATATTACCGAATGCATGGGTCTTATGGTATAATCATAAGCATTTATTTTAAATCGATCCCATTTAGATAGCTTTTTGATGGGCAATTCTGTGTCTTGAGCAGCACCTGACAAAGTTTTGTTAATATTATCAATTTGACTTTCACGATACTCTTTTGCAATTCTTCTAGAATATGAAGATTTATCGGTGTAAGACCTCGCTAAAGTAGGCATTACTGGATCAAATACGGGTCGGTCTTGTTCCCAATCTAACGACTGCCTTGAGCCTGACCTAGATAAGCTAGAAGCAATCCTAGCTAAATCAGCATCAGAGTAGTGTATATTTGTCTCCCTTGTAGGAACATCCAGTATCACGGCCAGTTGGGCCAGTTCAGAATCGTCTTGTTTCCCCTCTACGTCTTGTGCTTCGAGAGCTTCTACCTGGTTACCCTCCCCGTGTATATCATCCACTGCTATTGGTACACCTGTAGTAAGTTCTTGGTCACCTTCTTCTGACTCTTCGACTTTATGATATTGACGCAACATCTCTTTTATTGCGCTGTCTGAATCCTGTCTCCGAATGGTCTCCGGTAAGAGAAACATAATAGATAATACGTTACTACCAGAAAATATTACCAAAAGCCATTGGGTCGCTCTCCATCCCCAAGCCTCGGCAACTGCACCACCAATTATTGGAGCTAAAAATGGCCCCATCAAAGGCCCCAAGTAATACAACCCCATGGCCGTTCCTCTTTCTTCGTTTATATACAAATCCCCGACAGTTCCTGCTCCGACCGCTTGAACAGAAGCAGAACACCCACCTGAAAGTATTCTAAATGCAATTAAGGCCCCTATATTTGGGGATAACGCTGCACCAATGGTGAACACGCAAAATAATATGAACGAGATGAGATAAACACTCCGTCTACCATGTTTTTCACTAAAGGTAGACCACCACATTGGAAATATACCCAATGACAATAAGTACATACCCACAGAGACATTAACGATTGTTCCTGTCGTATCTAAGTCCTTCACAACATCATCTATAGCTGGTAACATTATCGATGTCCCCATGGGCCCGGTTATCGCCGCAAATGCAATCACAAACACAATAGTTAATTTGTACGACTTAGGGTAGTCTCTAGCATCCTCATACTCTGGAATAATAGCAAATTTAGCAAAAAGTCCTCGCTTCTCACCCACTGGAACTTTTTTCAGTTTCCCGGAGGATGCATTCGACTGTTGCCGGTCTAAATTTCCATTTGACTTTCCATCTTTCTTTTCCACGTACTCTTGTTCTCTCGTCCTTTCTGGTTGAATAGGTTGCGGATGCTCTGAATGCAACCCATGCGAAATGTCCGAATCTAACGATGCTGTAGATGAAAGTTGATCATCGGCCATAATTGTCGATAATTTATGCGTATTCTTATAATAAGAACCTATTCATGTATATATGGACAAGCTTTATTTATTGCTGTCCTGCAAGTAGTCCCAAATGTATATTTTACTAACAAGAAGTCATATACTTAAAAAGAGCATATACTTAAGAAGAGTCATATACTACTTACCCAGATATGGAAAATACATTTACACCCGAAGATCACCGCGCGAATCCCCACCATATGTCAAATATTTCCCCCTCTGATGCCCCGAAGGGAAATAATGATAACGTACTATATTGCCGACTTCCTATAGGTTATTGGCATATTCGAGTGCAGCATTAGCATTATTTAAGGCATGTATTCAGTTATATAGACCCTTTTTGGTATGTGTCAATGCGAGTGTCATTAAGCCCTTACCCCGATCGAATCGATAACACTGTCAGCGATACGCGTATGAAGCAATAACCACATTTGAATACAAAGAACACACTCGTATCACATGGCCGTTATTTTGTTGTTTCAGGTAGAGCAGAGCGTCAAACGGTCATCATAGGCAAAAGGAACCTCGATGGAACGTGCGAGGCTCAAAAGCCTGCTGGTGGATTTGTAAGGGAAGAAATACTAATCAACCCGATCCGATCTAACTTGACCATTGAGGCTATATCGGATTTCACGGTTTGATAAACGAGTTCCACGTAGGCAAATCAATACATTAGAACAATTGAGTCTTCTTCTTAAAATCACTATTAGAAGATAAAGAAGAAAACGAAGAAAAAAAAACAAAATGACAGTAAGGCACGCATGGCCGATAGTGATTGTGAGGACGTTTTTGCTAGGTGCTATTTTTGTAATAGGATGCCTCTCGATAATGATGAACCAGATTGTTGGGATGTTCGTGTTTGCTAATGATGGTGTACAGAAACAAGCTGTGATCAATGCTACCAAGAAACAATTCATTGCAGTATTCGGGACGGTGACTCGATGGGCTAACCCATGTAAGATCTCCATAACATACGATCCATCAACCTTGCCGGAGGGCGACTCATTCAAAGTGGATTCTCTGGGAAACTTATCGAGCATACTCACACCCAACTCGGTGGTGATTTCGAATCATCAGATCTATACCGATTGGTTGTACTTGTGGTTTATCTTATACACGGCGAGGTTGGGTGACTCGGTCTATATCATGTTGAAAGACTTATCCAAGATTCCCGTATTAGGGTTTGGGATGAAGAACTACAATTTCCTCTTCTTATCGAGAAAATGGGAAAAAGATAAGATAGTGTTGACAAACCAATTGTTGACCATTGATGCGAATGCCAGGGGATTGGGCCCGGCTAATGGAGTCACTCATGTCACTTCGACTAATGTTGGATCTTCGGAACTTCATCACTGGCCAGAGGGTCATAAATCGGGCCAAATATGGCCTTATCTGGTTATCTTGTACCCGGAAGGTACGGTAACCTCCGCCCGTACGAGGGCAAAATCCGATAAATTTTGTCAAGAAAGAAACATGCCAGTATTGAGACACACTTTACTTCCAAGGGTGAGAGGGTTATTCTTAACTTTGAGAAAATTAAGAAATACTGTCGAGATTGTTTATGATTTCACTTGTGGTTATTCTGGTTTAAAACCGGGTGAATATGGTGAAGATATCTATACTTTGAAAAGTCATTACCTTAAAGGCTATGGACCTGAGAAGATCAGTTATCATCTTAGAGGATGGAAATTATCTGAGATTCCTTTAGGTGAAGAAACAGAAGATATTGATGATGTCTCTCCTGAAGACTTAGTGAAATTCGAAGAGTGGCTTTTTAAAGTATGGTACGAAAAAGATAGAATGTTAGATCAATTTTATAAGCACGGATCCTTTGTAGATCCAAAAAGTGATGTTATTTATACCCCAGGAAAGGTTGCCGAGAATACTGTTGTGGCCGACTTTAGAATCAACGGTATTTCTGATATAATCGGATCTTTTGCATCTATAACGATTATTTTATTACTACTTAGAATTATATGGATATTAATTCTGAAACTACTTTAATATCCCTACATTGATATTACAGTATATTTCTAGTTTGGTCGTCAGACACTTCAAGTCTGTTATATGAGTATTGCTATCAAATGTATATAGTTAAAGTATTTTCGTTAAATTATGATATTTCTTAAATCTGCAAGAATTTATTTATTTCAGTTTAATAATAAGGTAATTATGGGTATATACAAATAAAATAGGTCTAGATTGTTATGAAGCTAATTCCAGCCTATACAATGTAGGGCACTGCTATTTTCTCCAAACTGAGATATGTAGGGGTCAAGTCTTTATATTTTACGCCTTGATTGTAGAGGTGACAATTTTGCTAGAAGCTTCATAAATGCCGTTTCAAACTTGAATTAACCAAAGCTTTACCGTAGTTAACCTGCTCTGTTCCAGAATATAAAAATAATAAAGTTATTCGCAGCTTGATCAAGTTCTTGTTTTTAAGCCAATTAGTAAACATAATAATATGCAAACTATACTAATATTATATACCATGTTCTCGATTTCTCTTCTGGAGGTCTTTATGATTTATACTTTCAGAATTTTACAAAGTCTCGAACTGAGAAGTAATACTCACTAAAGTTTAGGATGCGTTTCGAACTAAAAAATCCGTCATGCATTATTATAGCCCAGAAAGATATAAAAAAGACTACCGCCTTGGTTCGAGCCATAATTGGAACTATATAGCAGACTATAAGTAAAATGGTAGCAGGTCTGTCCTCAAATTTGCCTCTTGAAGCAAGTCGCAGATTGCAAAAATTTAAAAGTGTTTCAAGATAATCTTCAATGATCAACTATATAAATCATGTTTAAACCCCTATTAAATAGATATTTTACGATAATGACTACAATACAAACATGATCTTCTTCTTACTTAAAAAACTTATGAAATTTTTTTTATTAGTGTTACTTTTCATAACGGTCTTTTTATTGAGTTTCCTTTTAATAGGTTCCACAGATACTTCAAGTACATATTCTAGTGTGTACTTGACGAAATTTGAGTTTAATAAAACATCTGACTTGTATAGCAATATCCAAGCTGCCTACAAAGGCTCTAACATTTCTACAAAATTAGCAGAATTGACATTATCAGTGGGCTATCTAGGTGTGTGTATTGATATTGATAACTCACTTCAATGCACCTCTTACGACGACTTGGACTCCATTTCGAATTATACAGGAATTTCCATTATACCTACAACCAAAAATGGTGCCGATCAGCTCAACTTAGTCGACTTGGCGAAAACATTCAGAAAAGTGTGCTATTCCAATGTTTTACTTGCTGCTATTGTGATGACTCTTCTTTCGCTCGCAGTGGTATTTTGGAACGTTATCCCTTTGGTCCCCGGAAAATCAATGGCTAAAAAGATAGCATGTTTGTTATCAGCCGCAAACGTCCTAGTCTGGGGCCTTGGTTCCATGCTCCAGCACGAAGCCACAAAGGCTGCTCGGCATATCGTGGGCCCTGCGTCTATGAATACCGTTTCTGCCACCATAGGTCAAAGGGCAGAAGCCATGACTTGGACCGCTTTCTCCTTCCTCCTAATAGTGTGCATGGGGAGTGTTTTTGTATACATTAGAGACTTGAAGGAACAAGTCAATGAAATAGAACCAAAGTTTTAATCTTTCACAATAAACCGAAACACATCATTAACCAACAGAAAAGAATTTCTCCATCCCTATTAACAATGCTTTGTCATATCAGAGTCCTTGGTCATAATTATGTTGGTTATTTTTGCCCTTTCTGTAAAACTACAAAATTGAAAAATCTACAAATTCCATAAAATTTTCAAAATCTATCTAATTTTCGTTACAATTTTTATATGAACTAAAAAATTGCTACCTTTTTCCATACATAGTGTCAAATAAATATCCAACTTTCACTCAGGTTCAATTTTTCAAACTAAATCTACATGAATAGGATACATAGCTTAACTTAGTTATACTGCTTACTACGTTGGGCCTTTTGCAGCAATAGGCGAGGTCCTTATAATGCAAGCGTTAGTGACAAGCACGCTACTTTCACGTGAAAAGTTTGAAAAAGTGCCAGAACGAATTTCCTCTAATTTTTCAACGCGATTTCATAGTGGTTTTTATCATAAACAAGTCAATCATATCGGTAGTTTAGGAGTAGTAAACCTATTAGAAGCCGTTAGTTTGTGATTGGTTAGGTATAATATTTGAATTGAATTTTATATTTAACAGAAAAAGCGATAAGCAATGGCATATAAAGTACAGCTTGACACATTTGTGTCTAGGCTTAATGATAATGCTGACTACAAGACAGCACATTCAGTTTTGTCAGAGCTCTTGGATATGATTGAAACGTTTAATGGAGCAGCTGAATATGAATACTTTTTGTCGAACTTGGTGCCTATTTTCATTAAGAACTTGAAGGAGGTTCCAATTTCGTTTACCAGCCAGTCACCAGAACACAAGTTAAGGAATTCGATATTGGAGATCATACATCGGTCGATTATGAATGAGACGTTCCAGCCGTATTCGGAACAGATATTGGATGCATTGACTACGATATTGGTGGACGAGAACGAGGACAATGGTGTATTGTGCATGAAGATTATCACTAGTTTGCACAAGGCATACAAGAATAACTTAGGAGAAAAAGTACAACCGTTCGTGGAAATCATCAATAATATTTACGATAATATGGACCTGACAGTTCAAGAGACTTTTGGGGCTAACCAACAGAAGGAATCACTTGAGGAATCGGCCAAGGAAATGTCTCCACCTTCATTCAACGAAGATAATTCGTCAAAGACATTGAGTAAAGCGATGTTTTCATTTAAAACCTTGGCTGAATGTCCAATAACGATGGTTTCGTTATACTCTTCGTACAAGAATCTTGTTCAATCTTCATTGCCCACATTTTTACCGAAAATTATGAATATCTTGACTTTGCAAGTGGAACAGCAAAAATCTTATCGTGAAGAATCCGCAAAAGAAAATAAGACCACTACTTCAATATATCCAGACATTACAAACAGACAAGCATATAGTGACTTTATTTTAGGCCAGGTCAAGGCTGCATCTTTTTTGGCTTATGTATTCATCAGGGGTTACGCTAATCAACATTTAAACGAAGACCAATCTAAAATTGTCCCGGATGTGATCTTAAGACTTTTACAGGATTGTCCAGCCGAATTATCGGTAGCACGTAAGGAATTATTACACGCAACAAGACATATATTATCAACTCCATTCCGTACACAGTTCATACCTACTATTGAAATGTTATTTGATGAAAAGATATTGATTGGTGATGGATTGACATCATTTGAAACTTTAAGACCATTGGCATATTCAACAGTAGCAGACTTTATTCATAATGTGAGAAACGAATTGACACCTAAACAAATTTGGTCAACCGTAAGAATATATTGCAATTTATTAAAAGATGACTCCCTAGCTCTAACAGTTCAAATTATGAGTGCAAAATTGTTACTTAATTTAGTGGAACGCATAATGAAATTGCCAAATAAGTTAGAAGGTAGACAATTATTCATGATTATAATTGACGCTTACGCAAAAAGATTTCAAAGTTTAAACCGAAAATATTCTTACATCATTCACAAACATGGCGAGTTTGAGAAGAAGAGAAAACTAAAAGAAAAAGAATCTAGAAGAGCTATTAGCAAGTATTCCTCGAAGAATGTGGATATCTTGGAAACAAAGAAAATAGAACTAATTCAAGAATCAAAGAAAGAAGAAGACAATGATAATGACAAACAAACTGAAATGGAGGATATTGAGATGGAAGATGCTGAAAGTGAGGAAAAGGACCAACCCAGTGAAGATGAATCTAAATCTGAATTGGATGTTTTCTTAGATGTTTTCAGTATTGACGAACATTCACCGATTTCTTCATCGCCTCTTAATACCAGCTCTGATTTATTAAAGGATGCGCGTTATTTATTCCGTACTTTGATGACCTTTTAAAGTCGGTGATTTTTGGATTGAAGAATTGTAATCCACCTGTTCCACCACAACCTTCTCAGACGGACCCTAAAAATTCTGGTCAGGTTATTAACTACGATAAATGGAATGACTCGGCAAAGCTTACATCTTATGAGGAAGTGAATATTTTGCGCAATTTATTTAGAGGTGGAATAAGTTGTTTAAGATTTTTCTCAGTTGCTAAACCTAAACCAAACGTACCTCAAGCCAAAGCGTTTGATTGGTCAACTGGTGGCCCAAATTTGCCTATCACATCATCTAAAGAAGAGAAAGACTTGATGGAGATTTTCGCAACTATATTCATCCACATAGATCCTGCATCGTTTAATGAAATAGTTAATTTTGAATTACCTTTTATGTTTGATTCTATGCTTGAAAATGCAGCTTTACTTCATTTACCCCAATTCTTCCTAGCCAGTGAGATAACTTCTGCAAATTTTTCAGGTATATTAATATCATTTTTGAAGTCAAAATTAGACCAATTAGACAAAGTTGAATTAGCGAAATCCAACATATTGATTAGATTATTTAAACTATGCTTCATGTCTGTGAATTTATTTCCTACTGCCAACGAAGGTGTTATATTACCACATTTAAACTATTTAATTTTAGAATCATTGAAATTGGCGACGAAAGCTGAAGAACCAATTGTGTATTCGTATTTGGTTAGAATATTATTCAGAAGTATCAGTGGTGGTAGATTTGAAAACTTATACAAGGAGATAATGCCTATATTACCGGTTTTACTAGAAAGCTTGAATAAGATGATTGCTAATTCTCGTCGACCTTACGAACGTGATATATATGTTGAATTGTGTTTGACTGTACCAGTACGTCTTTCAGTTTTAGTTCCACATTTAAATTATCTTACAAGACCATTGGTTTATGCACTTAATGGATCGCAGGAGTTAGTAAGCCAAGGTTTACGTACATTTGAATTGTGCGTTGATAACTTGACAGCTGAATATTTTGATCCTATAATCGAACCAGTGATTGATGAGATTATGGCTGCATTGTGGAAACATTTGGAACCAGTACCATATCATCATCAACACTCTCACACTGCTATCAGAATTTTGGGTAAGCTAGGAGGAAGAAATCACAAGAATTTTAAACCATGTAATAGTTTGATTACTCAATCAGAGTTGGATCAAGAAATAAAGGCACTCTTTAAAATTTACGGATTAAAGGGTGAAGTACCAGTTTCAATAACACCTGGCGTGGAATCTGCGATAAAATTATTAGAGGATCCAAGGTTAAAAGTTCATTATCGTATAAGTGCTTTTAAGTATTTGTCTGGAATCTTGAAGTTATTCATTGATACAACACCAATCCCAGAAGACTATTCTATGTATGTTTCTGAGTGTGTCGAGAATTTAAAGCTGGAAAAAATAGAACAAACGATGGAATTAGAAGAATCAGGTATAAAGGATGGTGCTAAATTAGATCGTCATCAAAAATTATTTTCCAGATTGCTAGAAATCCTTTTCTTTTCGGTTTCAATTCCAGACCTTAAAGAAGAGGCAAGTGAATTAATAGATGGTCTTACCACTCACTTTACTTTAATCTATTTAGGTACATCAGTGATAGATAAAGTGAAGAAAGAACGTGCATTCAGCGTTAATGATAATGAAGGAAAAGCATATATTAATGAGACAGCATTCTTAAACGCTTTAAATTATGCTTTAAGTTTCTGGGATAAGGATGTTAGAAAAAAGGGGATAGAAGCTATTAAAAATATTTATACGACAACTGTAACAATTTTTGGCTCAGATGAAAATGCCTTATGTTCACCAATATTTCGTTCAATGTTTTATAGATTTACTCATTGCTGTTACAATGAATTTTATCATGCCAAACTTGGGGGGATTTTGGGTCTCAGAACCATGTTTGAGGATTTAGGTATCCCTGCGAAGTGGTTCTTCAAACGCCAATTTGAATTAGTGCGTTCAATTTTCTTCATTTTGAGGGACACACCAGAGACGGCATCTTATGAAGTACACGATTTGGCAAAGAATTTAGTTTTGAAGCTTTTACATGATTGCAATGTCGATGTCCCCAAGGAAACAATTCTAGAAAAACCATTCCAAACTCTAGTTGGAGCTTTAGTATATGATTTGGCTAGTGCAAATCCGCTTGTGAGAGAAGTATCTCAATCTTCCTTAAAGGTATTATCTGAAACTACATCTGTGTCAATTGCTTCCATAATGGGACCCTGCAAGCAATTATTGTTAACTCCTATTTTCGGTAAGCCATTAAGAGCTTTACCGTTTCCAATGCAAATTGGTAACATAGATGCAATAACATTCTGCTTGGGCCTTGATGATACATTCTTGACTTTCAACGATGAGTTGAACAGACTTCTTCTTGAAGCCTTAGCTTTGGTCGATGCGGAAGACGAATCGCTTGCCAATGTACATCGTCTTTATGAATATAGAACCTCAAAACAACTTATAGAACTACGTGTTGTGTCTATAAAATTACTTTCCTTAGCGTTGACGAAGCCAGACTTCTCTTTGGGCTCTTTAGCTGAAGCAAGGATTCGTATATTGGGTGTCTTTTTCAAGGCGCTTTGCAATAAATCAACGGAAATTATTAATGCAGCACACTTAGGATTGAAGTCGAGTCTCCAGGAAAATGCTAAGTTACCAAAAGAATTATTACAAAATGGTCTTCGTCCTATGCTTATGAATTTATCAGATCATAAGAAATTAACTGTATCTGGACTTGAGGCCCTCGCGCGTTTATTAGAGCTTTTAATTTCATACTTCAGGGTTGAAATTGGCCGTAAATTGTTAGATCACTTAATGGCATGGGCTCAAATAAATACATTAAGACAACTAGCAGGCCAAGATTTAGAAAACAACCATACTGTTCAGATTGTAATAGCCATTTTAAACATCTTCCATTTATTACCAGCCAAAGCATACACTTTCATGGAAGAAATTATAAGTACTTTACAATATTTAGAGGGTCATTTAGACCGTCATCAAATATCACCTTTTAGAATTCCAGTTTCCAAGTTTTTGAACAGGTTTTCAGAAAATTGTTTAGAATATTATATGCAAAATTACAAGAACAGGAAATTAGGTAATATGCTAGCATATTTTGCTGGATTGGAAGACTGTACAAAAATTAGAGATACAGCAAAAGAAAAATTTAATGATATTCTCAAGGACCTTGAAGAAGAACCGTCGGAAGAAATAAAGGTTATAAAATTTGCAAACACTGTTGATCTTCTTAAAGCTCTTTCAGATTTTGAGCTTGAATGGTTTGATGAACAAAAAGATCTCTTACTTACTGTTTCTTCTATGGTGGAAAGAATTGTGGAAATTAAGAACCAATCTCCATTGATATCTTCTACACATTTCCAAGGTGATCAAGCTATTTCAAAACTCCAGGGTATAGTGGTTCATTACTTGAAAAGGAATGCGAAAGAGGTTGATATGACATTCACTGTTATTGATCGTTTGTCGTCCTTAAAGGTTAGAGTACCTCCACAATTAGAAGAGTTTATTTTTGATACTATTGTCTGTTCCAAAGATGTTGGGCACAGAGAAACATACTTAAACAAATGTATTGAATTTGTCAATCATGCAGATCATAGCTTGAAGAGCAAAATATTTTTCTTGAAGAAGGTCTTCAACGCAATTATCATATATGAAGCCGAGAAAGTAGGTAATGTGGATGCTTTTTTTGAAAACAATAAGACACCTCAATGGTTAGAAGACGTCTGTAACAAAATTTGGAGATCAACCAACGACATAATAACTGATCACACATCAGGTAGCATGGATAGTTATAGGTTCGAATTACTTGAAATGACTTCAATTCTTCTCAAATGGGCTCCTAGTTTTATCGGTGAGTACCGTAAAGATATCATTAAATTCAGTTGGAATTACATCAAATTGGAAGATAATATTACCAAGCAAGTGGCCTATGTCACAACATCTTACTTTATTGCAGCTTATGAAACACCATCGAAATTGGCTACTCAGGTATTTGTTGCTCTTCTCCGTACGCATCAGACCGACTCAAGACATCTTGTGAGACAGGCGCTTGACATACTTGCTCCAGTAATGCCAGATCGTATGGATGCTGTTGAATCACCTATTAGCTGGCTCAAATGGCCTCGTCGTGTAATTTCAGAAGATGGCTTTAATGTCACACAGGTGCTCAATGTTTACCAATTTATTGTACAACACCCAGATTTATTTTTCATAGCCCGTGAACATTTCATTTCCAATATCATTACAGCTATGGGTAAATTGACTATCTTGGCAAATCCTGCAATAGAAAACCAAGTTCTAGCTATTGACTTAGCTGAACTAATTTTGAAATGGGAAGCAAAAGCGAAGGAACAAAAAGCGGAAACTCAAATTGATGGTCCTGAATCTGCCAAACAAAACTCAGAGAATGCAACAGATTTTACTACATCGGCTAATTATAGCATTCCGTTTGGCCAAAGAGAAGCATGTGTTACTTTCTTGATTAGATACGTTTGTATCAGCCCTCAAAGAGCATCGGAAAGTGAACTAGGCCAAAAAGCATTAGGGATTTTATATGATCTATTAAGTCCTGACCACTGGCCAGAAGTGTCCGTAAAATTAACATTCTTTGAAAAGTTTTTATTATCCAATGACTTAAATTCTTCGAACTTATTTGGATATTGTTTGAATGCGTTGGAAGTGTTGAGCGTGGTATTAGAATGGAAGAAACCAGAATGGATAGTATCGAATCTTGCATATATTCATAAACTTCTTGAAAAGTGTATTAAGTCTGATAATCACGATATTCAAGAAGTTTTGCAATGTGTTCTTAGAATCATTCTTCAAGCTGTTAATAATCAAAAGAAGTCCGATTCAGAAGAAGACGAGGAGGATGAAGTCAAGGAATTTATTTCGTTATTGACAACTACTGTCTCTGAAGACTTGGGCGATATGCCATCAGTCGCTGCTGGTGTCACATTATCTTGGACATTGGCAAACTACAGACCGTCTACCTTGGATTCGCTTTTGCCTCTGATTATGAGAACTTTTAGTAAACTTTGCAAGGATCACATTACAATTACTCATCAAGGATCACAAACATCAAGCAAAGATGGCTCCAATTCAGAATATGAAGCGAAGATGACTACTAGATTATTAGAAAAGATTCTTAACTTATCATCAATGAGGATATCTAATCTTGGTGATCAGAGAAGAATTTTCTTGTCTTTATTAGCACAGTTGATTGAGCGTTCTCTAGATAAGGATACTCTTGAAAAGATCATAAAGATTGTCAAAAACTGGGTATTTTCTAGAACTGATCTTTTCCCTACTACCAAAGAAAAGGCAGCAATTCTAGCCAAGATGATGGTTTTCGAAATTAGAGGTGAGCCATCATTATCCAAAGAATTTTACCAAATAATCGTAGATATATTTGAAGATGATACTTTTAGTTGTACAGAATTGACGGTTCGTATGGAGCAACCATTTTTGGTTGGAACTCGTTCCGCAGATGTTTCTATACGTCGTAAACTTATGTCAATCTTAAACAATAGTTTGGAAAAAGATATCAGTAAAAGATTATATTATGTTATCCGTGAACAAAACTGGGAATATTTAGCCGATTACCCTTGGTTAAACCAAGCATTGCAATTACTTTATGGTTCTTTTGATTTTGATAAGAATATTACGCTCATTGAAGATGAAAATAAGCTTCCTCCTTTGACATGCTTCCCTTATGTACATAATGACAATATGGAAGTTGAATCCGAAAAAGAATCGTTAGAGAAATTATTTAAGAAGCATAATGAATTTTTAGATAAAATTTCCGATGTCAGGGCGGGTGCTATCCTTGAGCCGTTAATTGATATGTTTTACCAAAGTAGTGAAACAATTCATCGTACTTGGTCAAGTATTTTCCCAATCGCACTCAAGTCTATACCGCCTTCCGAACACTTAGACTTTACTCGTTTTATGGTTATCTTATTATCAAAAGATTACCATACCCGTCAAATTGATAGCAGACCTAATGTCGTTCAATCATTATTGGAAGGGGTTGCAAGAAGTGAGAAACTCCAATTGCCACCTTTCGCTGTCGAATGTCTTGCCTCGAACTTTGATGCTTGGTCTCAAGGTATTCATATACTTGAAAATATTGAACAGCAATCAATTAATGGTAATGCTGATGTGCGTGAAGTTACTCAGGATGCGCTTTCAAAGTTATATGCGACTTTGAAGGAAGATGATATGTTCTATGGTTTATGGAGAAGAAGAGCCAAATATTCAGAGACAATCAGCGCGTTATCGTTTGAACAGATTGGTCTTTGGGATAAAGCTCAGCAATTATATGAGACCGCTCAGATTAAAGCCCGTAGTGGTGCATTGCCATATGGTGAATCAGAATATTCTCTTTGGGAAGATCATTGGATACTATGCGCTGAAAAGTTGCAACACTGGGATATTCTTACTGAACTTGCAAAGCATGAAGGGTTTTCGGACCTTCTCCTTGAATGTGGTTGGAGAGTAGCTGATTGGAATACAGACAGGGAAACCCTTGATCAAACAGTGAAAAGTGTGATGGATGTTCCAACTCCTCGTCGTCAAGTATTCGAAACATTCCTCTGTTTGCAAGGTTTTGGACAGGAAAAGGAAACATTGCAAGATTTGTCTAGGTTGTGCGATGAAGGTATTCAATTGGCTTTAAGGAAATGGCATGGCTTACCTCAAAGGTTTAATAATGCCCATATTCCATTGTTGCACACATTTCAACAGTATGTTGAATTTATGGAGGCCAGTCAGGTTTATGCTAGTCTTGTTTCTACTAATGCACAAAATCTAGACGTCAAATCACAAGAGCTTAAGCGAGTTTTGCAAGTTTGGCGTGAAAGATTACCTAATACATGGGACGATATAAATATATGGAATGACCTTGTTACTTGGCGTCAACATGCTTTCCAGGTAATCAATAAAGTTTATATGCCATTCATTCCAATTTTGCAGCAATCCAATTCTGGAGGAAATGCAAATTCTTATGCTTATCGTGGATTCCACGAAATTGCGTGGGTAATCAATCGATTTGCACATGTTGCAAGGAAACATGGTATGTCTGACGTTTGTATTAATCAGCTTACTAAGATTTATCAATTACCAAATATTGAAATTCAAGAAGCATTTTTAAAGCTTAAAGAACAAGTAAAATGCCATTATCAAAATCCTAATGAATTGAATACTGGTTTAGATGTGATCAGTAATACCAACTTAGTATACTTTGCTACTCAACAAAAGGCGGAATTTTTCACATTAAAGGGTATGTTCTTGAATAAATTAAATCAAAAAGACGAAGCCAATAAAGCATTTGCAACTTCTGTTCAAATTGACCTTAACTTGCCTAAGGCATGGGCAGAATGGGGTATGTTTAACGATCGTCGTTTCAAGGAGAATCCGAATGATATGGTTTATGCAAATAATGCAATAAGTTGTTACTTGCAGGCTGCTGGTCTTTACAAGAATGGCAAAACCAGAAAGCTACTTGCACGTATTCTTTGGCTTATTAGTTTGGATGATTCGTCAGGCACTCTTGCACAGGCATTTGATAATTTCCGTGGTGAAGTTCCTGTTTGGTATTGGATAACTTTTATTCCTCAATTGCTCACATCATTGTCTCATAAAGAGGCGAGACTAGTTAGACAAATTCTCATTAGGATTGCAAAGAGTTATCCACAAGCGTTACATTTCCAACTTCGGACAACTAAAGAGGATTTTGCTGCCAAGCAACGTCAATTTATGGAGCTCTCTCGTCAGAACGCAAATGGTAATTCGAACGAAGCTAATAATTCGACTAAAGAAAGCTCAAAGGAAGAGAAGCAAACTGTCGAAGAAAACGAGTCGTCTGTTGCTCCAAACGACGAAAACAAAGCTTCTGCAGGTGATGGTTCTCCTACAACTTCAGGCGAACAACCTAAGAGCACCCCTTCTGTACCTCCTGGCTCAACTGGTGCTCGCCAATCATGGGAGCATGTAGAAGAGATAATGGGTATTTTAAAAACAGCATATCCACTATTAGCACTTTCATTAGAGTCTTTAGTTGATCAAATCAATCAAAGGTTCAAATGTACCGCAGATGAAGATGCGTACAGACTTGGTGTTGCATTACTTAATGATGGAGTCCAGTATCTTAACCGTCTCGGAAACCCAAGAGATGATGCTAAGTTGCCCCCAGTGACGGAAGCAAACATCACTAGATTCGCAGAAACTGTTCTACCAAAGCAGATTAGAGCAGAATTTGAAAAAGATCTCGTAATTGGAAAGCCTAATTTGGAAACATATATCATGAAATTACGTAAATGGCGTGATCGTTTGGAAGATAAACTTGATAGAAGATTTTCAGAAGTTAATCTCGAAAACCTTTGTCCTCATTTGAGTGAATTCCACCATCAAAAATTTGAAGATATCGAGGTTCCTGGCCAGTACTTGTTGAATAAGGATAATAACACTCACTTTGTCAAGATTGAAAGATTCCTTCCTACTATTGATTTAGCTCGTGGAACTAATGCCTGTCATAAGAGATTAAAGATACGTGGATATGACGGTAGTTTGCATACATTTGCGGTTCAATTTCCTGCTGCTCGTCATTGTCGTCGTGAGGAATGCATATTTCAATTATTCCGTCTCTTTGGCGATACCCTTTCAAGAAAAGTTGAGACACGTCGCAGGAATATATTATTTACTTTACCTGTTGCTGTTCCATTATCTCCTCATATTCGTATAATTAATGATGATTCTAGAGACATTACCATGCAAAAGATATATGAAGATTTCTGTTCTCGTAATGGAAAGAGCCGTGACGAGCCATTTGTTTACACAATTGAAAAATTACGTGCAGCTTTTGATCCTCGTTTACCAAAGCCTGATATTATGAGTATCAGAGTAGAAATATTGAGTGCAATTCAATCATTATTGGTTCCATCTACCGTTTTGAAGAATTATTTTGTTGATCTTTACCCTCAATTCGAGGACTTCTGGTTATTCCGTAAGCAATTTACATCCCAATATGCTTCGTTTATTTTCACTACTTATATGATGTGTGTTAACACTAGACAGCCTCAAAAGATACATGTCAACAAGGGTTCTGGTAATGTGTGGACTTCTGATATGTTACCTTGTAAAATTGCTAGTAAGAATGCATCATTAGATGGTTCTCAAGGTGGTAGACCTGCGCCATTATTTTATAATGCAGAAATGGTACCTTTCCGTTTAACGCCTAATATCCAAAAATTGATTGGCGAAACAGGATTAGAAGGTATATTATCTGTGTACTTATTGGCTATAGCTAGGGCCATTACTGAGCCTGAGTCAGATTTGGAACAATACTTAACGTTATTCGTTAGAGATGAAGTAATCTCTTGGTGTACTCAACAAGATCCTCCTCGCCCAATTCCTCAGGATAGTCAATTGCGAGAAATTGTCCGTGTTAATGTGGATCTTGTCATTAAACGTGTTTTATCAATGGGTCACATTTCCTCTGGTCCAACAATTAGCACCCAAAACGTCTTGGAGCTAATTTCCCAAGCAGTCAATCCTCGAAATTTGGCGGCTGCAGATACTTTATGGATGGCTTACTTCTGAAAGCGGATAATATGCTGTTTGTGGGGTTTCTGTATATTATATTTGTTTTATATCTTAAATTAAAGTATAGACTATTAATTTGTTTTTTTATTATTTATTTGAATAAAAAGTTATATGTATATTGAATAATGTAGGAGTTCATGGCATGTAAGATTTTATTTGTTCCCTTATTAGATTTCTAGGCAAATCATTGTCCATCGTTCTCACATGTTTGCCCAAAGTTCTCCTATTAATTTTGTTATTTAAATTCTTTAATGAATTTGAAGCCAATACGACATTGAGTAACGAAAAAAACAAACCCAAGGAGTTTATAGTTAGAGTTATACATGCCATTACCTGGATATAGGTCGTTACGTCTGTTTTGACGGTAGTGCCTACGGTACTGTCATAATCGTACAGGAACATTTTACCAACACTCAAGCACTTGATAGTTGAAACAAGCGAAAGTATGCAACCCACAAGTTGTAGAACTGCTGAAATTATAAGATATTTGTAAGATGCAATATTTGGGATCGTTAAAGATGCAAAGGGCAAAAGGCATGCACATATGCAAAACTAGGTCATAGTTAGAAATTCTGTTGATTTAAAATTTCAATAGCGAAACATACCATAAAGAGCGAATAAATACTAGATAAGACAGATATGGAAGGTCTATTTTCCACTGAATCAAATGGGGCTGACGAAAAGCATGCAATATACTGGAAAATTAACACTACCATATATGACTGTAGAAACGTTCGAATTATTTTAGGATTGTAAATGACATTAATATTCTCAATCATATTACCCTGACCTAAATAAATAGGATTATTTCCAACAGGAGCATCAAATAGGATACTATGTCCTTGTAAGTTGTTCATGATATGAATTATTCACTTGTACTATATACTAAAGATAATAAATCATCAGAATTTAGTACGATTTTTAATGCTGCAAAATATACACAAACATGATTGAGCACAAATTGCCAATCAGATAAAACATTTAAAAATAGCTCTTGGTATCTATTCTCAAATAGAAGGCTGGTTATTTCAGAGATGGTGTTGGAGGCTTGGTTGGAGTTTTCTTCAGAGTGACTAGCCTGTTATATAAATTTCTCTCGAACTTTGGGAAAACCTTTTGCGACAATTCAACTCCTTCACTTAACCAGATACCCCATGATCCCATCATATTAGCCATAAGCATATCAGTGAATAACCTATCTCCAATAACTACAATTTCACTAGCTTTAGTGATGCCTTGTTTCTTGAAGTAGCTTCGTATTTCATTGTGACACCCTGGTTTTTTGGTGGGATGTCTCAATACTGTGACTCCAGTATCTTTTTCTAACTTAGAAGCTTGTTCATAATTAGTATCATCATTAGTTCCTGCAGAATTACTTACTATAAGCAAATGCTCCGCAGGATATGTTTCTGTTAACCTTTTCCACGTTTCCTATATTTGTTAGAATGTCACGGACTTCAACTATGAAAAAAAGTTTTGAAATATTGTACTTACAGAATAAGCTGGCCAGACCTTATCGTCACGGTCTTTAGCAAAACAATTGTCCTTGTCTATAACAACACCTTTAATCTGCACACCATCATGTCCAGGAATTTCAAACGGAATTGGTAAATTATCAAACGATTTGACCGAAAGATGGGGCAAACAAAGTTTGGGATTCGAAAGCAACCTAGACACGTTCAAAGTGGCACTGACATTAAACATATTTGAATTTCTTGTTTTGTTACTGAGTTTGTTGATACTGAAGGTATTTATGTACTTATTTACCTAATAATTTTTCTAACGAATGTCAATTTTTTTTATTTAAGAAATAAATAATTTGAATTAAAGAATGTTTGAACCCTATGTTTTACAGATTCCTGAACCTATTTGATAGTTTTATCTTCTGATCTAGTTCTTATCTTGTGTAAATAGCTGTGAAATTGACGTTGAAAATTTCAAATTCCGGGTAAGTTAATCTCTTAGTGAGTGTGCTGCTGACAGGTGAAAATTGGTTAGTGGTTGACTATTTAGCCAGTATTTGTAGGTGAAACATTGTGGAACGAAACCTTTCAAATGGCAGAAGTTCCGAAGAAGTCTCGAGTAAATAGGGGTGATAGACCTCAACAAAGGAATCGAAAAGGATGGAAAAAAAATCCTAAAAATCCAGACGGAACAGAATCTAAAGAAGAAGAAGAAGAACTAGAAGAATACGAACAATGTATAATTTGTGCTAATAAGATACAATATGCATCCATACCACCATGTAATCATACTACATGTCATATGTGTACTTTCAGACAGAGGGCACTATACGGCAAAACATTGTGTTTGGTGTGTAGGTCAGATAACGAGAGAGTGATATTTTCGGAACAAATAGAGAAGGTATATACGGATTTTGGATCCTCGGACATAGTAAAGTCAGATTCGAAACATAATGTTGATTTTACTGCCGAATATGTTTATGATGATACGTTGGGATTATTGGACTATAAGTGCAACGTGGGCGGATGTTATGAGAAGTTCCTGGGATTCAAGGCTCTTTCTGAGCATGTCAAAACCGAGCACAACAAGTATTATTGTCTAATATGCTCGAAGAATAAGAAAGCATTTGTGTGTGAATTGAAACTATACACATATAAACAATTGCAGAGGCATCAATCCGAAGGAGATGAAGAGGGATTCAGCGGACATCCCGAATGTAAGCATTGTCGAGGATTAAGATTTTATTCAGAAGATGAGTTGAATATCCATATTAGAGATAAGCATGAAAGATGTCATATTTGTGACCAAGTAACGCCTAAAACGGCGGATTATTATAAAAACTATGAGGAGTTGTATACTCATTTCAGGATGGATCATTATGTATGCACGGTTCCAAGTTGTCTTGATAAAAAGTTTATCGTTTTCAGAGAGGACTTAGAGTTGACCTCGCATATGTTAAAGGAGCATGGTGGGCTTACCGGATCTAACGGAAAAGTTATTGTGGGAAGTAGTGGTAACCAATTCCAATCGGTTTTATCAACATTCAATGGATCGGTGAGTGCACCATCATCATCAGGACAATATAGAAGAAGAAACAAAAATAACAATGATTCAAATGAGGAAATTGATTCATATGATACCAAGAAAATGAGATTAGAAGAGAGAGCTAAACATTATTTGCATTATAATACTTCCAGTATAAATGAGTTTTTAAAAATTAATACTGCCTATAAATCGGGTAATATTACCGCTAATGATGTTTTAAAAGAATACCAAGTGTTGTTTGATAAAAGAGATAAATCAGAACTCAGTATGTTAATCTACGAATTGTCGGAAATTTTTCCAAAGAACTCTGAACAACACAAGAACTTGAAATCCATTTCAAATGAACTACAAATTGCCTCTGATGCAGAGCAATTCCCGGTTTTGGGTGGCTATGCTTCCCCAAGTTCTACTGCAAACATTCATTCATGGGGTGGTAACAGAAAGGTTGGTGCGGACAATTTTCCTACCCTTTCAAAACCAAAAAAGTCTACCTCACCTCAAGTGAAGGTAAATCAGCCAATTAGATATACTAAGGTTGTGAGAAAGGTAGGTAACAAAATCACCCCTGTCACAATCAACCTGGGAGCAGATCCAAGTTACAAACCCAATTATCTTAGTAATTTGAAAGATAAAAACTCATCTGCCTCGTCATTACCTTCATTAGGCCAATCGAGATCTAATCTGCCTAATCCAATTCTTGCAACTGGAAAAGCCCACTCTGCTAGCTCCCTGAGTTTGTCAGAATCAAAATTCCCAGCTTTGGAAAAGAAATCAACCAAGAAGGTCTTCCCAAGAGTGAAGCTGGTAAATGTCGATCCAACTCAATGGGGTTCTTCTTCTACTCCTCAAAGTCCTGAGTCCGACAATGTGTTTGAAGAACTAATCACTGATAAGAGAAAACAAAAGATGAAGAAAAAACAAGAAAAGCTTTTGTTTAAAACATAGATATAAATATTAAAACTTTATACATCTGTATAGAATACACTCATCCCCAGTATAGCATGGATTAATACGAATACATAGTACAAAGTACATTATTACCCATCGATTGCAAAATGGTTATATGTTTACAGTTTACGATTAACTGCAGGTTGGGTATTTAGATTAGAAATACTGAAGAGAAGCTTCTATACTACGGCCTGAAAAGAGTAAGATACAATAAATATGATTAACAGAAGCTTAAGAGTATTCGCAAGGAGATTAGGACCTCTTTCGAGATCTCCTATTACCAATAGAGTAATTCCTTCTAACAGGATGATTATTGCATCGCAAATTAAAAGCATGCGTTTTTCATCATCGGATCTGAAAAATGGCAATTCTAATACAGCATCGATCAAAGTTGATGATCCTCAACTTATGATTGCATTCACATGTAAAAAGTGTGATACTCGTTCGTCTCATACCTTTTCAAAGCAATCATACCAAAAAGGAACTGTGCTAATTCAATGTCCAGGTTGCAAAAACCGCCATTTGATAGCAGACAACTTGAAAATATTTAAGGACAACAAGTTCAGCTTGGAGGAAGTACTTAAAGCTAAAGGAGAGTCTGTGGCTACGGGGACCGAAGATTTAGCGTTTAATGATATTCCAGAGAGCTTGAGAGATACGATTGGCCACCATGCCAAAGATGCACCAGAAGAATACAAGAAGAAAATTTATGGAACAGAGGAAGAAAATAACGAAATACAAGGTATTTCTGATAAGAAATGAAAGATACTATGAGTTCATCTTTTGAATATGATATTTGATAAAGAGCCAAATTGTCATTTATTTTTTTGGTTTCTTGAAATTTGCCCATATATTTCTTGAAAAATTTAGACGTCTTATAAGATATGTTAAAATAGTAAATAAATAATACATAGGACTTACATATACTTTTCATTAAAACATAGTTAGTAGGATTCACTTATATATTGAAAATATTTTGGTGTAGCACTAATGGTTTTTTGATTTTTGGTGACAATGAGAAGCGGCCGAAAAGTGAATGATTTTGAAGGTTGAAAAAGATTTCGGATAGATTAATACAATGATAGTTAATAAAATAGCAAGTAGAATCTCTTTAGGTTCTAGGGCATTTGCTAAGAATAACAGGTTTATTAGATTTAATTCTTCGAATACAAAAGATATCGTTATTCAAAGATACCAAGACAAATTAAAGGAAAGGGCCAATGCTTTAGGATTGAAAGATGTCGACGAATTAAAGGATAAATTAAAGGATGATATTGAAAAGAAGAAGAAAGAATTTTCTGCCGTTGATCCATTGAAGGAGTTGGAAGAATATGAAAGAAGACAGGCATTAGAAATTCAGAAGAATAATGATAAAACCATTAAGGTGAGATCTCCAATTGACAAAAATACACCACAAGCACCATATAAAGTCTTAAATTCTTATGTGGATGTTGAAAAAGTAAAGGATTTACCCTTAAAGGAGTTAGAGTTTATTTGGAGAGCCAGGTTTCAAAATACAGAACGTTCAATGGTGGCACTTTTGAATAACTTGCAATTCGCTTCCATGTATGCCAATGCATTTAAAAATCCTAGTTTTATCTTACCATTACCTAAGGATGAAGATGGATACGAAATGCATTTTGTTCAGTGGTCCTTTGTTGGTCCTAAGACCACACATTGTATGTTGACAACTGTTGCTGAATACAAGCTTCACAAGGAATATGCCAAGCCTCATACTACTTTAATGTTCCATCAGGATTTGAGTGAAACCAAGGATGTTGTTCTCATGAATGGTCAAGTCGAAAAAGAGTCATCCTTAACCATGGATGAAGCCCAGTTATTAGTTTTGAACGTCCAACGTTTCTACGGTGGAATCACTAGTGCTAAAGGAAATGACAAAAAGTTAGCTTTGTTGAGAGATTTTACTAGTGGTAATGCTGATTTCAACATGGATGAATTGATCGCAGAAGCAGCTTCCATAGATTAGATTAGAAATTTGTACATACATTAATCTATACGATATTTACTTTTGCAATATTAGCTCCCCATGCTCATAATATCATCCAACAAAGATCTAGATTCATTATTTTGTTTGGATGATTTTGTTTCATTTGAAGCCTTTCCTTTAGGCTGACTTTTCTTTGTTCTCCCGCGTGTTGATCGAATCCCTCTTCGGGAAGTGGTATTGCTAGATCGTTTACTAGGTTTCAGAGTAGAGCGTTTAGTCTCGACGAAACTTTCATCGCTAGCTACCTCATCATCACTAGACTTAATTACATGGTCAACATAATTTTCACTGTCGTTATCGTCACTAACTATAACTTCATCGTTTGTACGGCGAGCAGTCGATTTTCGTTTGGGAACTTTTTTCTTAGTTTCAGATAAATCTATTCCAGGATCAGATTCACTATCGGAAATTATTATAGCCTCACTGACGTGTTTGTTACTTACATCTTCTTTCAACGTAAGATTTTCTTTATCTGGCCATGTATTCATTTCTGTTTGTGGCGTGTTTTCTCTCTTTATCTGCGCTAAAAGAGATTTGAAGACCTTCTTTGAGTCTTGTTCATCATTGTGAAAAGTTTCATCGTCAATATCCATATCTAAGAACATCTTTGTCTCTTGAGATATTTCATTTTTGATATACTGATTCATAATATTCTTATCTTCATTTTCCAAGAATTTTTTAACTGCATTATTAATTCCATCTTCAGGAATAAGATTTAATTCTGCTTGCTGAAGAAATTCATTCATAATATCCTGCAATCGAAGTTCTGTAGTCTTAGAATTTCCGTCCCCATTCTGAGTAATGCCCTTATCAGAAAACTTGCTTTTACTAACCAAGTTATTGTTTTCATATGACTTTTTCTTATAAAAATGAACAACATCATTGATATTTGCTATTTTTCCAACAAATTTGTTGGAGAATCTTCGAGGATTTTCAACTTCATAATCACCTGAGTACTCAACACGTAATCGAACCAATGGTAATGGGATTTTATTATCATTACGATCTAAATCGTTCGAAGAGAATAATTCTCTATTCGAATCAATAAAATTTTGCTTGGCCTTCTTGATTAATTCTTCGATTTTAAACGTCAAAAATTTTGAAATATCATCCTTCGAAGCAGGTCCAGTAACAAACTTTTCCTTCAGTAAAGATACTTCATCCATAATGAAGGGTCTGACAGTTTTGAGCTTTATAGTTTCTATGGAGTACTTTGACTTGTTTATGTTTAATATGAAAATATTTTTTTCAGCTGCTTCCGCTTCACATAGTGATGTTGCTACTGAAGACCCTGGTTGCAAAGTATCAAAGCCTGTATCAGGATTAAATACAGGTGTTGGAATGCATTCATGCTCATGACCCCAGACGACAAAGTTCAAAAAGTTAGGTAGGAACTGCTCGGGCAAATAGGACGTTCTTGTATGTGGAACATGATTCTGATGAACACAAAGTATATTAAACCATTCATCATTTTGACCATTTGGACGCAAAAATTTCACATTTCCATCTCTGAATAGTCTATGTAACCTTTCATCCCTCACATTAGCTAAACCATACAATGCTAATTTACTGGCACCCTTCTGAAATATCAAAGGCGAAACCGTAATTTCTTCGTTATTTGGAACCGTTCCAAAATGGTTTATCAATCCAGATGCAGATAGCAAATCAAGCGGCAGCAAGAATCCTTCACCTGTAGCATCGTCATGATTACCGCTGATTGCAAACACAGGAACTGAAATGTTTATATTAGGATCTTCATAATTTACAGTATCAACATCCTTTCCCAAGGCCATAGATGGGTCACCTAACAATTCCAATTCACAAGGTCGATCTCCTAAGCAATTAGTCCTCAAGGATCTTATGACATTGTACATAGATTTCTTAGAAGGCTTATTAATGTGAAATAAATCACCACCTTGTAATATCATGTCAACATCTTTTTCTTTAGCGATAGATGTTATCTCTTCAAATGTCTTCCATGAATCATCTCCTCGTATCGGATCGTTTTCATTATACCCCACATGATTATCTGTAGTTATCAATAATCTTATAGTATCAGGACCAGTGCTGATATTGTCAATTGCTGGCATTTAGAAGCAAAAAGAATCACTGAACAAGTTAATGTGATTGGGATGCTAGACTTATCGAAATAAATACGCAGTCATCTCAGATCGAAATTTTGATCCTAATCTATATATAATTTTACTTGTACAATCTAAGACATAGAGTTTAATTCCATTGGGAAATGAAAGAAGAGTCTATATCTCTGTCATTGGAACGTCGACAGCAGGATGAAGTAAATAGCATTGCATCCATTTACGGGGATATCTTTGAAGATATTACTCCATCAGGGTTGGTCTGGAATAAAAAGCCTAGCCCACATTTCAAGATTCTGTTACTGTCTTCAGAATGTGTTGACAGACCTACTATATCATTAATATTAGACATCGAGTTCACCAGCACATATCCATTATCTCCACCAAAGATTAAAATTTTAGAACCCAAGAACATTCTAAAAACTAGATTACAAGCCATAGAAAAAAGAATTAAAGATTTGATTAAGGAATATCCCGAGGAAGAAGTGTCATTTACCATTATATGTGACGTGAAGGATATGTTGGATGACTTTCAACAAACGACAGAAAAAGTGCTATCATTAGAGGAGGAGAGGGAGTTGCGACTAAAAAATGAAAGGCTTCAACTTGAGAAGCTCGAAGATATGAAGCAAAAAGAACAAGAGCAAGAGAAGAAGAAGCAAATTGAAGAATTAAGTGAACAAATACTAATGATACAGGGCGAATATAATGAAGATGAACAAAGAGCAACGGAGAGCGATGATGCAATTACCAAAGATATGTTGGATGAGAAAAACCTTATACCAACAGATACCAGTCTTCATTTTGTTTTTGAAAATCCAATTGTGGGCCAGTTTCCTGGAAGTAAATCGAAATTCAAATTCAGAGCAGTTCTGGGCTTTGTCAAGTATCGAAAAAGAGACTTACTATCTTCAATAAGTTCACAGTATATCGTCAAACCTTATATACCACCAGAGGTACAAGAAAGGATAGACAAAAAAAATATTGAATTGTCATATTTACTTACAGAGATAGATTTGAAAAATAAGTATTGGATGACCGACCTTGGGAAGAAAGAGATTCAGGACCTTGAGAGCGAGTTGCAGTTAATCATGAATTTAAACCATGATAATATTGTCAAACTATACGGGTTTCAAATAGACAGAAATATAAATGAAGACCAGGGATGGAAAGTGAGATTGTTAACTGAATTTTCATCGGCCTCAGATTCACTTCAAGACATTTTACCTACTGCAGAATTTATAAATTGGTCGTTAGCAAGAACATGGCTTATACAATTACTTCCAGGTATAGAATATTTGCATAATTTAGGGTTTGTGCATAAATTAATATGCCCTTTGACCGTATCAGTTTTTGAACTTGAAATAGACTATTATTACCAAAACTCCGCTAATGAACACTTTAATAGTTCAGCATACGATGACAATAGTAGTCGGTTTGGAGGTCTAGACTCCATGAAGATTCTCAAGTTATGTCATCCTTCGTATGGTTTTAGATTATTGAGCATGCTCGAATCACATCCGAATGAATTGAATAAATCTCAGAATATAGCTAACTTTTTGGATTCGCTTATTCCGGAAACGTGGATAGCACCAGAGCTAAAAAAGTCTTCTAAAAACCATCAACTGAAGACAGATATTTGGGACTTAGGTGTTCTCTTCTTAAGAGTGATGTTAAACTATTATATATTGATTACTACCTATCGGACACCTGGAGAATTCTATGAAAATTTCAATGCTGAGGATTATTTTGGAGCAGAGAATTATGCTCGTCTTGTATATGATTTATTGTCTAAAATGTTGCAACCAAAGATATCAAAAAGACCCAGCCCTTTGGAACTTAACGCGGTCAAATTCTTACGCGATGGTCCTATTATGACGAATATGAGATCTACTGCTTATACGCATCCATATAAAGATGTTGAGGAGGACCAGGAAAATAATGTAATGGGTGCTATAGAGGAGTTTCAGATTGATGCTAAACCACTCAAAAACAATCCTAAGGATGCACAAGTTTCTCAATACAATCATTTATCTATAATGGGAAATACAACCAGACGTTATTCAAATCAGAACCAACACCCGTATATTTTGAATGATAACACTATGAGCAGTAATCAAAGAGATATGGGAAGATATGAACGAGATTTCGAGGAAGTTGGAAAATTGGGAAAAGGTGGATTTGGAGAGGTTGTAAAGGCACGTAATCGTATTGAGGGCACTTTTTATGCGATAAAAAAGATAAAACATCGTGCTAATAAGCTAGATTCATTGCTAAGCGAAGTGCTTTCTTTAGCTAGACTTAATCATCAGTATATCGTAAGATACTATGGTACATGGGTAGAAGAGATTCAAGAAACTCCAAGTGTCTTTACCTCCGACGATGAAAGTGATACAGAAAGTGAAGATGATTTTGAAAGTCCGTTTAATACTAGGTCTTCATCTTTTTTGATGAATCATGACAATTCCTTTCAAGTAGATTTTATATCTAATTCATTTGACCCTAAGATAGAATTTGATGATTACTCGGATGAAGACAATGATGATGATTTTGATGATAGAATTGAATTTGCAAGATCCACAGGTAATTCGGACAAGTACGATGAACTGCTAGATACTGAAAGCGGGACTTCTGTAGCAGAATCTAGTACGCATCAAACTAGGGCCAATTTTACTAAACCAGATAATGAAAAAAATAGAGTTCATGGTCAACAAAAGTCAATATTGTATATTCAAATGGAATTTTGTGAAAACAATACATTACTTAACTTGATAGAACAAGGCTTACCTGGAAATCCAAATGAGTATTGGAGATTATTTAGACAACTATTGGAAGCTGTATCATACATTCATAGGGAAGGTTTTATACATAGAGACTTAAAACCTATGAATATTTTTATTGATAAATCGAATAATGTTAAAGTAGGGGATTTTGGTTTGGCAAAGAATTCACAGTTCTCTTCTGTTGTTCTGACTAATAACCAGGTGGAGTCCTCAAATAAGGACTTAAGTACCATTGTCGGTACTGTTTTTTATACTGCAAATGAGGTTGCAACAGGAGATTATGATGAAAAAGTTGATATGTATTCTCTTGGTATCATCTTTTTTGAGATGTGCTATCCATTGGCTACCGGTATGGAAAGAGCTAGAATATTAAATAACTTGAGATTAGTGACAGTCGATTTCCCACAAAATTTTACTGACAGTAAGTACCGGACAGAAAAGAAGATCATCAAGTTATTATTAGATCATAATCCAAAAAATAGACCTAGTGCTATTGAATTGTTGCAAAGTGGGTGGCTTCCAGTAGAGCATCAAGATCATATTATTAAAGAGGCACTTAAATCTTTAGCTGATCCTGCATCCCCCTGGCAGCAACAAGTAAGAGAAACATTATTCAATCAGCCTTACCTGTTGGCCAAGGATTTAATGTTCGACAACTATAGCAAAAGTTCTCATATTCATCATTTAGATCATTCTATTAGTGATTATTTACTTTTTAGTAAAATGATCGAAGAATTATTCAGGATATTTAAGAATCATGGTGCAATCGAAGATTTTAACTCAAATATACTACTTCCAAAATCACCTGCCCAGTCTCGCGAGTTAGTTTATGAGGTATTGGATAGAAGTGGATCTGTTTTAAGTTTACCTTTTGATTTAATTTTGCCTACAGCCAGATTTTTAAGTAGATGCAATGTGACGATACCCAAAATGTTCCGCCACGAATTCGTTTATAGACCTAATTTGCGTGGCGCTGGAGTTCCAGATAAATATAGTGCTGTTAATTTTGATATAACCACACATGATGCTACAAATAGAAAGGTTAATGACGCGGAATGTTTAAAAGTTGTTGATGAAATATTGCAATCCTTTCCTTGTTTTAAAGCCAAAAATTCTAGTAGTATAATTATGATTAACCATTCTGATATTATCACATCTGTTATAAATTTTTCATTCGGTAATATTGGTATTGAAGATAAGAGACGTCATGAGGTAATTGGAGTTTTATCTCAACTTGGGATTGACAAAAGTCCGGAAGAGATAAAGAGATACTTACGGGAAGACTTTAATGTGCCACATACCGTCACTAAGGATTTAATTGACGTGTTCAATTTTACTACCGAGCCTGAAAAGGCAAAGCAGAAATTGGAGAAAGCTATGCTTGATTCACCACTCTTTGTCAGAGTAGAAAGAGCATTGTCGTATATAAAAGAAGTTTTATCAATATTAAAGCAATTTGGGGTTAAATCACCTGTTTATTTAAATCCTTTAAGTAATTACAACAATAAGTATTATTCACATGGAATAATGTTTCAGGTTATTCACCAAGTTGATAAAAACCGAAGGTTTTCAAGAGTGATTACTGGGGGCAGGTATGATGGTTTGATATCATCATTAACAAATAAGGACGTAACAAAATCATCAACTCCATTTGTGGTTGGCTTTTCTCTTACGTCTACTTTTATGTTTTTATTAATGAAAAATATGGATCGAAGATCAAAAACATCGTCCAAGAATTCAGAGTTAAATAAGGTAAAATGGAAGAAAAGTAGATGTGATGTTTTGGTCACTAGCTTAAATGAAAGCTATATTCGACTTTCAGGGTATGAAATAGTAAAATCCTTGTGGGCCAATGATATTAGTTCTGACATCTTTACTTCAACATCATTAGAAGATATCGCACATAAAACAGACATGGACGGGGCAAATTGGGTCGTATTGATTAAACAACCTAATTCCATTCAAAAAAATAAACAAAAACGATCAGCTGGCAAGTTTAAGCCTTTGAGAATCAAAAATGTTAGCACTAATAAGGTATCAGATATAGAATACGAGGAATTAGTGCAGTTTCTCCAGAGTGAAATTGAGGAAAGAAATAATGATGATGAGTCCGATAGTAATCTGGGAAGTACTACCACAGATTCTACAAGAGAGGGCTTAAAAAGTGAGAATAATGAAGACTCAGACTCGGATAAATTACTGATTAGAAGCGGACCAATATTTACAGTAGATATTGATCAAAAAGTTGTGGTAGTACCCAATGCTGCTCCTAGAGGACGAAAAAATAATAAAAAGGAAAAGTGGGAAATAGAGAATGACTCAAAACTTGCATCAGCATCGTTAATAAAGAGTGTTGCAAACTCGCCTATCATTACCATCGATGCAAGAGACGAAGTTTTAGATATGATACTGATAACTTCACTTAACCAGCCCGAGGAATGGCTTAGAAAGGTTATTTTCTCGAACAATAATTTGCCTAAGAGCTTTGCAACTAATATATATAATACGTTGAAGAAAGAAGCTCTGAAAGGTACAAAGTGGGCTATTTTACATTCATCTAAGACAGATAAAACTTGTATTGTTGACCTACAAAAATAGTGACGGTAAATAGCCTTCTATTAGTATACTGTAAATGGAATTCAATATATGTCTATTCTATAATAATGTTGATGATTTCTAATATTTTTTGCCCGAAAAACTATATATTTTTCAAATAATCGAGCTTCCAATCCCAATATTCTTGTAATCTTGATTTTCCATATTTAGCGTAATTAAAGTCAATATCAGAAATTTCACTCTGAATCATGGCCCAGACACCCCAATAAAATCCTGGCATACCATAGAACCCAGCTATTTCGTTTATTAAACTACTTACTTCATCTTGTGAAGCATTTTCATTATTGAGATAGCCTTTAACCCATTTTACCATAGTTGGATTCGATAATGATGCTTTAGGGATAGCTTCTCTTTTGCAATCAAACCCCTGCCACTCACTCAAGTGATTTGCGATATCAAATGCTCTAGGTGCTGGCAACATATATTCATAATCAATGAATTTTACAGGATTCTTATCAAGTAGGGGTAATTTGAATGAGTTATTATCCGCTGCTAAATCACTTTGGATAATAACATTTCCCGAAAGAAGATCACAATGTGATGTGACAATAGGGGATTTCGTGGATACAGTAACTGATTTTAACCATGTGAATTCTTGTTGTATAATTTCTCTCATGTTTTCCTCTGTGACTTGATTATCAGAATTTTCATTGAAAGAAGCAATTAAATCTGGAGTTATAGGCACAATGTTGATCCAATCTTCGATTAATTCCCACACATTAGATATAAAACGCTTTTTAGATTTTTTAATCTTCTTTTTAACAGACTCATAATTATTTCCATGCTCTTTTGATTTCCTTTTCATTTCTACACTAAAATTTCGTAATCTTTCTACCCCATTTTGAATAGCGTTGCTATCCACTTTACTATGCCAATTACCCAACTGTTGGGCAATCGAAGGATATAACCCTTCAGATTGTAGTTCTTCAGTTTCTAAAGATCGTCCAGGTAAGAAGCCATAAACTAGGCCATTTCTGAATCTTGCATGAACTGCTGGGGCCAAGTCTAAAGAATTCAATACCAAATGCAGCACAAACTCTCTATGTCTATCTATTATAAGGTTTGTACCATTTCCATATACTCTCATAAGAACTGTATCATCTGTTCCTGAATATGTGCATGATAAAAGCATGTTCGTTATACCACCAGTGACTCTCTTGATTTGAATCTTGGTTACGTCCACCCATGTATGAGGAAATATCTTCGAAAGAAGGCCCTTAACCTCACAATACTCATTGTCTTCACTTCTCTCCAAGTCAATATAATACTCAGGTAAGTACATGGCGTGTGTGGAGTGATTATTTATGCCACTTGTATCATTTGAATTCTTTATTGGGGGTGGACTTGGTGATGTGCCAGGCGATGAATCTACCTGTAAAGATGGCGTATTGGAGCCTTCATGATGTGAATCTGAATCCAAATCTGAGAAAGATGCATTATTGAGTTTGTATAATAGATTTTTATTTCTTATCTTCATTTTAATTTCTCGAGGAACGGCATTAGCTTCGCCATTTTTATGGTTGATCTGGTCGTTTTCTGGCTCATCGATGAAGCGTAAATTTTCTTCACTTGTATTTATAGGAACAAAATTCACTTCTCCACCGGATACAAAGCAATATACAGACGGCTTCATATCTAATTAGTCAACTGAAACATTTACTGTAAGTACTTTTTGATACTTTGGAATCTTTTTTTTATCAACACCGAATTTTCACATGCTCGCAAAACAGAATACTGATACGCTAACAGTCATGTGAGGCTAGGCTAAAATGTATTGAATGATATACAATAATTACTCTAAACACTAAGAGATTCATCCTGGTTGATTATATTATAGTGTGTATCTGGATTGTCATTTTCTTCATCTTCAGAAATAATAATATATGGTTCATATGATTTTGGATGGGTGATACGCGGAAATAATCTGCGATAAGCCCAACAAGCAACACCAAAACCAAGAGCACTTCCTATGATAACATCGACAAAATGATGTCTGTAGTCTTCTGTACGACTTAAAGCAATGTATGTACATTGCAATGTAGGAATCCAGGCAACGATGGATCTCCAATAGCCCAGGTTTTCGTTCATGATTACCAATTGACCACTTAACCACAATGACAAGTACACGAGACCAGAAAAACTGATACTGGAATGGCCAGAAGGAGTGGTACGAAACCCATCCTTCAATAATTCGAGATTCTCGGTGGTGCAGACATCCTTAGCAAACACCATTACATTGAGAGGTGCGTCGCTCTTGGGAACGCAACGAGCAAGGAAATCAGGACGGTGCCTGCCGATGGCATTCTTAAGAACGTCAGTAATAACGCTAGTAGTAAAACAAGATATACAAAGTCCAAGAATCGATACGTATGTGACGTAGATCTTATTTTCGGGCTTCGTCATGATTAGTCCTATCACCCCGATAATGATTATTGGCTCCCACACCGAATAGAAGAACAATGCCCCATTTGTTACTCGTTCGGATTCTGCAAACGGATGAGATATCGTAAGATCGTTAATGTAAAACTGTCTCTCAAATGGCTCTATCTTATACGTGATAATATATAAAACACACAACACTCCCAATAGCACCAAGTCCGCAAACCTCCACCGGACAAAGCGGGCCGACAAGGCATTTCTCTTCAATCCGAATGTAACCCGATTGAAGTTATCATCCGTATGGAAGTAGTTCAACACGTTATATACCTTTTTTCTGACGTCATCCATGTCTAATATTGGTTATATCGATATATACTGTTACTAAGGTTTGGGACATAATTAAGGGAAAGCTAAGTATATTTTGGATCACGTGACATACACGCTAATTATGTCTCTAAATGTTTTACTGCTAGTACTTTTCTATGAAGTGGTTATAGCTCGTGGTGAAACACTCTAGATAGAGCCCCCAGAACTGCCATTGCACAAATATCTACAATCTACAAATAGAGGTCACGGGGTAATCATATTGCCAGAACATAAAATTCAGGCAAATAGAATCTTTCGATCTCATAGTTAAGAACGCCGAATGTTCTCGGAAAACTATTTATCCGGAAAGATGATAAGCTTATACCCAAAGTAAAAAGGGTATCTAATAGAAATAAATATTTATCCTGGACTGTGAAATGTATGTCCCGGTGTTAAGTTAAATAGGTAGGATAGCCCTGTTAAAAATCATCTAAAATATTATTTGAGCTATAATAATTTTGCAATATGAGTGATTATATTGGAAACCAACAGATACCCACACCTGGCACGAGCAAACCATCGACTCCAACTGAGATAAAAGCAAGCTTAAGTTTGGAACAACTTGATACACAGATAATTAGTGCAATTGTCCAGGATGAATTATCTATCGATGGAGCAAACAATTTACAAGCATTAAAGAGGTCTGTTCCATATAAAACATCTATGGCTACTATAACGTTCAATGGAACAATTTGGGAAAAGGTTGATGCCGTTGCAAGTGCAGGTTTTGATGGAATTGAAATCATGACGCCAGATTTGGATGAGATTACTCCTCAAGAGTTATATCAATACTGTCAATCTAAAAAACTTGAAATCACCGTATTACAACCATTCAGGGATTTAGAAGGGTATGATGATGAAAGTAAATTCCAAAAAAAACTTGAAGAATTGGAGCGCACATTCAAGGTGATGAAGGAACTCCATACGGACCTCTTGATGTGCTGTGCTAATTGTTTACCTGAATCTGAAATTTCGCTGGATGAATCTACAATCATTCAACAATTGACAGCAGCAGCAGACTTAGCTGCGAAATATAACATCCGTATTGCATACGAGAACTTGAGTTGGGCGACTCACATTTTCACATTGGATAAGTTGTGTCACATCGTGAGAAAGGTTAACAGACCAAACTTTGGGTTGTGCTTGGATACCTTCCACATCAACATTCACAACTCATCACTTGACCTTATTGATAACATGGGTGATAAAATCTTCTTTGTTCAATACTGTGATGCCCCAATTCTCAAATTAAACACCATAATAGAATATGCTAGAAACTATAGAGTTTTCCCAGGTCAAGGTGAGTATTCTAACATAGTGGGGATGCTTGCAAAGATTTACAACAATGGATACAGAGGATACTTATCTTTAGAAGTTTTCAATGCCTCATTCAGAGAACACACGGGGCGTTGTAAGCTTGTTGCAGACGATGCTTTAAGAGGATTACTATACTTACAAACGGTCTTCTGCAACCAATACTTAGGTAAACAGATACTTGCAAGTTTTAAAATCGAGTATGCCTCCATGAGCACCTCCATCACATCTGAATGTACTGGCCGTCCTTTCTCCTGGTCTGATTTAACTTTTCACATGGATCAGTCCTCCCAAGCACTCTTCAAACACAATTGCGAAACCCTAGGCTACTCGAACTACTACAACACCCAACCATCATCTTCCGACATCTCTGCTTCTATGTTGTCCCCATTACAATCATCATCTATTTCCAGAATCATATTAAAAGTCAATAATAGACTAGAATACAATAGACAATGCCTATTCATAAGGTCAGTATTTGGAATGTCCCATATACATAACGATCCGTACAATGCTGCTACCGATTTTGGTCTCCCCATCGTGTCTACTTTTGGCTACACTTCTGGCGGGTTAATCATTACATTGAGCCTCAACCAAGAATGATTGCATTGTACTATGGGAAAAACTATATACTTAGATAGAACTCCTTTTAACCCCCACGTATCCCCCAATACTACATAAATTTTAATAATAAATATTCCATAATAAATCTACGAATAGGAAGTTGCTCATCGTAAAACTAATAACCCACTACGGAATCCCCCATCTCATTTGACCGGCTTAACTTTTCTACGTTCTTTGCAGAATGCTTTTCCTAATGCACCCGAATGCCTCTGGATAAACCATTAACCAAAAACGAGGAGGAGAAATGGGCTCACACGACACTCCATAATGCTCTATCAACGGCTAAGATCTATTCAATATAAGGAGTGATCAGTACTTCTAATAGCATTAAAAATGGCAGATTCCAGTCAATTGGACCTCAAAGAAGTATATGAATTCGCCATTGATGTGGCAGAAAGAGCTGGTAAGATGTTGGTGGAAGCATCAAAAAATAGAACTGCAGATGAAAATATAAGATTGAAGAAGAATACCGTAGACATAGTCACAGAGACCGATGAAAGGGTAGAGAAGTTTATCAAACGTGAAATTAATGCTAAGTATCCACATCATAAGTTCATTGGAGAAGAAACATATTCCGCGGGGCAAACAAAGAAATATCTTGTCGATGATGATCCAACATGGATTGTAGATCCTTTAGATGGAACAGTGAATTACGTTCACTTATTTCCTATGATGTGTGTATCGATTGGTTTTGCTGTTGAAGGAAAAGCGGTTGTAGGTGTTGTGCATGCTCCATTTTTGAACCAGACGTATTCTGCATACCCAGGAGGTGGTGCATGGCTTAACAAGGAGGTTAAACTCCCATTACAGAATCTTCCATTGCCTGAAAATGCGCCAAAGGGATGTATATTCCTGTGTGAATGGGGAAAAGATAGAAGATATGCTCCAGGACTGAACCTTCAACGTAAGGTTGATTCGTTCATCAATATGGCTACTGATTATTGTCATGGAGTCAGAAGTTTGGGAAGCGCTAGTTTAGATTTGTGCTTTGTTGCAACTGGAGCATTCGACATTTGGTGGGAAGGTGGATGCTGGGAATGGGACGTGGCCGGCGCAGTGGCCATCTTAAATGAAGCAAAAGGTTTAATTACTACTGGAAATCCACCCGAAAACCCTGATGTAATTCCTGAGGTTGCATTGGGTTCAAGATTATACTTGGCTATAAGACCATGTCAAGGCACTGATGCTGAAACTCCTAGAGAAAGTCAGGAAAGAGTTGTTCGTCAAATATGGAAAAGAGTAAATACTTTGGACTATGTTCGTCCATAATAATATTTTAATCATGCATACGTAGATGTCATATATAATATATAACATATATACCAATTAATTCATCACTGATAGTATCAATTGCATTATTGTATGGGTTTATTGATTGTAGAACATTTTCAATTTTGTCTGATTGATCGAGAATAATTCAGAGCGAAATCAGGGCGAATTCAAATACGTATCCCCTTATTTTGATATTATATTTGATATAAGCATACTGAAGTATAATACTCATATATATAGCATGAGTGGCAGTGTGTTCAGTTCAGGAGACCCATGGGAGAATGGATGGGCATCTAATGACAATGATAATATAAGGTCACCTACTATTCCAGGTTTTGATTCAGGAAGTACATATTTAACGTCATCACAATTGCTCAGTCATGAACATAAAGGAGATTCAGATATTTCAGGAGAATTCCCAGCATCTTATGGCAAAGTGTATTCTGAATTATCCGAAGAGATATCTACAGTGACTGATTTGGAAAGATTAGTGGTTAATAAATTAGTGGATGCTGGCTATTTAACAAACTATCAAAGTTCAAAAATATTAAATACATTATATGATCATGCCATCTTACCACCATCTGAAAAAGCCAATTTTGAAAGAACTTTAGGGCTCATTGCATTGGAATTGGATGCAGCTGGAACTGGCGAATACGTAACCTTACAAATGAGACTCAATAATTTGCCTGAATTATCTGACAAAGTAGTTCATTTACTTATAAATAAAGGCGACAATATAGGGACTAAAGATATTACAGATCCATTGGGTGCTCAATTAGCAAACACCGGATTAACCGAAAATGATGGGAATGAATGGCATACGGCTGCATCAGAGCAAAAAGCAGGCGGCCAAGCAAGTATTTTATCGGATCCTATACTCACCGATCATACTGCTGTACAGAAAAGTCATCTAGAAGGTGGAGACCAACAACCTATTGACCATTCGCATATTACCAAATATATCAACGATATAAGAGATACCTTTACGCCATTAGTTGATACCAAGGAAACCATCAAAATAAAGGAAGTACCTGAAAAGGAAGGATTGGTTTTTAAGCACATAAATTACATTATATCCCATGATCTAAACTTGGGTATGCATGGGCCAGCAGGAATGAAGAAAGTTATCAGAAGATATTCTGACTTCGTATGGTATGTAATTGAGTTTGATTTTTGTCAGCACATTGTACTAACTTAATTAGGTTATTGGAATACTTATTGAAAAAGTACCCATTTAGGGTCATTCCTGGATTACCCCCTAAGAAATTTTCTGGTATGTAATTTTAATTTCTTATTTGTTTTCAAGACTTCATTTACTAATCATTTACAATTAGTAGGATCTTCCCCGGATTCTCAATTTCTACAAAGACGCCGTCGGGGTCTTTACAGGTTTTTAAATCAGATTGTTAAGCATCCCATTTTGAGACAAGATGCTTTAGTGGTTACGTTTTTGAGTGTTCCCACTGATTTAAATACATGGAAAAAGCAAGCCAAAATTGACTATTCTTTGGAATTTAAAGGTCGTAAGATCCTGACTGAGTTTATTAATTCTATTTGGCCAACCATTGGTGAAGAATTTCTTAATAATTGGAAAAATGCCGAGAATAATGTTACAAAACTAATCGAATTGTGGACCAAAATTGTCATGTTGGTCGAAAGATATGAGAAAAGGCAACAACAGGTTGCATATGATAACGGAAAATTCGTTGAAATGATTAAGGGATTTCTGCTTTTAAATGGATCTCTTTATCCTCATTCGGAAGAGGATAGCAGTATAATTGGTAACAATAATAAAGATGATATGAATTCTATTAATGACTCTTTGGATCGTGTGTCAGGGTTTTTTAATAAGTCGAGTCAAGTACTTATCGATGAAAGCTACGCCATCAATACATCAGTGCTAGAAAAGTTCAAAAATTACCTTGATTATTTATATTCATTACAAGAATTATTTGAAAGATCCAGGAAATTACTGGCTAATAATATTACGCAATTGCAAATCAGAATCCATGATAATGAGCAAAAATACAATAAATTAAGTAGCGATGACGCTGACATTAAAGGAAGCGAGCTAGCTAAATTAAGACAGGTCATAATTAATGACAAGCAAGAAATATTTCAGCAACTAAACAAAGACTGGCTAATCAAGGATTGTGTCTTGGAAGAATACTTGATGTTTCAAGAGACGCAATATTTGATTAGTGAAATGTGGGTCGAATGGTGCAAAGGTAGATACAAATTCCAAGATAAAATATTTGAATTGCATGATAACTTAAATAATGAAGTTGTCAATGATATGCCTCTATCGAGGTAACATTGTATATTACGTAAATTATCTTTCTCATAGTATCCCCATAATATATCATTTATATGAAATGTATGTTTGGACAGTTTTACTTCGTCTACAAATTCTGCACAACATTTTGCCACTTGGCAATCAATTCATGCTCAGAGTTGCTCTTCAACTCCAACTCTTCGTCGAAGTATTTCTTGTGCAACACCTGCGAAATATTAAGTTCGGCTTTAGCCTTTTCGAATAGTTCTTCATCATTAGAAGAAATCAATGATCCCAATATGTTCCCCACGATAATACCTAATTCCGCACCTTTTGGAAACAGGTCGTCAAATCCATCTTGAAGGCTTGATTCTTTGGCGTTAGTGATACCATCTAAGTATCCCTGTTTTGAATGCATTCTTTTGATATCTGCAGTCGTATTATCTAGCTCTTCTATGTCATCATCACCCCATACATCATCAATGTCATTGGTTTGATTTTCGGCTGTTTCTCTTTTATCAGAATTTTCCATGTCTACCTTACCAGCACAAGAACAGTCCCCATTGCATTTAGAAGACATATCTAACTAATTTGGACTGTTATATTGCAACTTTGGAAGTCTTACTATACACTTTAATCAAATGTCGCATGTCGTTCAAAATAAATTTTTCAATACACAAACGTTTGGTTAGTCACTTCGGTTAGCAAACATATATAATATTTATCAGTATAATTTAAGTACGATAAACCATCATTAAATAATAATAAACTAGTATAAGGTGCTGGTAACCTGAAAAACAACACTTCCTTTTGAATTATTAGAATTCTTATTTTTAAACGATCCTTCAATCAATACAAGCATTGCCAAAAGGAAATACAATGACCGAAAATATAATCACTCAGGTATCCCAAGACTCGTACCCACCTGTTCCGCAACAAGCATATGAGGAAGGGGATAACATAGACTACGACTCTACTATACATTTGAATATTAGAGGTACAAAATTCACAATAACCAGAGATGAATTAATGAGCTTACCGGAGAGCATATTATTATGTTTATTCCCCAATGGTGTATTTTTGGATGAATATGGCCAAGTAATTACAAATTTGACAGAGGAAGATATCGTGTATGTTAATTTTGAGCCTGATTGCTTTCAATATATTATTGACACTTTTGGCCAGGCTCAGCGTGATTTACAGGAAATGCCCCCTGTATCGCCTCAAGTTAGTGGTTTCGGACGCTTTTCACAGCAGGATACAGGAGCCAATGTGCTACAAAGTAAGCCTGCAATTATAGTCTTGAGAGAAGATCTTGACTACTATGTTATTCCCCCAATTGCAGGTCTTAACGCAGAGCAAATAAGACACATCAAATTACAAGTATCGGCAATTTTGACAAAAAATAAGATGATATTTAGTGGTTTAGGCTACGACCCATCGCTTTCTCCTTCTATAGAGCAAAACTTGGGTCCTGCTGAACAGCATTTGTTCGACATGTTATGTTCTAGTGGATTCGAGCCAACCGGAAAATGGGGCAGTAGGTCGCCAGAACCTAGTAAATGTGTTATTCTGTCTTTGCTGTTGGTTCGTTTGAGACCAGATGAGCCCGAAGTCCCCGAGTCACCATCATTGGATCCAATACCATCTGAAGCTTCTCTTGCTTCAAGAAAGTCAAGGTCTCGTATCGCAAACTTAGCTTCCAGCGCATCGCGGGCTGCTTCCAGATCATTATCCAGGACCAGAAAGAATACAAACTCGAATCAAACTAAACTTTTATTGTTTTGGAGAAAGCCAGCTAGAAAATGCTGGTGGTCGAATGAAACTATAGATGTTGATGTAACAAACATTTTGCCTAACCAAAAGGTTATGACAGTTAAAGCACACATTAGAAGAGTCTGGACTTTGGAATTATCGGTTATTGGTGTTCAATAATCTGCTTCCCATCTTTTTAATCTACTAATATATATTTATATACCGTATATCATCATTCCAGCTCTGCATTAATCGCTATCTCTAATATTAATAATACATAATTCGATAAATTCATTCTTTTAATATGTATTATTTTTACGTGTATAATTTATACGCGTTAAAAGTAATTTTAAAAACTCAGGTTGTTTAGCATACTAATAGACACATTAATATACAATTTAATCAATTAGACAGTAAGAATGACTTCTATGTTGATGGGTAAGGCCCAGAGAACTGAAATGTATGAGCAAGAAAGGTTGCACCATACTCCTTGGGTTGAAAAGTACCGTCCAAAAAATTTAGATGATGTTGCATCGCAAGACCATGCTGTTAAGATTTTGAAGAAGACACTTCAATCGGCCAATTTGCCACATATGTTGTTCTATGGTCCACCAGGTACAGGTAAGACATCTACAATATTAGCTCTTTCCAAGCAATTGTATGGGCCTCATTTGTATAAATCGAGAGTGCTAGAATTGAATGCATCTGACGAGAGAGGTATTTCAATTGTAAGACAAAAAATAAAGAATTTTGCTAGATTAACAATATCCAATCCTTCCAAAGAAGATTTGGAAAACTACCCATGTCCACCGTACAAAATTATTATCCTTGATGAAGCAGATTCAATGACGAATGATGCACAATCAGCATTAAGAAGAACTATGGAGAATTATTCTGGTGTGACCAGATTCTGTCTTATTTGTAACTATATCACACGTATAATTGATCCTCTTGCATCCAGGTGCTCTAAATTCAGATTCAGATTGTTAAATAATAACAATGCTTTGAACCGTTTAAAATATATAGTGGATCAAGAAGATATTACTTTGGATAACGAAGATGTCCTCGAAGAAGTGTTGAAAATTTCTAATGGTGACTTAAGAAAAGCCATTACATACTTGCAATCTGCAGCTAGACTACATGCCTCGTTTAATAATAGAGTTGATGAAAATGGTGACGTCGAAATGGTTGATGCTGAAGCGAAAAGTAAAATTACTAAAGATTCTATACAAGAAATCGCAGGCGTATTACCAGAAGCTTCGTTAGACCAAGTTCTAAGTGCCATTAAGTCCTTGGATACAAAGGCCATATTACAAAAAGTCGAGGAGATAGTCTTACAAGGTTGGAGCGCCCAGCAGATCGTAGATCAGTTGCATGACAAATTCATATTGGACGATTCGATGAATTCATCAACTAAAAATAAAATTGCAAAGATATTATTCGAAACTGACAGAAAATTAAATAATGGTACCGATGAACATATTCAATTATTGAACTTATGCTTACAAATAAAAAAAGTTTTATAATTACACTTATTTTATATAGTAGATACTAAATATCGATATTTACGCGTACTGTAGAATAAAAAGTGCAACATTTTGGTTTCACCTACCTGCGTGGCGAAGGCTGATTTCTTTGGTCAAACCCACCAGACTGTTGTAAAGGTGGCATACCCATTCCTGGTGGTGGTGGTGGCATTCCTGGTGGGAACCCCATGTAATGGGGATTTCCAGGAGGTGGTGGCATTGGACCATTACGCCCATTGGAAAATTGGGACGGCATCGGCATTCCCGGTGGAGGCATAAACCCCGGTGGGAACATTTTAGGAGGAGGTACCATATTTGGAGGGTACTGAAGATGAGGGGGTGGTGGAGCGTTAGAGCCATTAGCACCAGTTGCTGGTGCCCCACGTGAATCGTTAGGTCCATTAACACCAGGAGGACCGTTTGGTCCCCCATGAAACTGTCTCATCCATGGAGGCATTTGCTGTGGGGGCATCTGTTGAGGAGGTACCTGCTGTCGATTCATTTGTTGACCTGGAGGTAAGTTCATGTTTTGTTGTTTTGGACCAGGAATTTGTTGTGGTTGCATCTGAGGTTGAACATTTGAAGTTAATGGAGATTGCTTAATATCAGGCGAAGAAATTTTAGCTTTTTGCTGTCCTTGGATAGTGCTTGCAAATAAATTTGGACTTGATGTGTTACTTCCATTGGGTCCTTCTTTTTTATTTAATAAAGACATAAAGAAACTGTCATTGCTAATCGGTTGTCCTGGTATTTGGTTCTTGGACTCTTGTAAAATTTCCTTCTGTGGAGATATTTGAGGTGGCAAAGAATGTGGTAAAGACTGAGGTGAAGCTTGATTACTTTCATTTGGATTATTCATCATAGATAAAAACCTTGAATAACCTTGGTCACCCTTACCAGGTAATATGTGCGATTGAGAAAGACCCCTACCTTGAGTGTGATGCTGAACTGGCAAATTGTGCGATTGACCTTGATCTGGCCTGCTTAATGGAGGGTGATTCTCTGTCGATGGAGCATTAAAAAACGAAGAAAATCTCGAGCTCTTAGCAGAAGGCTCTGAATTTGCAACAGTAGGTGTAGATACTCCCGAGCTTGGGGCTTTTAAAGATGAAGCAGTAGAATCAACTGATTGAGTTTTTGGCTTGACAAAAGAAAAAAAGTAATCTACTTCATTACCGCTCTTCTCTGCGTTTAAATCAGCACTCTCCTCCACTATTTCACCATTTCTACGCCTCTCCTCGGACCTCATGTTACTTTTCCATTTCTCAAAGTCTTCGACTGTCTGACCCATATTAAGATTTAATTCATCGTTCAAGTCAGCACTTTCCCATTCTGGTTCAATTTCTTCCGTAGGTTCTCCTAATAATTGAGAAATTTTGTCTTCGGATAATGAATCCAAATCAGCAGTTTTTAGGAATCCTGGTTTACGTTCCCAGTTAGAAGCAGAATCTTGACGTTTTTTATTGGAAGTATTTTTATTTTTATTATTACCATGTTTTGAGTTGTGGCCATAATCTTTGGCTCCATTAGAAGTATTTTGTGACTTAGACTTAGCTCTCCAGAAGGTTTTGTCTGGTAATTCGTTTGTTTCTCTATAATCTTTTACGAATGGCAGGTTTCTTAACTCAAATAGAATCTCAATTGAATATACACGCTCAAAGCTTTTCTTTGATAATTTTGATATGGTAGGTAACGGGGTTTTTGGACTATTGCTGCTTGATCTTGGTTCAAATTCTGGTGTCGACTCTTCAGCAGCTTTTGCAATGGCTGAGTCTAATAGTTTGGATAATGCACTTCCAGGTTCAACTGATCCACTAGATGTTGCTTGGTTCGATGCAGGTGACGATTTATCGTTGTTTGATCCATCTTCTTTGAGAACTTGTATTATCGATGGGTCGCTCAATAATGGATTCGAAGCTGTTTGGTCGGATGACATATTACAAAATATATTATGCACTTATATTGGGACAATTGTAATTCTTGAGTTGATTACTTCGATATGAATAAAAGATTCAAATATGATTTATAGTCGATTTAACTGTAATGCAATTTCTTATTGCTTTATATGATAACTTATAAAATTGTTTGCCCTCTATTCTCCTTTCAAGATGTAGCTAATATTAAGATAAATAATTTAAACAAGTTATGAACCTTTAAGCAGGTTAATGAATCTTTTCTGTACAATTGAGTAATAAACTGTTAATTTATCGTCAAAAACTCTGATGAATAGTACTATCAAACCGGCTAATTATTGGAATTATCTAAGGATCGTAAGTTGACCGATCAAAAATTTTAGTGTGCGGGTAAATACCATAATGCTCTACAAACTACCATACAAATGTAAAACCTACTACATAAAATTAGGATAAAAAGATAAGATAGAAAGAATGTGTATTAGCTACTTCACTAAATAAGGTAGATTTAAGTTCATTATTTCACGACACATAACAAACCAATCTATTTCACGTAGCGTATCTTGAGTGTTTTCGACATTAGTATCAGATTCATTATTCTGTAGCATTTTTCTCTTCTCTTCCTCTTCCCATTTGAATAACTCATACATAAACCGTAAGTTTGGTTGAACTATGATATTCAATCGGCGAACTCTCACATAAAGGTATGCTTTTGGCAAAGAAATATTTAATCTCTTCATCACTTCTGCAATGACCACAGTGGCTGATCTGGAAACACCAACACGACAATGGACCAAGATTTTAGTTTTTCCATTTGACTTTTTGTATTCATTATCAATATACCTGAGAATACTTGGTAAAGAAGCTGATAGTTCATCGATGCCGTCATCTTGTAAGTTATTAACCTTCAATACGGTATCAACGCAGCAACCGTTGGACTGAGAATTCGATGGTGTGATGTTATACTTCTCAATATTTCCACCATCCAATTCATCTATAGAGACATTATTATTCTTTTGAAACCTATATCCATTAAGCCAGTACAACGGTTCGCCAACAGATATGACTTTCTTAATTCCCAACTTCGAAAGTAAGGGTAAGCTGTTTGCGTGCTTTAAAGATCCCAAATATAAATATGGTAAGATTCGTGAAGGTATTGAACCTTCAACATCCTTCACCCAGTCCGTAGGGGAGCAGAACTCATCATCCCAATCTGAATCATCATCGCCCTCATCTGAAGTAGAATCCGAGTCTGAATCATTCACGATATAACCTAATCTTAGGTTACTGGCAATCGGTTGGTTAGGTCTAGATCTTTGAGGTAAAAATAATTCATTAAGTTCTTGATTCGTTATAGTTTCTAACTCCCGCCAATTTATGGAACTTCCTAATGAATGAGGGGAGAATTTGTTTAAAATAGTTTGTAATTTCTTCAATATTGTTACATCCGTGTTAAAAATATAAAACGGCCTGCCGTAATCTAAGTGCAAATCGAGTATTGCCTGGTCTAGCTCAATATTTTTGGAATACATTAAATAGCACAAGACCAATAATGACAGCTCTGTATATCCATCAGAGCAATAAATTAATGAGCTCAAAACATCTGTATCATATGAGGTTGATGATGAGTATAAGTAAAGTAATTTGCAAGTATTCACAATCGACATCAACGCATCTTTGCGACAATCCCCTAGTCCTATTGACCCTGAAGGTGGGAACTCTAAGGTATGAAACTCTTGATCTATTGAGTGATGAGTAGAAATAGTATATTTAAATAGCAACGAGGAAAGTGTTGGTAGGTCTGGAAACGAAGCATCATTATGACAGTGGATAAATAAGCGCCAATTAGCCTTTGGTTTTGGCAAATAAGAAAAAATGTCATTGGATTTAGTTGTGTCTTTTGTGATTATTGAATTATTAGGATCACAATATATATCCTTAGCAGCGCCTGAAGTATCAAAAATAACTTCTAAACTCTCTGAACTTCTCAGTAATTGAAATAACATTATTTGATGGTCCCATATGTTACCAACCCATACATTCTTATTTATTTTCGTAGCAGCCGACATTCTTGTGGTCTCAATTTTTTCCTTAATTTGATAATCATTATCCCATATGGACAAGGTATTAGATTTAAACGCGTCCAATTTGAAGTTTAATTGCGTTTTTTTGTTTGAATCTAGAGAAGATGCTAGAAGAGCATTATTAGGCTTGAATGTAAACAATCCTTCAAATTTTGTGTACTCCATTTCGTTCAGTATTATATTGTCTATGAATTGTACGTCATCAGGAACGAAAACTTTATATGTCGACTCTTTTTGACCATCTCGGTAAGCACTATATATTTGAGTTAGCCACATGATTCGGGAAATAGCACCACAACGACAACCATCAGTACTATGATCTTTATGGAAACAGTAAACAACAAAGTCAGAGCAAATGGCCAGCTTAGCGACTTGAATATGAAAATTCCTCAACGAGACACCTGAATCTGGGTCCAAATCAAGAAAGAATGGGAGATGGCCAATGCTCATGCAATCTCCACAAAATATCTTTAGTAACTCGTCTAAAGTTTTCTTGTCCTCGTCGATAAATATCTTATTAACAATGTCCAATATTAAGTCTGAAACCTCTGCTTTCGAGATATCAATAGGCTGTAATATTTCATTAAGTTTAACCGTATTTTTAAGCAATGGCATTCCTGATAAACTATCAGACGAGGAGTTGATACACATTAGAAACCTTGCACTTGATGGCCTGGCCTGATCAAAACTACCCAATGAATATCCATTTTGTTGACTAATAAAATATTGCCTTTGAGCAAAATTCTCCTTGTGAATTCCATGGAGCCATGGAAACATTTCCTTAGTAGGTGGAAGTGGTCTATTGAAGTACCAATTAAACACATATTGCAATTGCCCGTATGTAATAGATTTAATCAGAATTTTGGTATGTATCCCCTCAAGAAGCTGTACCTTCCTTAAGTCCTCCTTATAAAATTTGGAACCACTATCTAGTGGAGATAAACCTACTTCAGACTCATAACTCTTCATGTACTCTTGGTCTGATTCCACATTCAATTTGGTGGTTTTTGTCCCTATTATTCCGTCACACACTTCACAGTTTTCGTCCACAACACTACAATTATCCGAATCTATAACGTCCTCATGCTCATTAGCTTTCTGTATATTATTTCCTTTAGTATTAAGTGTCTGAAGCCTAGCCTTGAATCTATCCCTTTCGTATAAAAGATCGTTAGATGCAGATGATGATCGCTTACTCATCCGTGCCAATGCCGGCACTGGCTTGTTCTCCATCGATACTGCCCTGGTCTTATATTCGTTCTTATTACTCGATATTTCATTATTCTTGCCCATTGGACTCATATCTTTATTCTCTATCCGAATCAATCTGGGAAGTTGTGGTATCTCCGGTGGTGTGGAGTTAGTGGTTTGTGGCTGAATAGGAATAGCTGAAGGTAATCCCGTTGAAGTCATAGCAACAACCTCAAATTCTTAGTAGTAGTCTTTATCTGAGTTGAATCAGCCGAAGCACGATAAGCTAACACTACTATCAAAATTCTCGTTTATCAAGAGATTAATAGCCTTATCTAACGGTTATATAAATTTTTTTGGTAATGATTGTATATAAGATGAAAATAGAATATCCGGGTAACCATCAAATAATTTGGTGAAGAAACTAGCCATCAAGAAAATGTTTAGACCGTTAACAGTAAACAGGCAAGTTAATACAACCACATCTGCAGTTAATTGATAGATTAATATCAAGTAGACGATCTCTGAGTTACGTTCTATAACATTTTTTCTTTTTTAGACGATTTTTCCGAAATTGCAGGCAATAAATTTTCTTTTTCACGCTTAGCACAGAACAGTAGCTGACGAGGCAATTGTTGATTTAGGGAAAAAAACACGAAGATAAAGAATATGACGAGTACACCTAGTAATGCAATCATTGAACAATTGAATCAAGCCCGTAATTTGGCATTTTCAAGTAAAGAAACATTTCCACAGGTGTTAAGACAAATCTTGCCCTTTGCAAGCAATCCAGATATACAGATTCAAAGATGGTGTTCTAAGTTTTTTAAGGAATCATTTTTGGCTGATGAAACAGTGTTAAGCAAGGCCGATAAAGTTGATTTGGCAATAGACTCGATCGATAGTTTAATAGTTTTGACAGATATTCGAGATGCGGATATATTTAGAGAATGCATTGATACGTCGATAGTAATATTCAGGTTAGTATATCGCTACGTTGCTGAAAACGATGGATGTGGTGACGTATGGCAAAAATTGAATGAATTGAAGAATAAATTAACAAACAAGTTTCAGAGCACATTTCCTCTCACGCCGTCTGACGACGAAGAACACGACATGGTACGCAGCATAGATTCTAAGTTGGAAACTTTAAAATTTGTGATGCTAGTGATTGACTATCAATCCAAATCCCCTTCCAATATAACCAGCTTTTCTTTGTCACAAGTCCAACCAAATCATACGCTCATCAAACAGTCAATAGAGGCAGAAGCATATGCCCTAGTGGACGTAGTGTTGAAAGTTCTTACCAACGATATACTCATACCTCCAATGGTCAGTGCAGTATTTAACCATTTTTCAGTTCTAGCAAGAAGAAAACCCCAGTTTATCTCAAAAATGTTGAATGTTATAGAAAATTTTGACACCAATACAAAATTACAGTCAAATTATCAAACTGTTGACGAGTACAAGCTATCTAAGAAATATGTTGATAGATGTATGAGAATTTTCTTAAACCATTTATTGAGAAACCAGCTAGTACCTTCTAATTACACCTCATCATTAAACAAAAAATTAACTCTCTTGGTAAATCGTGGTGACGAGATTAGAAAGAAAAACGTATTACTGCCATCACCAGAAGATTCAAACATCAAAAAACGTAAATTTGACGGATTTGTTAATCCTTCGAAAAGGTGCAAAACAAACGACTACAAAAGCTTGTATTGCCTAACTGACTCAACCAACGAGTTAAATAATTTTGATCTTTCAACATTACCACAGAACATGTTGATATCAATGGCATTAGCATCTCTTAATAAGGTAAGCAGTAATAAGTTAACCAAAGCGTTGGATATTATCGGTGAGAGATATAAGTATGCGGTGGCTAACTTTGCGCCTATCGAGATTAAGAATGAACAGGAAAGAGAATATGATGACGAAGATAATGATAATGGTGATGACTATGGCCCGGAAACGAACTACACCTTACCACCACCAAAGGACCTTTCTTATCAAGACAAAAAAGAACATATCAATTTGATTATTAAAAACTTTTTCAAATTGGCAGACAAAAATGTATCTAATGTCGAAGAAAAACAAGAATTAGGAGGTAAAGATACTGTGAACAAAGAATTAACAAAGATTGCTATCAAAGCATGGAAAAAAGATTCGTGGTTCTTATTATTGACAAGATTAGCCACTCGTGGTATGAGGACAGTTGATTCTACAAAGTCAGTTCTAGATTCAGAAAATGCTAATGATGTAAGCACTGATGTTGCTCAAAATGAAGAATTGAGTGATATAATAAGACAATCTATCTTTGACCATTTCCTTGATAATGTTCACGCAAGGATAGACTTGATCATCCAATGGCTTAATGAAGAGTGGTACAGTGAGAAGGTTTTTAATGAGGACATGTTGCACAAACAATTAACAGAAAAATATATGAAAGAATACGAATCAAATCCTATTGAAAATGATGCAGTTAGTGAAAGAGTTAATAAGGAAATTGATGCTATAGAAGTTCCAACTCCAACTTACAATAAATGGACTGGTAAAGTTTTAGACTCTTTAATTCCATTTTTGGAACCAAATGATAAAAAAATCTTTATCAGATTATTATCTGACTTGCCTTACTTAGATGAAGATTTGGTCTCGAGAATTAAATCATTGTGTTTTGATCCAGTTAGATCTAAGATCGGATTTTTATCACTACAATTCTTAATCATGTACAGACCTCCCGTAAAACTGGCATGCATAAATATTCTTGAAAACCTCTCAAACAGTGATCAAGAGGATCTTAAAGAAGAGGCGACTAAATTGTTGAAAAAATATGAACAATAGTTACCCCAGTGTATATAATCGTTTGTCATATGTATAGAATCTACGATTCCTATTAATAAATTATTTTTTATTTCTCAGTGTTTTTGGCTTGTGTACCTTACTCCCCTTGTGTAATTCGTGTAGTTTCGCTTCATTGGCCTGACCTAATTTGATAATATTCGATAATTGATGCAGTCGTATGTTTGAAAGTTGTTTCAAAGGCTGATTGGATTTCAGTTGACCTTCATACTTCTCTTGGTTTTTCGTATTTTCCTCATAGAATTCACTTGTGTTGAATTCCGTCATTTTTGGTTTAATCAACTCAGATTTGTCTAAATCCTTTTTCGTATCTTGTGAGTCTTTTACATCTATCTCATCATTTGCATCAGAAGTTTCTCCATCATTTCTTTCTGGATTATTTTCCCGAAAATCTATTTGTAATGGTTGTTGTAGTATGATTTTATTTTTCTTATATTTTTCGTTATTAAACACTTTCAATGACTTCAATTGGGTCACATCAGTATTTTTTGCACTATTGTCGCTATCATTTTCACTTGAGTATCCTTGTATATTATCCATCTTGCATGGTGTTGTGGCGTAGCGATTTGTAAAGAAAATGTTTAAAAATAACTAATTTTTCTCAGACACATTCCATCTAGAATTACACGATAGTCAAACAGATTTTCACGATTGCCGTACACTAATAGCTATATATGTTCATATTGACTAAAAATTGAAATTTATAACTATTACGACTAGTATTACAAGGACTACAAGTCAAAATTGTTAAAAATGGGTCAAAATGATTCTAATTACGTCCAAGGTCATTTTGATCCACATAAAGAGATCGATAAATATGACTTAGATGATTCTACATTTGATTTAATAAATATAGACAAGTTTCATAATACAAAGGCGTCTACAGTATTTTCGTTTATGTTTATTTGGATATTAATGATGCTATCATGGGTTTTGCTTGCGGTCGATATCTATACGTGCTTGAATATATTGGTGTTTCATAGGTGGTCCAATGACGACTACAAGCCATACGCGTATTCCGTAGCTAAATGGATATTTACGGGGTGTATTATATTTCAATTTTTATTGCTAATTTACCATTGGATTTGGGCGATTCATACGTTTCGTACCAAGAATATTGCACTTACTTATGTGAACTGGATTGCCCGTTTGCTTTACATTATCAGGTCGTATAATTATCACTGCTTGTTTCACCAAATCGAACAGGACAATTTCTTTGATTGGGCTTGCTTTCTAAGCTACGATGAGTTGGACCATGCTCTACAAATCCTAGTAGCTGATACACCAAGACAAGTTATCAATATCTTAACCTTACGATACTATGCGACAGACGGTGATATACTGAACGATATTATCCGGAACATTAAAAAAATAGCCACTAGCAATTTAAGATTGTCGATTATTTTATCATTCATGTGTCTCTCGTTTGCCATTTGGTCCATTTTCTTTTTCAAGTTTTTGTTAGGGATGATTTTGTACATTCCCGTAATGGTTAAATTGCGTAAAAGGAACTATAAATCATTGAAAAAGTACTGTTGTGATGTGGTGAATGAAAATGTAAGGGTCTTGGTGCTTAAGAATCATAAGTCAAAGAAGACGTTACTTGAAGAAGGTATTGTGGATATCAAAGATATTAATACAAACCCCTTACTTTCATCTTCGACTACTACTTTTGACTTTGATTATAAACCTGAAGATATGAGTCGAACTGCTGGCCATCAAAATTCGAGAAATATACCTGTACCTTCGGCTATACACGAAGTAAATTCTGGTTATCGTTACAATGATAATTATAAATTATTCAATAAAGGCGCTACACATACATATGAATCTTTGCCGCTTGATGACCTTTCTTCACAATACCATGTCGTCAGGCCTTCAGTCCCCCAATCGTATATTCCATCAAATCTTCAAAGAGCATATAATACCAACGATTCCAACTACTCTTTTACAAACCCATTTGATGATAATAATAAGATGACAAGCAGAGATAATTTGATATTTACTAGATCTGCAAATGCACCAAGTAGAAAGAAACCACCTACGGAAAAGGACCCATTTGATGACGACGCAGCTATAAGTTTGAACGATTCATTTGATAAGTCGCAGCCATTAGCGCAAAGGAGGTCTTCCAACAGTTCGCTAACTGATACGTCTTATCATCCATCTAGAACGACTGGAAAACAACAGTCTCAGTCTTCTTTAGGCTACTATAGTCCAGCAAAATCTGAGTTAGAACCATATTCGATAACTCATTCGAACTCAACACACATACCGTATCCATTAAGAGGTGTTTCAATGTATGGCCCTGATTCGGAACATGAAGAAAGTAGTGATAGAGATAACGATAAATTCGAAAAAGTGTCATCCAGTTCAGAAACTGGATACCAAGTAGAGTCAAGATCAAGTACAGATGATGACACCAACTTTGCATATAATACGCACCATTAGCTTTCCTGGTGTCATTTTACTGAGGAAGGTTTGCATTTAAATATATATTTTATTAATTATATCTCATTTGTAAATTAGAATTAAGTATGTACAAGAATTCCCACCTTTAACCATTATAAACTATATTCTTCGTTAACTCTTTCTTAGTTCAAGACGAATTTTTCTTGTCTTCATATTCTTTCTTCAACTTAGCTAATTCATCATCAGCAATTGGAGGAATTGGAATATCACTAAATTCATCTTTACTCAAAACATTAAATGTGTACCAATAAACACCTATTGGGATCGAAGAAACCACGAACAAACTAATCATATTTCTAACAAAATATGGTGCTCTAACTCTCAACAAAGCTGGAGTCATTTCAAATGTCTTTGGATCACGGTAACGATTATGTCCCTTTCTATTGGTAAGTTAGTATTTAATTCCTCTAAGAATTTTTTTATTGCATTATAACTTACGGTTTACCTAAAACAGCCATTTTAATTAATATGTTAATGAAGTTTAATGAAGTTTTATCTAAGGTAACAGTTTAATATGGATTCTTATTATGAGGAAACTGAAATAGATTTTTCGTGGCACGATAAAATGGCAGATTTCAACACGTGATAATGGTTATACTAGACAGTTAAGCCAATACTTCCTTTGGTTGTTGATTAGACTTTAAGTGATTGCTTAAATACAGTTAGACGACTATCCAGGAGACTATGCAATTATATTGTAACATTTTGTTTATATATTAGATAGGTTTTGAATCCTAAAAGTGCACAATAGAATTGCTGCAAAATATCCTAATAGTTACAAAGGAGTAGAGGCATTCTGAAGAATTGTTGTACTGTTGGGGTCATTTAATATAATTCAAACTGATATAGTTGTTTTTGTACGGTTTTAAAAAATTGTTTAAATGCAGAGTGTTCTATTAATTTAATTAATTTACAAAAAATTACGTAAAAGCCTAATAATGATTAAGTCTCCATAATGTAACTTTACCACCTTCGTTACCAATAGCCAACATTTCATTGTTTGGGGAAAAGGTGACAGCTGTAACCCTACCTAAAGGAGTACCACTAGTAGGCCAATTGGAATACACCGAACAAGATGGTAAATGGACTAATCTTAACGCATCTCTTTTAGCTCTAGAAGCAACACATAATATCTGGCCATCAGGAGTAAAGCTTAAGGAAGAAATAGACGTAACCAAGTTCTCGACAGTTTTTATAGGCTTAGGATTACTTCCATCCTTGAAAGAATTACGGTCGTATATGTTGACAATACCATTATTAGTACCAATTGCCAACCAACGATTTTTAGGGCCACCAAGTTTAATTTTTGTTATACCAGTACCACTATCATCTTGCCATCTTCTTATGATTTTATTATGATGTCTTGGTTCTTTCTTTGATTCGGATTTTGATGTGTTATCATTAGATAATTCAAATTCCCAAACTTCACCGGCAGAATTGATAACAATTATAAACGATTCATCATTAGCAAATTCAAAGTCCACAATAGTTCCTTCAATCTTGAAGCCCTTAATCCACTGACCTGTCAAACCATTCAATATATTACACCAACCACTGCTACCAGTAAGACCGATATAAGTACCTTTTGCAGAAATTTTAAAGTATTCCATCGATCTTTGAAATTGCTCATGACCATACATACGAGAAATTTTCTCTACTTCACCTGTATTAAGGTCCCATTTGTTCATGTAGCGTCTTCTTCCACCAGCAAAGATTAAATTTTTATTATCTTTCGATGGAAATGGTGAAAAGTAACAGGATGAAATTGGTGAATTACGCAAATGTAATGTTGTAACTACGTTGTTTATCTTACCATCAATATGGTAAATACGTAACGTTCTATCAAAACCACCGGTTAATAGTAATGGGTGAGAGTGATGGAACGATAATGATTGGATAGCTGCTTTGGAAGGTTTTGAATGGTTAGCATCTTTAAGTCTTGTGATAGAAATTTTATTTGGTGATATTAATTTTAATTGCTTTGTAATAATAAATTGCTGAGTAGATGATAAAAGTTTCAAAACAGCATTGTTATCGTTATTCGAAGCCTCTGTTATTTCCTCATCTTCGTTGTCGATGACTTCAGCATCTGAATCTTCTTCTTCCATATCATTCTCCTCTTGTTGTAGTTTATCAACCCATTCAGGTTTAGGGTAAATTTTTTCAAATTGAGATCTCAATCTTGTTATATAAGACTTACCATTTATAACGGAATCTGTTTCAACTTTCCTTAATTTTTTCATTTTATCAGAAGAAAGTAACGAGATGTTTAATCTTTCATCGTCACTATCTTCCCATGCAATTTCTGAATCATTATCGTCTTCGTCTTCTTCTTCTATTTCTTCATCTGATTGTGAGTCTTGGTCGATATCCATCGCATCTTTATCCCCTTGTGCATCATTAGTACCATCATCGATGTAAAACAATTGATCATCTTGCACATCTTCTAAATCGTCATCACTGTCAGATGATTCACCCGACTCATTGTTGCCCTCATCTTGTTCATCAGAAGAATAATCATACAAATTATCAAGTTTTCTCAAGTTAGTTTCAAAGCCTTGTAAATCTCCAAACACCAACTTTTCTAACAATATTTCTTCTTCATCCTTAGGAGGGATCAGAACTTCATCTCCATTCCTATTCTTAGACATCTTGTTCGAATTGCTCATGATAAATTGAAATGATCTGATTACAGTAAATATTTATGTCTGCTCATCTTAACAAAAAAAATTTCACTACACAAAAATCACGTTTTACATTTTGGTAACATTTTGTACTAAAAATCTATTAGGATTTTGCATCAATATGTACATAGATAGATATAGATAGACTGATATATATATATAAT